TGCGACAGTTTTGTGCGAGGGTTCTTTGTTACAGGCGGAGAAAAGCCAGTGAGCGAAATTTTATTGCAGCAACGTGGACGACAACTACGACAAGCACAAGAACTACCATTTCTACAGGCACAACAGGGACGAGAGGCCTCTCCTGCCGCGTCGTCCCTCAACAAACCTGCGTCGTCGGGCTCAAAGTTGGAACGAAAACAAGGCCTGCTGAAGAAGATTTTTATCGCGGTGGAGGGGAAGGAGGATGCTCGAGATCCAGCTAGAATTCGCGTTCCAGGTCCAGCATTTTTGAAGCGCTACAACAACAACGAGGACGAAAATCCGCCGCTATTTTTATTTGTACAGGAGGGGTCGACGCCGGGAGCCAATGATCGGCCCAAGGAGGCGCGCCTTCGTCTCGCCAAGCTTGGGGAGCGCGATACCTTTGTCGAGTTCTTGTGGGGTATTTTGTCCCACACGAGTGAGATTTTCTACGACGTCATGGTCGCCCAAAACGAGGACCTTTTCGCGCTTTCTGAGAAAGAGCGCGGCGTGATTCATCCGCCGTTCCCGACCGAAATCTGGTCTAGAATAGCAGAGGAGGGATCCTTGCTCATGCGAGACGATTTCTGTTAAGGACCTTATATATAACGATAGACAGAGCTTATTCTTGCAAAATTTTTTCCTCTTAACAAGGGAAAAATTCTGAGACTTTTAATGATGATGATGATGTTAGTCGGTTCGGATTGGGCCTATGACTTCCCTGAGTCTTCTTTGAGTTCTACGAATTTCTTTGCTGTTGAAGTTGTGAGGGCGCCCCACGGTTTCTACAGTAGTTGTAGCGGCCGCGCTTCTTCTTGCGCTGGTTAGGAGGAGGCTTTTAATATGAAAGAAGAATATTGATAGTCGAACGAAAACGAATATCTTCGTGTTGAGTTCTAATTCTGCTCTCTGTGGAGTGCGGAACAAACCAAATGTTTTCTCATAGGTTCTCACGGACGTGAGGTCGAACAAACGGCATCTTTTAAGAAGAATCTCGACGACGTTGTTCTTGGGAGGTACCGAAATTTCGGCGAAAACGAACGCACTGACACGTGGCAGTTTCTGTCGGAAGCGGTGCGGAAAAGCATGCGCGTCAAATCGAAGGGACCGACTGGTATCGACGCGAAGAAACCCATGGTGGCCCATCTTGCCTTCCCAAAAAAACACCCGCAAGCAGTATTTGATGCCCAGCTCGAAGACGCTTCACGGTCGGCTTCACGTGGTGACCTTTTCGGGGTAATTACTTACTAGAGCCTCTTCCTTGCATCTCGTCTGGTAGGAGCTTTCTCTTTAAGAAGTTTCCAAGTTCCAGTTGCTCTCTAATAATCATATGCATATTGTACAACTCTTACATGATAATGAAGTTAGGACACGCTAGTATTCTGACGCAAATATTAAATGAAGCCAGGACACGAATAGCAGACTGTGGCTCTCTGTCCATCTATGTACCTACCTCTCTATCTATCTATCTCTCTATCTATCCTGTCTATCTTCTATCTATCTATCTGTCTATCTCTTTTTTGCGGGCGCAGTAGGTCTTGTGCTCTATCGAGTTCTGAAGTTATTTACTTTGCTATTTCTAGATAGTAGGCATTTGCAAGTCGCTATGTGCGTTGGGGCCCCTTAATTTGTTGCGCTGCGTCAATCCGTTTTGGTGTAAAAACAGACGGAAGAGCCGCTGAAACGTTTTCGGAAGCTTCTTACTTTCTAGACCAGTTGCGCACTCGTAGTTTAAGGAATTTGCTCAAATCTTCTATCATCCAGATGGAATGTTTACCGTGTGCGCACTTGTTTCGACAGTGGAAGATGATGTGCGGAAACTGCCAAAGGGGCATTTGCGATGTGTGCAGGAGATTGGAAGTTGTCAGATTCTATAAACAGATGGAGGAAGATATGAAAAAAAGGATAATCATGGTTTCATCGTCGATCTCTTATAATATTATGTATTATATGTTGAAACTTTCTTCTAATTATTTGTATTATACGAAGCTTAGTATTAGTTGTATTAGTTAGTCGTACTAGTAAAATGGTTACTTCTTCTTGTTCTCAATAAATGGTACTATGGCCGCTACTCCTGCTAATTATAATATCGATTCTCAAGAACAAAACCACTTTGCTCACTCACGGTGATGCTTACTTAGTCTTGAGTGACTCAGCTTTGAACAACTTGTTATGTATCCCCTATCCCGTTGTACCTTTATATCGACGCTTATTTCCTTAAAAAGCACCTGCACTACCTCGCGCTAGGCACATTCGTTCATTCATTCACCTTAGGTAGAATCAATGAAGGAGTAATGATTTCCCCTTCGTTCATAGAGAATTTGAACCGTGGCACCAGGAGCGTGGTTCGAGACCCGTTGGAGCCTTTGGTTCCCGCGCGCGTCGCTGCGCAGCTTCTTGGTATGGAAGAAAATACTACCACGATTATCGAAAGGGAGACCATACTGAGAACTGTTTTCTCACCAGTAGAGCTGAAACAGCTGAAAGCACTCTTGCCCGCACATTTCATTATGGGGGTCGGCTCTTTTTATATACAATTTTCTCGGAACAATAGGAATTATTTTCCTTGGAATATATACCATAGCATGGTGGTGGTCTCTCTTCTGTCTTCTACTTGTTCCCATATAGAATTCAGATGCAAGAAAGGAACAAGAAACAAGGCTACTTAAATGAACGAAACAGCGCGCTAGTGAGTTATAGCTGTAGGCCTGTGCGCCACTTATCTCAGGCCAACAAAAGGCACTGAAAGATCTTCCTAGTTAGCAGCTTGGCTCCACCCGTATCATAATATTTCACCTCAAGATCAAGTGTATGAAACGAAAAAGTGCACTCACACTCAAGGAATTGGCTAGGATTTAAGTAGGAAAATAGCCACTTTTTTTGAGTGTGAGTGCGCTTTTTTCTTTCATAAAGTTGAGCATGCTATTATTATCATAATCGTTCACCGTCGTTCTCGTCGAGAGACAACATCATGTCTAATTTCTCGAGCAAGACCAGCGGCGTAGCGCAGATTGAAGTTGTGATTGCAACTATATTGGAAAACCTTCTGGTTATGGCTAACAACAAGAATGAATTCCGCACGTTGGAGAAAGTGAAGGCGATCTCAAACGCAGAATGGCATGAGCGGTTACTTTTCGGCGTTGAAGATGGTGAAACAACAATCCCATTGGAACGTAATTTTCGGGACCTCATCATGAAGAAGGAAAGTTGGAGAATCAAGAGCAAAAAGGAGATCAAGCATTAAGGTGCCTCAATAGATACACCTCAACCATTTCTTTTTCTACAAGGCATTTCGCCCTGTTTCTATGAGTACAACTCATTATTCTACAAGGAATTTCCTTCTATGGACGATCGCAAGAAATGCACGCAGTAAATGAATCAATTGGACCTCTAATTAAAAGATCTTACACCCCGTGAGTGGGTACATCTATCTATCTATCTATCTATCTAGCTCTAAAAGTCAAGAGCAGGCACCAGCACGGTAAAAATTGAAGAAACTACGTATGAAAGCACGCTGAGCCTTACAGAGATGAAACCGCGAGATGAAATCGCGGGAATCACTCGGAAGGTTCGGAGGATACCACAAGCAGGAGGAGACTCGGAAGATTCGGAGCATGTACAACTTTCAAAAGAGCAGCTGAACATGGTTATTTTTCGAAACGGGGAGACACTGCTCCTGTTGGCGCGGCTGATCGAACAGGCGCTACTCAGCCTGCTAAAAGAGTTTGCCGCTGCCGAGAGTCCACCGGTCCCGCCTCTAGGGGATGATGATGATGATGATGGCATTGGCATATTGGCAAAATTCGTCCACGCTAAGCTTCAAATCTCGAAACCACTACAGCCGGCACAAATGGTTGCTAGCACTAGAGAGGTGCTTGCGCGATGGAGCAAGGAACTTCTTAATGGGTGGCAAAAAGACGAACACGAAAAACTCGAAAGCTCTGATGTTGATCGGCCCATTCTGTAGGCGTCATCAGGAGAATAGGATTTCTCCTATTCAACCGCTCGCCTATTCTAGGTCTTCGATCATATAAGTAAAGCTTCTAGGTCACAAGGGCCACTAGGCAACAAGAGCTGATAGGTAAAAACTAGAACTACAACCACTGACTAGGTCTAGGTAAAAACTACCACCACTAGGTAAAAACTACCACCACTAGGTAAAAACTACCACCACTAGGTAAAAACTACCACCACTAGGTAAAAATTACCACCACTAGGCAAAAACTACCACCACTAGGTAAAAACTACCGCCACGAGGTAAAAACTACCACCACTAGGTAAAAACTACCGCCACGAGGTAAAAACTACCACCACGAGGTAAAAACTACCACCACTAGGTAAAATGCATGCGATTTAACATGTAGAAGGTATGGCGTCTCAGGAGCGAACAAGTCGAAATGTGTTTGAGTAAGGTTGTCATTGTGCAAGAGAAAAGCTACTATTTGTTGTGAAAGATGAAGTATCTTAGTCTTCTAACAAAAGTACGGTAAGGCTAATTAGCTAAAAATCTGACAAGAAACAGCTAGAAGGTCAAAAGCCAAACAAAGAAAAGAAGGCAAACGTCGCAGCTTGGGCTGGTGGAAATCAGCCGGAGCGGAAGTTTCCTCTTTAAACCTCGGTATACTTCTGGCGGCGAGAAGTAACGCACGGAGAACGTAGCCTGAGCTGAAAAATCCGTAAGCCGACAACAAGTAAGAAAGCATAGGTTCAAACGTACTCTCTTTCTCGTCAAAAGTTCTTAGGGAAGAAAGTAGAAAGAACTAGAAGAGTTTAGTGCATAATTAAGTAGAGGAGAAACATAGATATTAAGGGTCTAAACACGTTTGAAAAAGGGACAAGGACTAAGGGATTGAGGGTGAAGAGGGGAGAAATAATACTTGTTTTTCTCTTGGCATTAAGTTCGTGTCCGAAAACCTAGCTACTCTTCGTGGTAGCGAGGGCTAGTAGAGATGAACCTCTGCTGTTTCTGCTGAGGGAAAGTGTTTGGAAGCGCATCACAAGCAGGCTGGTGGCATGTTAAACAATCTGGCGCTGTATGTGTAAAAGAAGAACAAGTGTGAGAGTAAGAGTAAGTGAATTTCTTCCAACAACGACCTCTTGCCAGGCACATCAATCAATCAATCAATGAACGTCAGCGCGAAAAGTAGTGAAGGAAGTAGAAAGTTTAGTGTAGTGAAGGAGCGAATAAGAAGGTAGAAGGTACTTAGGACTAGTGCGTAGGAGAGACCTCGTTTCTGGATATATTAATGCTGAAAGACAAGACCTCGAATAAGAAAATTAAGAGGGGTTGTAGAGGATCAAGGTTAGCCTCTACTTTCGGTGAATCCTACTACTTAGAAGATTTAATCGATTTTCAAGCTGCTCCTGATTCCTCTTCCCCGCTACCAGCTCAACCGAGAGCTGCTGCAGCAGTTCATACGAAGCAAGCAAGAAAGCAGTCTAGTAGTGGGTCGGCAGAAAGAGATGCGTCTTTGATGCACGTGCAGGAGCTACGGGACAAAGTGAGGATGGCCTTAGCTGAAAGCTGTGTGGAACAAGAAAGCGAAGGAGGAGAAGAGGCCAAGGTGACGACGTTGGCGGACATGCGAGCCGGTAAAGGGAAGTGGTTGAGACAAAAGGAGGCCAACATGCACAATTATACATTAGAGTAGTTTATAGAACGGATGTAGGATGGACTTGGATGGATCGGATGGATCGGATGGACCCCCCTGATTCTTCCGATCCTACTTGAAATGGTGGAAAGTCCATCTTCCGTTCCATCCGATCCATCCCATCCCGGATCTGGCACCTCTATAAACTGCTCTAAATTACATGTTGGGGGACGTGCAACGCCGTATTTTGTGCAGCAGGAGAATTTAGTACGTGGTCGGAGGAGAGTAAGGACAACAGAGAAGATACGACAGTAGGTCCATCGATCGCGCCTCTTTCAGAGATGATGGCCCGCAAAGTGATCAAGAACTACGACAAGCTGGTGGATCAAGAAGAAGAGAAGAACAAAATAGAAGAGGTGAAGAAAGCCTATAGAAAGAACTCGATCAACGTAATATTAACTACTTACAAAGAAGATCTGATGAAGACTCAGAGAAATGACACAAAGCGAGGACGGACGAGTAAATCCAGCCTCCTCCATAGCTAAGATGTTCTTGTAAACTTTAGCTCATCGCCGGGTTATCCCTTGGGGTCTGGTCTCAAAGCTGATTTGGCAGGTCAGATTGGAGACACATGACATGACATGTCGCACGACATAGCGCTACGTCGAACCACACCTACATGGTGTTATAGTTCAAAAACTGGATCGAAGGGGAAGAAAAGGAAGTCGAAACTCAACAGGTGCAAGGAAGTAAGTGACTCCGTGCTGCTAAGTCTAACAAAAAGTCCTAAGTCTAAGCCCAGGTCTGAAGCTAAGTTTGTATCTGATAGAAACGATGTGTAGGAAGGCTCTACTAATGGACTAGAAACAAAAATGAGCCGTTAGCCACCAGTGAGAGTAGCCTCCTGGGGTAGTTGATCATCCAACACGCTCACCAAGCTCTGCCAGGCGTCCGTGGAGGTCAACTAAGCGAAGGGCGTTGCAAGTACCAGGGTGCAGCAAGTGATTTTGCGAAGGAACAGATGCGGCACAACTTCTTCGTTGGTCAACTAAATCTTGCTGCATATGATCAGAAACGGACTTTATGCAAGATGAACAGCCAGCAAATGTGCTGCATGTACATGTAGAGGGAGCTACCGTCCTGTGGGTTCGCGGAGGGACCTGATCATAACTTCTGCCGATCCGGTGCCCTAGGTCTCCGGAGGTGCAAAAGCTCGCGCGCGATCCATCGACTGGAGTCAGATCTTCAACGATTCAGAAGCGGCCGGCTCTGAGTGTTAGAATTGAGATCACTGTGTCTTGTCGTTTTTCCTTAGACGGAATGCGCTGCATTTTGCGCCAAATCCGTAGCATAATCTTGCCAAATATTTTTTGAATTTAATCTAAAGGGAGTCATAGTCTAAAGGGATTGGGATGCATGCTTCTAAGAGGGACCTGATCATAACTTCTGCCGATCCGGTGCCCTAGGTTTCGGTGCATGAACACTTTTGCTGGTGAGCTGCATCGTGCAAAACAGACTTTTCTTTGGCTGGTGTGAACAACTGGTCACTCAACATTGGGTATGATGTGGAGTGATGTTCATCGTTTTCCTCTATGATAGTGTTGATGGTCATCTTAACTTGTTCGGCCTTGAATAAAATAGAATCTTCGGTCTGAGATGATACCTGTCTTGAAAGTAGGTAGTCTGTAAAAGGGAGATCTTGCATCGATCTTCTACAAAAGATCCTCCTATCGGTCGTCCTGAAAGTAGTCTGTAAAAGGCAGATCTTGCATCTTCTACAAAAGATCCTCCTATCGGTCGTCCTGAAAGTAGTCTACTCTAAAGGGGAGAATCTTCTTCTGAAAATCAAAAAGTGTCGGTCTGCTGCTGTCTGCTTCGTGCTTTTATATCGGTCTCGTCCATGATCATCATGATTTCGGAAGATTGTGGTTGTTCAAACATGAGATAATATGCGAGTGTTTCCTGTTCCTCCCACATCAACGTAAAGAGTCAATACCTGGCTGAAATAGCTTTTAATTGGAACTTGTAGAAACAACTTACTATCTGTAGGTAATACTGATGACCTCAATCCCTTCATCAAGAAGTACGACTGCCCCAGAGATCTGAAGATTGTTGTACACGACGAAACGCAGGGTCAGCACACAGAGATAACAATTTATGCCTTAAGATACAAAGTATAGCGTCTAATGTAGAAGACCTAGAAAAGTCTGCTGTTTTTTAGTTTTTGAAGGATTATAGCGAGCAAGGGTCGTCTTCACGAAACTACCGGCTTTCGTGCTCTCGAAACTCGCGTGTACGTTTTGCGCAATCTAGCGGCGACCACACGGCCACAGCAAGTAGACGCAACCAAGGACGAACAGCGTGAGTCTACTGTAGTGAAAAAAGGCCGTCTTCCAGTGAAGGCTTGCTGCGTAAAAGGGACAGTGCCTACAGAGAAGGCTTTCCTGCTTCCAGCGACTTGCAATATCGAAACGAACAGTCTAACGTCTACGCAGCACTAAAATCTGGGGAGCAACACTTTATTTAGCAAGGATAGAGGTACAAAGATCTTCTGGAGAAGCTCGTCATCTCAGTCATCAGGGACTAAGTAACAGTTACACCTTCATCATCTCCTTTCAAGTAAAAGTGCTAGTACGAGTACGTACTACAACTACTTCAACTACTCACGACTGTACTACTTCAACTTGTTGTCTACTACTTCAACTCACGCCTGTACTACTTAAAGTTCCACACGCACACACTTGTTGTCTACTATTTCAACTTGTTGATGTCTACGAGTACTTCCATTTTGTACTCTGTCTTCTAGGTAAAGGTACTACTAGCACAGAGCAGGAGGTACAACAAGAACAAGAACTTCAACTTCTTCTACCATGGGAGCAGCCGAGAGCAGTACTCCTGCTCCTGCGACGGGAGGGCAGACAACGCCTGCAGTGTTTGTCATCCGTAATGGGCGTTACGAGGCCTCCACCGAACCACAAACGAATGCTTTGTCTCTGATCTTAAGGCTAATATGATAAGTAGGCTCTTTGCTTTCATCTAATCTTATACAACTATGGTCATTATCCTCCAGGATTCCTGAGTACTTATGTTGAATTGTGTAGAACTCAAACTCTGTCCCAATGTCGTTAGACAGGACGTGGACAGAGGTATCATGACATGAGTACTTACTTGATGAACTTAGTTAGTGCTAGTATTCTTGACATGATAGATTGAGTACAAGAGCTAGCTGTACAACTAGCTGAGTAACATGATAGATTGAGTACAAGAGCTAGCTGTAGCTGAGTAAGACAAGCCATTCAAGTTGTGTTTAGAACTCCACCTGTCCTCAGCAAGACTACTTGTTCTTTTTAACATCTTCTTCCTCTACAATCCTCTATCTCTTCTAATACTAGGAAGGACAGTTCAATCCTCTATCTCTTCTAATACTAGGAAGGACAGTTCAATGCTCTATCTCTTCTAATACTAGGAAGGACGCAAGTTCCAAAGTTGCCGCCGCCTGAATTCAAGAAGACGCAGCTCATCAAATCTCCACTCCATCTGCACCGCACTTTGCTCAAATTAAGGCCACCTCACTCAAATTAGCCGGTAGCAAATTAGCGCGTAAGAGTCGCCAGGGACAGGGTCGTTGCCGAGTAGGTTCCTCCATGCTGTCTTCCACTTGTCTGCTGCTTGTGAAACGTAACTCGCCCCCATTGGTGGCCAGAAAATTTTTCTGAAGTCTCCAAGTCCAAGCCCAAGATGGCTATGTAAATGTAACATCCCACCAACATGTGGGCTAACTGTATGCTGAAGAGAAGTGTTGAGTAGTGGCTCCTCACTATCTTCCCACGATGATGATCGATGTGCTTTGGGAATCCATCTTCAGAAGCATCTAATCAAAGTAGAAGTAGTACACTCCGAAAATGCAGGAGGGAATGTTGGGAACGGGACTGGCGGCGTCGGTGGAGGGAGAAAAGCTGCTTTTATGTTGAAACCAAGCGATGAAAAATTATCAGCATCAGGGCCGCAGTTCTTGTAATTTTCTGCGTTGTACTAGAAGCAAGTACAACTAAATAATCGCGAAGATTTTATTATTTCTTAGATCACTGAAGAGACTGATCGTATTCATCCTCGTAACAGCAGGAACAACATGTTGATAAACCACTATATCATTAATATACGCTATTAAATGATCAAGAAATTCAAACTCAAAGCCTCCTCTCTAAGATTACCAGCAGTAAGCCCAGCAGCAAGCTAGCACCTGGGGAAGCACAAGCCATGATCTCGATTGGGGATGACAGCGATTTCGAAATCGCCAGCTCAGTGTGCTCCTCGACCCAAGATGATGTAGTGAGCCCTCAAGTTACGACTTCTGTAGAATGGACTTCGACTTACATAATGTGCGAAATTAATGCTTGTTAGTTTATGATCTAGACGTATAATGACTCAGTCTCAATAATTCTTCTAGTTCTTGTTGTAGTTGTACTTCTAAATACCTTCTTGTTAAAAATGTTTCCTTTGTAGCTCTTGATGTGCCGTTTGAATTCTGATCATTCTCACGCTGCATGCCGATATTACGCTGCAGAGAAAGGGGGAAAGAACATTCACAGACCCTACCTAAATAAAAACAAACAGTACTAGTACTAGTTTTCTCTCAAAAACAGCTTCCATCTCTTAAAAACACCTTCTCTAAATACTGAAAAGGCTCCTCGAGGTCCTCAGGCGGAACGATCTATCTCACGATCGGATTCGATTCCCTATGTCCTGCAGGCGTGAGCGTGACATGCCAGGACGATGGCCCCTTTCCCTTCTCGACTCTCCACGTCACAAGACCCAGAGGACTCAAACAAACGGTAACAGACTTTTAGAAGTACTATATTGGAAGAAGCTAGCATAAGTACCCATGGTTTTAGCTGCACAGCATCGCAGATGAAGAAGATCATGAACCTCTACTCGTACAACGTACTACCTATCTCTCTACCTACTTAAACTTACCTACCTGTTCTATCTAAATCTTCTAGCTAACAATTATGTTTCTTCAATATGAACATCATTGTTAGGTTCGTTTTGCCGTTGGGCCGGCCGATCGCGTGCCAGCGGATGGCGTTAAACTAAAGGTAAATTTATTTCGGGACCTCACACGATGCAAGCAAGCTTCTGATATACACGGCCAGATATCGCATTTGAGGATTTTGCCAGCAACTTCTTTTATGCCTTGTTGATGTTGTCTACTGATTCTTGGGTGAATTTTTTAGTATGCAAATAATTCAAGTACCTAGTTGTAGCAGTGAGAAGTTAGTATGTAAATGGTGCATATTCCAGTTCATCTCTGTTGTTTCCCGGGAATCTGCAGTGGAGATTCCCTTTTATGCAATTGCAAATTCGCACAGTCACTTAAGATTCTAGTACCAGGGCTGACGCAGGAGGTGATGGTCGATTATGAATAGTACACATGCATCATTTGTTCTACTAACTTAAACTTTCTAGTGGTTCTTCTACTTTATTGTAAATGTGCGCCTTCTAACATGATGCCAAGTACGATCTCCACTACTAGCGCAGCAGCAGGAGAGCAGCTGCAGCAGCAAAACGCATCTTCTCCTCTCCGTGTTGAGTTAGTGAGACAGGCTCTTCAATATGACGCGCCACAGTCTGGAGCTCTGTCTTCCTCTGGGTGCAACGATTTGCTGAATCAAAATGACCTTGAAGATGACATCAAGGCAGGAGATCATAATTTGGAGAAAAGGCGTTTGCTGCAACTACACTCAGAAAACAAGGGAGGACCTCAATCTGGTGAAGAAGAACATTAAGGCGTTTGTTTTTTACGTAGCTTAGATAGTATCAAATCACTCTGGAGTGGGAATGGATTTACTACTACTACTAGCTACTACTACTACTAGATAGTATCAAACCACTCTATGATGTTGATCTCTTCTATTCATCTCTAAGAATCCTTGTGGGATATGCAAGAGGTATTTGGCGTGAAGAATCTGGATGGAGGAGATAGCAGTGAGGAATCTGGATGCGCCCCTTGCCAAGAAGAGATGTGCATTATCTGTATGAGCGATCCAAGGGACACCCTAGTGCTGCCGTGTCGACATATGGCGTTTTGCAGTATTGTTATTATTTTGTAAAGATCTTGCTCTTCCTGGTCTTCTTCGCATCATGATTTTGGATTATTTCTCTTTTGACATCAATAGTACTAAGAAAATAGTTGTATTTGTATATTGTCTATTGGATGTTCTTGATGCGGTTGTAAAAGCAGATTTGATTGCATCGGAGTGCAGCATTGGACATGGATAGTAGAGCACATATTGATTCAAGGTCCTCCCTTACTTACTACGCACACGTTCGAACAGCCTCTATAATTCCTTAACAAGATTCAAGGTCTCCCTAAACAAGTACCCATTCAACAACTATGATCACTCAAAGAAATATCTCCACCAAACAAAAAAAAACCAGCTGAGTGCGCAGAGGTGATGCGACACCAGTGTGAAAAGTGCCCCATCTGTCGGCAAAATGTAAGCAGTCTACTTCGATTTGAACGGGAACAACCTAAGGAGCCAGCCGCTGCAACTCGCAGCTTGATGGATATCTAATGGAAGAGTACATCTAGTACATACTTAGTATTGGTAGGACGCTGTGAGATTTAGTACCACGTCGAAGACGTTATAACATGATACGTCGCATAGGTGATCTACTACCGCACGAGGTACCACACGTAGACTCTTCGCTATGAAATAAGTGAGAAGTAGATTCCTGTGACATGAGTGACATCTTCACCAAACTAGAAAAATTCTAAGAAAAGGATAAGGAAAGTCATGATCATTGAGTGGACATCACTGGACCGTAGAATGATAGAATTCATGAACATGGGTACACCAGAGCCGTGAGAACACACCTGCAGAGCTATAAAAATTATGATCATGATCGATCATCTTCTTGTTAGGAAAAATAGGATGAAATCTATAAAAAGTTGCCCAGGACCTTCTCCATCATTTCGGTTTGATGTTGCCAAGTGTTCTACTGCAGCTGCATGGCCGGTTCGAAGAATACGAATTTGAGAGTTTGAAATTTTAATCCTCGAAAAAATGGTTTTTTATCGCCTTTTAAACCAAATTCATTCTCTGGCAAGTAGCTCTTTTCTGCTCGTCACTGACTTGTCGTGTTCTTGAATAATCGGAGGTTCTTGGACGAGTGTGTGATCGCGGGGAGACGAGAGACGAGGGGAGGTGTCGACGAGACGAGAAACGAGGGGAGGTGTCGACAACACCGTATTTGTTTGTCGTTCTCCATTACACACTCTAAAGATAGTTGTGTTCGTGGTCGACATTTTTAGGTATTCCAAGTGAAGAACAAAAAACGAGATGAGTGCTCGATGAAAAAGTAGCTTCATCTGTGGAGACGTTTCGTGTCTGTAAGAAATGATCGTTGAGCACAAATATCGACTTATAAGTACTTCATCGTCACCTCATGTTTTCAAATAAAATTATAAATGTGAACAATTTCATCGATATGTTGATAATTTGGTATGTTGATTGAAGATGTTGAAACGACCCTCTTTACGACCATCCAAAAAAAAATAGACAAGAACGATCATCGCTGCTCTTCAGAAGTTTTCCACCATCTAAGGGTGTGTACTAGCAACTTACTCGTCCACTACGTACCACGTTGTATTTAACGCTAAGAGGCTTTCGTGTTGAAGAAGAACAGACTAGTGGTCGTACTCCTCGGCAAATACTAACTTCTTACTTCTTCTAGTACTAAGTAGTCAAGAAAAAAGAACAAGAACGTCCTGGTTCTGTCGTAGGACACTCCTTACTCAAACAAAAAAAATGTTGTCGACAGTCTTTAAAGTCTGCGCGTTGGCCGCTCTCGTCGACGCTCGCCAGAAGTTTTCCCCGCGTCAGACCGCGTTCACCCAGACTGCGGAATTCCTCGCGGCCGCGGATGAAAAGGGAAAATGCACAGAGGCGGAACACTACAAGGCGGCCTGCCATGAGGGGACCAATGATGATGCAGAGAAAATAAAAGCCATTGATGCGGCGGCACCAAAAGGAAATGTGATCGCGAAGGGAGCAAAGAAGGAAGACGTCAAGGCCGCATGCTGTCCCCCGCCCAAGTCCGACGGTGGAAGCTGTGGCTCCTGCCGCTAAAAAATTCAAAAAAATTGAAGACGATCAAGAAGAATTCAGGTAATTACTACAATAATTTCGAATTTAGTGTCTTTCTCCGTTGTTGATGATATGATGCTGCACTAAGAATTTGATGATATGAATGAATCTCTATCTCTAAGGAGACAATCGGTGGTCTTTCACTTTCTCCGTTGATGATATGAATGAATCTACAAGTCGTGGTGTAAGTGATGTATACAACATCATAGCTCCCAATAGGTCTTGACCACAACTTATGAAGATGAAAAGCTTCAATCACTTCTAGAAATCAACACTACATTTCTCTTCTTCTTTATCCACTGGCCCTCACGACCAGGTGTTTTTGATACGGCGCACGAAAAGGGGTGATGTTGAAGAAGACCAACATGTTGCCGAGGAGAGAGGACGCATGATAAACTACAGGCACTTTCTTACTTTTGGAATATGTTTTCCACATGCAGATTTAGAAGATTCCTTGTCATCTGCTTCTCCAACTCCAATACAGAGTCTATTCTGGGTACTAGGTAGAATCGAAACAACCACAACTACTACACTTCTACCACATGATGGTCATGAAAAGGATATCGCACTACAAATAGAACTTCTACTCCTATCTTTCAGGCACATCAATCAATCAAATCAATCAGGTAGCCTTAGTTCGATGATGACCATTGGGATGGGGTCTACTCCAGATATTACGAAGGTGGCAGAGGGACGTTGTTCGCTCAATATTCGAGGAAGAAGATTTGTGAAGGTCGTGTGCGGACGGTGTAGCACATTCATGAAGTGATTTCTTGGAGGATGAGAAGACTTCTTGGACTTAGAATAGATGATTTTCATGTTGTGGTACACCTACCAGTACAAAAATTTTCTCGTCGAAAGGACAAACGTAATCAATCGCATATTCATGCCTGTGGTGGAACCTATGAAGAAAAGTGGCATATTTAGCTATCTATGTTGTTCATCTCGTTTGAAAAACGTGCTGGTACGAGTGGTACTAAGTAATTGCACAGCATTGCATAGCATTATTTCCTAGAAAACATAGATATTACTAATTTTGTCAACTACATCGTCGACGAGGGTCTTTTTACGTACTTACAACAAATGGTGAAGGAAGACATATGACGACATTCCCAACATCACCCCCCTTCTATCTGTCATATCATCACAACACTGTGGCAAGCATTTCTGACGTATTTATTATCCTGAACGAGCACAAGCACAACGTAAGAATAAGTAACATCGAGGAAGTATCAGGAGGACTACAACTACGTACTTATATTATAACAACTTCTACCATGAAGAAAATATTCAACTACATCGAAGATCACCATGGCTGTGGCTCTACTACCCCCAAGAAATTATTCAACTCATCGCATATTACACATCAACATCAATACCCTAGAAGAAGTAATAAAAATGAAAGCAGACCTTCAGAAGCATTCCACCTGACGATTGTTGAATTTCCTTCAAATGCATTTGGTACTAAAAATAGTAGATCCACAGCAAGGGAACTTCTAGAGAAATCTAAGGGACTTAGAGAATTACTAATACTAGATGCACCAGCAGCACAACTCGAGATGAGGCAGAATAAAACAGCATCCACATTAGCAAGTACAACTGTGTTCCCGGAGATGTTGAAAAAGCCAGGTGTGACACCTATGCCATCTATCAACTCGGCGAAGAGGATACACCCTCTCGGCCCTTATCGGTCAAAGGATTCTGGGCTGACACGTGAAAGAACGAGATGAATATTCATCGTAGATCCCAATCATCATTCATCAGGGCAATCATGCATCCAAAAATAAGGAAGCTGAGAATCTGTGCCTGAAGATCTGTACTAGTATAGGCACAATTATCATCATCATCATCATCATCATCATCATCATCATAAGTATTGAGATTTTGAATTTTCCGCATCGATTTTTGTATTTGTAATTGTTCCGCAACGATTCCTCTAATTTGGTTTGTGGTCTCCCCGAAGATTCCCTTTTATCCCATTAAAGTTTCAGAAGTACTTTGTTAGAAGGATCGAGGTAACTACCTTAACCTTATTTTCCGATCATAATGAACTTCAAAATTTTCGCATGATGATAGTGGTAGAAGAAGTAGGTTGCATTTTTTGATGTGAGTTGACTTTTTGGACTGTTACTTTGTACCTCCACGACCTCTCAAATAGGTTACTAGCTACTGGTTCTTTTCTAGTAGAATTACTCTCTGCTACTTCTTGATCAAAACCACATTACCTCAACTACTTCTAGCAGGAAGACACTTCTAGCAGGAAGATCATCAGGCACATTCCTACAGTCTCAGGCACATTCCTTCAGTCATTCATCTTGCAGCCTTCCTTCTTGAGCATCACACGACTCACAACTACAACTACTTGTAGCATCACCTTCTTCTCGCTTCGTCTACTTCTTCTTCTCCACGTCACTCACCAATTGTTCAAAAAAAATGTCGTACGGTTGTAGGCCGCTTACTGTACACCACCTTTCCGATCTCGGTCTGTTTGTCATTCCGGCGCAACTGCGTGGGCTACTTAGTAAGGTATTCTACAAGTTTCGTTTTTTTTTTGAGCTTATGCTCCTTTTCTACGCATGTTGAGGTAAGGCGTTCCGAGCGATCTTCGTTATTGTGTGGGTTAGCGTTCTATGAGTCTTTATTTTTGTATCTACTTAACTACAAGTGCAAGTGAAGTCATCAGTCATTACGCACAGTAATTTTTGTACCAAACCTCTCTTCAGGAGCCACAGCCTGCGACCGGCACAAGCCCCGCCCAACAGGGTGCGACCGCTACCACCGCCACAACTGTGAAGGAGGTGAAGAAACAGCTACTTGAGCCAGCAGAATATACAGTAAAGGTGCAGCGATTGTATGCGAAGAGAAAGCCGAATACCAAGGTGTCGTGGGGTGGCTACGGATGTGTACAGAAAATTTCAGGCGTTCACGACGCCGCGGCCGCAAGCAAGGACAAGGAGAACAAAAATGGTGCAGCACAGGCGAACAACAAGGGGGACAAAGGTTATGACACAGTTCGTTCATGTACTTGATATGACTCCCTCCTGTATATGTTGTTGTATATGCTACTAGTCATCTGGTGTCATCATGATCATGGTTGTTGTTTGAAAACTATAAAAGTTGAGGTAGTTTGTTTTATTCGTTGCTACAACGAACAGCGTGAGCCATGACGCGGCTGATATACTTACGTAGTATTAAGACTAAGAAATAATAAAAGAATGGAAAAACCGATTATTCATCCCACCAGCTACTTTCATACCCCAGCAGCGCCTTCCAGTCCAAAGTCCAAGAGCCCTTTGCCTCGCAAAACCCTCGATCCTAGGACCGGGAGTGTCATAGAAGTAGTCCCGAACGAGCATTTCGACGACCGAGCTGCATTTTGGAAAACGTGGAGGTCGAATCTGAAGGATATGAGTTTATGAAGGGCATGAAGGGCTACACTTAGTAGAAGTAGTGTTTGTTCATGTTGTATTTTTATTGTTCTTCAGTGTAAAAACGCCCTACACGGGTGGTCAACCCCGCTTTTACCCACACGTCCTCCTTGGGGCGCTCTGCTAAAGCTCGTGGTCCCACCAGGTGTGGCGGCTCAGCGGCGGCATCCTATCCTATGTATCCTATCATCTAGATTTCGTTGACATGATTTAGTATGACATTTCTCCTCTCCAATTCCCGCGTACCTTGCGAAATACGAACAGTTTGGCCCTGAGGTGGATAACGTCAATCTTGCCATCTTCGAGGTGAAGCCTGTCGGACAGACGATTTATCAAAGCGCTTTTGAACGCTACGATCAGCATGGGAAGGCGTGAAGCAACAGGTGCTTTGGAGGGATATTTCTTAGAAGACCGATTTTCCCTTATGGGTTCGTTGAGGCTCTGATGGAGTATAAACGGATGAACGGGTTTGAATCGGACCTGTAAGGGACTCCACGTCAAGAGGTCGTTGTAAATGCAAATCGTATACATTTGGATATTGTTTCTCAAACAGACACAGAAGTGCGCTTGTCTAAATTTTCTCTTGGGCACACATCGTACTACAATTCATTTTTTCATTGACTTTTTCACGCAGCTTACTATGTTCATAGAAAAAAAAGTACCTTCATGGAAGATCAGCATCAGATAAGACAAGAATGTAGCACCAGCTGGTTGTCAAGTGAAGATGTTGACGTCGTTCCTAAACAATAGTTTTCTTTGTCCTGGTTCTTTCGCTCTCTCGTCTGGTTTCGCAGTATGCCGTCAAAGGCACGGTTCGAAATGAAAGGAGTTCTATGGTTCGAAATGAAAGGAGTTCTATGTTGAAGAACGTGATGCGTTCTCGCGCTCGTCACTCTCAGCAAAGCAGGCTGAGATTTTGATTTTGTGTTCTGAAGAAGATTTTCGGTCCTCCAAGACAATGCTCTGTGACGTCACCGGTTGAAGCTTGCTTTTATCGGTTCAAAATAAGAGGTCTGTGAAATAACAGATTCCACTACTAGTACTTTAGAACCTGCAGACCATGGTGTGCTGTGCGTGCGAGTCAACAACGAATTCTTGAGATGACGATTATATCCAAGAGAAGAGGCGTGAGATCATAGATTGTTCAAGAGTACTTCTAGTGTCAACATGTCGAGGACATTAAGTAAGTCCTCCAAGTTTAGTTGACCTTCTTGACTAAATGAGAGGAAGAGGGACGAGAGAGTGTCCTCAATATGTTGTCCACATGAGAGGTGAGAGTTAGAGCTCTCCCCTATTCATCCCTGTGGAAATCCCTCAAGCATATGCGTCAGTATCTCCCTTGTATTGGCGCGCATATGTTTGGGAGATGTTGACAGGGGTGGATTAGGGGAAACCTTAAGAGAGAGAGAGAGAGGATCTGTCTCTGTCATGTATCCGTGCACGCTATCCATCTTCAAGCAATGATGAGTATGAACAACTTGTAGTTCTACATTCATTCTTACTAGACTGATTGAAGATCTAGAACAACTAATGTATTCGTACTCAACACCTCCACTACGCTGCACTTCCTAAAGTTGAAGATCCACAAGATCAGAACTTCGATTATCTTACTCATCCAGGTCACCGGATCCCGGATTTTTACCCCAATCCCATTTTGCTCTTCTATTGTTGTTTTAAGTAATACATAAAAATTTGTTCCTCCTGTGCAACTTCTTCTAAAAACTATTTAGTTTTTGATTCGACATCCAGTTCCTGGTGGAGACTTCTGAACGGCACAAGCTCACTCTCAAGCAACGCTATCATGTCGAGGCGCACTGAGGATAGGCAGAGCCGCTATACGGCGGTCTTTGGCTCCAGTCCTTTTACACCGAGCTCGCGTGTTCAGGCAAAGGTCCCCTCCTCGTCTTCAAAATTACAAGGCAGTTCTAAAAACAACAGTAGCGCATCTTCCGCATTAGCTAGTATACTGAACGAGCACCAAGACGAGCATGATGCGAGAATTATTAAGGGTACAAGAAATCCAACTTCTGCACTGTCAACTACATCTTGGAGGTCCTCCTGTTTTTAAAGGGAAAAGGAGACCCAAGATGCTGCTGAGGATGGATTTCCATTAGTTCTAAGAGAAAGAAAGTGGCCGACGCAACTTCGTCCTCAAGAATAGTGGCCCAGCACACCTCTAGGCGTGGTAGGAAGAGTGCAGCCTCTTCCGCATCAAGTAGTAAAGCAACTTCATCTTCGACGTCCTCGCGAGTTACAACTGCATTGCGTGGTGGAGGTGGAGGACGTGGTGGGAATCCACTTGGTCAACAACATGGTACTAGCAACGCAACTACAAGCTTGTTCCTATACAACACCGATCCTCGCGCAGCTTCTTCTTCTGCTAGTAGCGCGTCTGGTGGAAGCAACCTGTACGACCCGCCTAATGCTGGATTGACTCACGATGTAGTTGTAGAGCCTATAGTAGAAGGAACACAAGCAACGTTAGCAGACAAGTTCCCTGCTTCTCGTTCCGACAAAGCGAGACAACGAAGTAGGGAGATCACCCATTAAGACTCAAGAAATTTCAATCTCACTTCTACAACTCAACATTTGGTGCATTTCTCGCAGAACAAGTTTCCTATTAATTTGGGTTGGTTAGAAGATGAAGTAAGCAGTCGTGAAATACCTGATGGAGCTCTAAACTACCTATGGCTATACGGACGATGAAGCACGGGGTCAAGATGTCGAGGATCGGAGGCTGGAGAAGCTGGAGCAGTCGAAACTGAGTGCGCGCGATGACGCCGCTTTCAACACATGGAGAGAGTTAAGGCTTCTAGACTGTAGACGAAGTAGAAAATCATGACAGGAACTGTTTCATCTTAGCGATGGTTAATGCTGACCATTTGAGATGTATTGAATTGATGATGATTCATCTTTTGCATTTGGGGCATCCTTGGAAAGTTTGCTTGAGTGAATATCCACCATTGTTCTCAAGTGATCAAAGTACTCTTCTAGGATCGTGCAGAAGTTGAAAGATGAATTATTGTCCTCCTAGAGGTAGAGACGACCACCTCTAAGGGAGGACCTTACACCTTTTTTGGAAGAGCCCGATCCTGTCGCGAACCTGGGATATCTAGGCAACACTCCGCGAGGCAAACATTCAGCAGGACACAGCCCAAGAGTACCAGCTGGAGGTAAGAATACACTGACAGCAACAGTTTTAGAACGCGGTGGCAACTATAATCCTCTTTATTTTCATCTCGTAAAAAGAGATGAACATCCCCATCCGAAAGAATAAAAACGAAAACATTCACATCAGCCTCAACGCTCTGGCGCTTTGACATAAGAATTGACTCTACCGTAATAACATTGAAGACTTTGAATACACAAGACCAACCTCTTTGATGTTTCTTCATGCTCTACTTCCTCTCATCATGACTAGTTCTCCTCCCCTCCACTGTGCCAGAGAAGAGTCTCAACAGTCTCCCCTTCTTCAACTACTTCTTCAGGTTCATCTAGGGGTGGCGATCGACCCGCCTGTTTTCAGCCAATTGTGAGCGCTTTAGGCGAACAGGATGTAGTGGTGGCAACTGGTGGACGGCGCAATACGCCTCAGGCGAATACTACAAGGGCTAGTTTTAGTGATATGGTGGAGCCTCCAGAGCAGTATGATGACGATGGGCATGCTCTTGGTGCTTTCGAGAAGAGTGAAGCAATTCAGAAATTATGAATTTTTATCCATCTAGAACAACAACAAGGACCACTGACAACCACGACTACCTAGTTTAATATATTAATGACGACATTTAGTATTCCAGTCGCAGGAAATGTTAAACTTATAGATTCATTGATAAGTAGTATGCCTCGTCTTCGTTATGTTATGATCAGATTGTTGACACAGGAGACACATCAGCAGAAGGAGCATACGGATCTCTTCTAACTCGTGCGCGCAGTCGTGCCGTTTCCGACTTGAATTATCAGCGCTGGTTAAGCAAACTGCACACCGCGGCCAAGATTACAGAGCCGCACACAGTGGAGCGGAAGAAGGATATCGAGGAAAAGATACCTACAGCTGGCAAGCCCTACGAGCGCTCTGTTCGTTGTGCGCTGCAATTCGAAGATCGCGATGGCGATAAGCTTAAGGCCAGCACAAGAAATCCATCCTCCCCCTTTCCGTTACCTTTTTCCTATTGATTCTTTTTCTTTGTTGCTTCGTTCCTTTGCAAGATGAGCCTCAAGATGGATAACGGGAACCATGATCAATGAGCCTCAAGATGGACTTGTGGCAGTTCTTCTAATAAGCCAGAGGAAGATCATAAATGTAGAGCATTACCAGAGTTTATTCGACGGGAAGCAGACAAAGCACCTGAACCCTGGACCAGACCGCACTTGGGACCTGAGTATCAGTTTTTTTTATCAATGATTGAGTATGTAAGTAGTAGAATGAGCCGATGAACAACTTTCCTGCTCTTCACCACGTTCTTTTATCTTGTGATCTATGATATTCACGATCACGATAAACTCATAGACTCTTTTTCTTATTTTAGTAAGTTTTAGGACTCGTCTTTTTCATATTCTCATCTGTGAAAGCGCAAATCATTTCTCAAAACAACTCTCCGACGTCGAGGAAAGAAAACTCTTACTAAGAGTACACAATTTCCCAACATCTTCAGTTACGTTCATGGTACATTGATCCCTAGACGAAAAAAGTGGGACTGGGACAAGGAATTCTGGGCTGGCCAGCACACCCAAACTTCTGAACTTGAAGCTGCACGTATCGCCGAGCATGCACGTGCGAGAATGAAACACTATGTTATGGCGAGGGGATAAGATTAGAAGGGTGGAAGAATCTTCAGAACAAACCAAAGAAGCGTCGTGTGAGAAAAGATACTTGCGCAACAAGTGTTGTGCTCATACGACAAGAAGTAAGTACTTATTCAAATCAAGTCGTGCCTGTGCCAGCACAGCTCTTAATATGAAAATTCCTTCCACCAAGAACGTTGACATTTAAACGTGGACAACGACGAGCAAGTGACATTTTTTGTAGTGAGGGTTTTTCATGAAGAAAAAAACCTAGAACTTTGATCAAGATTCCTAGGTTCTACTTCTAATTGGCGCGCTCCTGGTGTAGCACAATCAGAAGAACTGCTCTCGCGTACGCGCAAACTTGCCCAACACTTTCCTCAAGGGGACGACGAGGCTAGTAGTGGTACTGGTAAGCGAGGGAAGAGGAGCCCCATGACTTTGTCTCAGACTTTAGTTAAGGCTCGTCTCACTATTCCAGCATCTTTGTGACTTCTGCATCCCTGAAAACAAGTAAGGGGAAGCATCTTCAAGGGGATGAAATTATGCTCCCCCATGTTTATTGAAACATATATTTGCAAGACCAAGAAGTATGCAGCCGAAAGATGAATGTATGGTTCTGGTATTTGGTAATCTGAATTTGATCCTAAGGGTTCTCTTCTTGTTTTCCCCTATGATCCAACTCAGGTTACCAAATTCCGGAACCATTCAAAGAAGACGTAGATGAGCTACAAGGTACTAGAGGTGCTGGTTTGTCTAATGTAGGCCAGGTGCCACAGAAGAAGAAGGACCCGATGATGCGGCGCTCGACGTCGTTGGATGGCTTGCTGAACAACAAGAGCATTGAATTCGAAAACATGTTTGGCCTGACGAAGGAACATGTGGAGAATTGTCCTTTTCCACCTGGTGGGTTGGATCCGATGGCTCCACGCTTACAAGTTCGACATAGGAATGATTATGGCATCCAGCATTTTTAGTTGAAGATCTCATATAATTTTCGATTCATCTCGATCTCGATTCGTAGCACTTTAATTTAAACTGATCAAGAAAGAAGTACAAACAGTAGAAGAAGTCACAGTTAATAGACTGTAGAAGATGTTTATAATCCACAAGAAATTGCCAACGAGCAGGCATAATTTGATGGTGGCTGAGGACTCTCTTCTAAACAAAAGGCGAGCTTGGATTACGATTTTATAGTCGAGTTTTAGGCGAAAACTTCGACGACGCGGAGAAAGACACCGGAGCGAAGGCGAAATATCAAAGTCTCTCTTAAGGCTTGATGAGGTGATCCATCTTCCCCAACATCTTGGCCTTCCTGTTTCTTTGCGAAAGGAATAAGTGGGGCAGCACCTCCAAGATGCGCATAGAAGTACATCAAGATAGATGGACTCCTGCATCAAGTTCTAACTGTCGCACGTCAAAGTGAACCACTTGTGTGCCGTCCCCAGTCACATGGAAGAACGAAGGAAGGAGCAACGTGTTCTGTATGAACACAAGATGCGACTAATATTAAGGCTTATACAGTCTAGCTTTCTTTCTAACTTTCATCCTTGATACATATATTTTTTTGTGTTCAAAGAAAGGTGAGTGTAACGACTTGGTCTTCTTCGGTTCAAAATCATTATGTAACTCATCTCTAACTCTATGGGGCGGTGAAGGACCTCTTAGCCGTCTTCTATTATCTTGTGGTATAGAAACAAAACTAAAACTAAGTCAAGATGATTGAATTCTAAATATGCGTGGCAACGTGGCAACGCAACCTCACTTGAGGAATATACCGTTTGACCCCGATGGAACCAAGCACAGTTTGACGCAGAGGGAACTATCACCCGGAGAAAAATGGTTAATAGAGCATGAGCAATACCCTTCGACTTTGAAACATTGGTTATGGTCAACATTTAGTGTCCATCATTCTCGGCAACATTTAGTGTCCCCTTTTCCCTTGTATTCTCGTGAAATACAAGGTAAAAGGGATCAAGATGAGGGGGCCGAGATGCAATCTAGCAGACTCTAAATTGGCAGAGAATGCGACGGAAAGGGGTGAAAAGTTCAGGAGCCTTCGACATATCGGAGACGACTCGCGTCCACAATGCGAAGGCGCACGTCGACGACGGAGGGAAAGATACAACAAAGAGCGAGATTACCCCTGCAGAGAACTGGAAGAACATGGCAAGGGCAGAACAGGTGGAGAATGCTATTACGGCTACCGCAAGATGAGCATGTCCTCAACAGAGCATGAACAGGAGTTGGCTCTTCTTTTTCTACTTGAAAAAGAGGCCAAGGATGCACAACTCATAGCAAAGACTCGATAGCGATTGCTCTAATTTTAGGCAGGTAAAGGAAGTGAAGCAAGCCCAATATGAGTCGCAGATCTTTTTTGGGATGGAGGATCCTCTGATTCGCAAGGAAATCGAGGATGCTCGTAAAGTGCCTCATGACGCATTCCTTGCGATTGCGAATTATCCACAACTCTACGACAACAAGCACGCCTTTTTGAAAAATATGCGATATGACAGGTACTTACTCGTCTTAGTAAATAGTTGTACTAGTATCATTTTTTTGGGAACAATACCGTACTAATATTCAAGACCACCAAGAATGTAGTCAACATAGCGGATATCATGTTCTTGTAAGTACTTCTTAAGAAAGTAGAAACTATCGTCGAATCATGCTTCACCTTCACCAGCATCATGTTCTTCTTCTACTACTTTTTTTCCCGCCCTCCACTCCTCTGAGAAATCCTCGGTTTCCCTCTATTCTTTCCACCACAGAGAAACCGAGGATTTCTTAGAGGAGCGTATGACTCAGAAGCAGCTGGACCAAGATTTGGCGTGGCTCGACCTTGAGTGCCATCGAGGCCCGATGCGGTATGCTAGTATCGCAGATCGTAGTGGAACTGCTATCAGGAAACTGAAGCAGTATCGTGATGGTTCCGCAGCCTACTACGAAAAAGATCCGTCAGCGGGTATTACGGCTAAAAATGTCAACAAGAAGATCAACATCGTCCCATCTGCACCTGCTCCAGGGTCTACAGTGGAATGGGCCTCCAGTTGGAGGTAACTCTATGATCTCTTCTAATCTTACTATTCGTATGAACCACCAGCCACTGGATGAGCCACTGGATGGGAAAAATGCTTTTCGGAGAGGAGGCACGGATTTGACTCAAACAGGCCAAGTGGTCGACGCAGAGAACACGAAAGTGCCGATTCCACCATTAGAATTGCTGCAAAACAACAAAATGGACCGGCTGGCCAACTTGCGGCTCAACTATCCTTCATCATCTTCCTCGGCTAGGGCTACTTCTTCCACTGGGGGTGGTGGAAAAAAGCGTCGTGGTGCTGCCACTGTGTCCGCAGGACGAGCTTCACTCTCTGATGGAGAAACCACTACACAAAATAACCGAGGAGAACAAGCAAATGTTGATGTTAATGTTAAGGCTGTACCTAGTACATCTTTGGCCGCATCCTTGAAACGTATGGAGGCGTATCCTGCTAAGGGAGTAATGCTCTCCCATAGTACTTTTCAAGGATGCACTTGGATGATGAATCGCGGGCAGCTGCTCTAATCCTGGCACATTGATCTTGGATGACCTCGACAGAGGAGGGCATCAGGGTCCAGATCCTCGTAATCCTCATATCAGCGAGCGCGGCCCTGTCTGTCTGTACGCGGAACTTAAGGCTTCCCCTATTAATGGAGAACCCTTTTCGGAGAAGTCTGTCATCCACCTAGTATGGTGGAAAACAGTCTTAGGAAGAGGATGCATTTCTTCGAGATAGATTAATTGCTCAAGATGACCTCCACCTCTAACGAACGGAAGCGGCGTTTGGAACAGTATGCCGTGTCTCCTCAGCGTCGCGCTAAGGATGCTATTGGCGGTGGCTATTGGGTAGGAACCGACACGGCGTCGCGTGGAGCACAAGCGTTAAGGCTTACTACAGGAATTATCATCTCGAAGTAAAGATTTTGTTGAAGACGCATCTTTCATCTGTTTGGCACGTTTTCAAAGGGAAAACAGAAACACGACTTCTGCAAAGATGAGGAGGACGCTCGAGATAGATTTAGGACAGCTCCAAATGCAGCTGGAGCCAGTAGTGCTCAAATCGCGTCTGCTGCCAACACGCAAATCGCCGTCACTTCCTCGAGGAGCAAATCGGTCAACATCCTAGAGGACAAGACTCGAAGGAAGAATGACGCATCAACAAATAGAGGCGTAGTGGAGGCCGCTTTCGGTGCTTTTGCACGTGATGCAGCCGAAAAAGCGGAGAAGGGGAGAGCCAACCACCGTTCGAACGTAGTGCTGTCCCACGCGATCCCCATTCTGGAAGAAGGCTTGGGCCTCCCAGGCCAGACGTCCCGAGTGCAGAAAGACAGAAAAAGTGAAGTTATGGTCAACTACTACTTACAACCATTTATTAGTGTAGTAAGTAGTACATCTTTGATTTTTCTCAGCTCAACTGCTACAGGATAGTACCCTTTCCACCCATGAAATACAAACGAAAAGGGGCTCGTCCCGGTATGAGGGAAGGCGACCACCGAGTAAGAAAGTAGATGAATACAAAACGCCGTCCGCTCTAATGAGGCTGACGTTCCCGCTGCGGAGCGTGGTAGTTTCGATTACCTCTTTGGTGGTGCGGATAGCGAGGACCGTTTTGTTAGTATGTACCGTGACGAATTTGGCTCGGCTAGCTCCCCACATCGCGGATCAGAGTTGAAGAGGATGGCGCCATGGATGCCAGCCAAGGAACGGAAAGCTTTTCTTATTAAGGCTAGTTTTTCACTATCCCCTTCCCCTGACCCTATGGACTATGCGTATCATGCTGCGTGGATTTTTCACTATCCCCTTCCCCTAACCCTATGGAGGATGCGTATGCTGCGTGGATTTTTCACTATCCCCTTCCTCTTCCCCTGACCCTATGGCCTATGCGTATGCTGCGTCGTGGAGTTCCTCTTCAAGGGGAAAACCAAGGCGAACAAAAAGGGCAACTCGCTCAGTCCACCAGGGATACATAGTGAAGCTCTAGAAGCGCTAATCTTAGAGAGCAAGACGGCGTCGATTTGCATAAAGCCTTGTACGGAACCGCTGGACGGGACGGAGAAAGTGATGGACCCTACAGGCGGTCACAATCGTTGCCCTACAGTACGAGAGAGCTTCGCAGGCATTATGGAGCATCTGGCTTCTTGGGCAAGGTGAGGGAAGAAGAACTGGAACGCGACACTATAGATAAGGGCACGGCCCAGAGCTATGACGTTTCTGCGGTAGATATTAAGGCCTGATAGATGATAGTACAATTCATTTCCCTGATACATATTACAATTCATGATTTATTCCACCTGATACATATTACAATTCATTTCCAGGTCCAGCTGTCATTTTAATATTCTTCTGTTTCCTTCTTGGGACGAAGATTCTGAAGAAATTAGGAAGGGATGAAAATAAAGTGAATTGCTTGAGCTCTAGAACTTCTAAGGAGAATCTCACTCGTAAAGATCTGACAGAGACAGCTTCTGCGGCAGTGGCTACCAGTCTCCGCCAGAAGCACATGGGCGGCGCAACTCGACTCGGCTTGATCACGAGTAGGCATCGTGTCGGAGAGCAGGCAAGGAGTGACGACATTATGGGTCTGCTTCGGGAGGAAAGGGATTTGCGCAGTGCTCTCCTCAAACGAAACGCGCACGACTTCAAAGTAAGCTTATGGCACCAGCTTCCGGGAATCCATCTTCAGAAGCATCTTGGGTCTGCTTTTCCGTCTGTAAGTTTCTCTCAATTTGGATTCTGGGATGATCTAATAAGCAACGGTCCTCGAGGAAGCGTGGATATGCTCAATGTGGAAGAAGCCGGTCGCTTTCTTAGTTCACCGTCAGCAATGGCACAATTAAGGCTAGTTGTACAGGTAAAGCATCCTCAAAGGCATCCTTGGCCTCTTTTTCAAACGGAAAAGAGGCCAAGGAGAAGGATGTTCTGAAGGATGCAACTCGGTAAAAACCTTTAACACAAGGACGTTTGGAGTACGCACAAGGCACATCGACACAGGAGAAGGCGTATTTGGAAGAGCAGCATGTTAAGGCCAGTTTTTCGCTATCCTACGTGGACTATGCTAAGTGGTGGATTCCCGTTAGAAATCAAGGCAAAAGAACTGAGGGGGAAAATGGGGAACTCACTGAACGAGGCATAATGAAAAACTACCACGACCTTTAAGCATGCTCTGCAATTGCAGCGAGATACCAAAGCGCAGTTGCGACGCGTCATCACTAGTCCCATCCAAAGTCCTATGCTGCAGCGGGGGTTATCCAGTACCGGTGACAGATTTGTGCATGACGCGGAAGGTGTTAAGGGCATCAACATTAAGGGTCACCAGTCACAGTCACTATTCGTATGTGGTATGGACAATTTCATCTAGTTGTACGGGCTTGCTAATTCGATTTTTCCCCTTTTTAGAGATTCTTGTGAGGGGGAACAAGATGGTACAGATCCAATTCCAATCAAAGCAGGCTGAATCAATAGTGAAGATTGACACTGGCTTTAAGAAAAGCACGAAGAGAGGACGAGAAGCGTTCGACAGATTGACGTCTCGGGAGTCAGATCATGAGCAACCAAGATTAAGGGGTGGGAAAAAAAGCTCTTCTTCATCTTCATCATCTTCAAGCAAGAATCCGGGCAACCATTACAACATGCTTGCATATCAAGAAAAACAAGGCGGAAGTGGAAGTGCTGCATCTGCATCCTCGATTGCCACACCGCTGTCTTCAAAAGCATCCGCAAAAGCACGAAGAGGACAAGGCCAAGAGTCTCTGAGGCGAATCCTCGATGAGACAGCGTCTTCGGTCGCATCAGCGAGGAGTACAAATAAATCATCTGGGAAGAAGTCAGCATCATCTTGTTCTTCTCGAAACAGTACTAGGAATAACAAGCGTAACACGCGTGGAGGGTATAGAAGGAGTTCGCAGGAAGCACTGCTTCGTGGAGGTGCAAGACTTCCACGGACTGAAGATGAAGAGACTGCGGACAAAGATAGTAGAGAAGGAGACTTGATGAGCCTAGTACCAGGAGCTTCTGCTCTCCAACAGCATCCTTTGCAGACAATTGTGGAGATTCCGTGTGCAGGTCAGTACTCTCGTGAGATCGAGATGCGAGAGACAGTCGCGCGATACGAGTTCGGGAGGAAAGAGAAACGTCGAAGTCGCAGTCTCGACACTGGTTCTGCACTTAAGGCTTGGTTGTACCCAAGAATAGATTTGTTTGCATAAGAACAAGCATCTACTTCTTGTTCTTTTTATTCCTTGGTCCTACCTTTTTTGAAGCAGGTGATTGAACAAAGCGTGTCAAGGATGGGACGTTTCGAGATGGATTTGGGCAAGCTCTAATGCGCAGATGAATGAAGAAGAGGTCCAGAGGAAATTGGCCCACGAACAGGAGAGGCTGAGGCGACTTCACAACGTGGAGACCTATGAAACGACTTACGCGGATGATTACGGTGTCTCTCGGAAAATGCTTCGCTCACAATCGGCGGCGGATGTGTACGCAGCCATGCTCCGCTGTGCTGAGCGAGACCGTGCTCGTGGGGCAGTTCTTGGACGAGCGGCAACGTTCTTAAGGCCAGTTCTTCACTATCCCAGGTGGACTATCTACGTTGTATACTGAGTTTTTTCTGATAGTATCTGATGGACTTCGTGCTGCTCAGGTATTCCACCTCGTCTAGGTGTAGTATTCCTCATTTCTAGCACTGTTTCTGTTCTCTCTTCTTCAAAGCATATTTATGTGGAATGAACTAAAACTGATTAATATATTACAGGTCTTCCAGGAGCTAATCCCAAAAATCTCTCCAACCAACTTCCTCTCGTTTTGATCAAAGTTTTTTAGTGCAGGGTCGTTTAGTGCACTCTACGACCTAGTACAGTCTACGTCTAGTCCTCTCATCATTATTTATGTGGAATGAATTGAGGAGGGCGAGGGGAAAGGGCATCTCCTGACTCAACCACCAAGCACGGGGATGAAAAACTAGCGCTAACGTTCGGCGGTTTGCGACGCGCGTCAATGCTGAAAAGGGGACAAGTGGTCTTAGATCAGAAGGAGTTCGAAAAGCAGGTGCAGAAGGAACAAGAGTTGATGCAGGATGCAGAGAAGCAGAGGAGAGAGGCCCGCTTGCGTCAGGCTATTAGTCGCGCCGAAAAATTGGAGCACTTTCCGAGTGTCATTCCGCACAACTATCCTATTGCAGCACGTTGCACGGACGAATTCGGACAAGAATGGGCTAAGACGAAACTCCATCGCAAGGAACAACACATTTTAGGAAAGGAAGTCATGAGTATGAAAAGTTGTCAGATTAGTTTTGTTAGGAGGAAAAGTATGAATATGAGTAGAACTAGAGACCTCCTATGGGGCTGACACGACGATAGCTACCCTTTTAGCAGATCGGAGGTTACTTGCTGATAGCTACCCTTTTCGCTTTTCTATCTTCCTCTGGTCTTTCTTTTTTCTACTTAGGTCTGGCCCACCACGAATATAAATATTCCGTTTTTTTTTTCAGTCGTGATAAGCATGCGGAGTGGTGTCTAATCCTTGGCGCAACGGCAGCTCGTGATTTGGATCATTTACGTGTTGACAGTGCAGAACGCCATCAAGAGCGGGATAGAAAGACGGCAGCGTTGAAAGAAGGCGAAACACCAGGTTTGTTGCTTGATCGTGCCAAGGAGCTCTACGGACCGGGTGGACCCAGGGATTACTATTAAGGCAGGCTCGTCCGAAGGATGATTTAACTTGTTTTCATTCATTTACTCGAAAACTGAAAATAAGCGTTAAGGGTAGGTTAAAGGTGCTTTTCTTACCGCTTTTTATGCCTCTCCTAAGGGAGAAAGGCATAAAAAGCGGGGTAAGCGAGCACCAAAAACCTACCTCTAATAGTTACTGACTGAAATATTAGAAGAGTCATTACAACTACAAGGCACATTCCTCTTCTTTCAGTCTCTCGCTTATTTCAAGTAGTTACTTGCAGCTTATTTCAGTTTATCGAAATCGAATATTAACGAAAGTACAAGTACTCTTAGTCTTAGAAGTCCCTTCCTCGGACCACGACCTAGGAGAACGGACGCAGACCTAGAATACATGAACTTGAACTGGAATGGTTGATGAGCTGAAAGCTCTAATACTACGGCGCACAGAAATTTCTAGCGGATGCAGACCCTTCGTCGGAAGCTGCGAAGAAGCTGAAAGAGCGTGGAAGCTTGAGACTAGCAGCTGCGTGTGCGGATCTTGGGTACAACTCCTTACATTAAGGCTCAACTTTCAATGGTCATCGGGGTTGGTCACTGAGATCGTTGGTCATCATTTAGATTGGAGTCACTGAGATCGATCATTTAGATTGGAGTCACTGAGATCGAAGAGGCGACCTTCCCTTGAGAGTAGAACAGCAGAAATAGACGAAGGGAACAAAGGCAAAGGGGAGAGCTTTAAAGGGGGTCTCTTCCGTTCAGAGTCATGGTGACCATTGAATGCTGAGCTTTAATTACAGGAGATCGCCGCGTATCAAGACGACCTGGCTGAAGGTGGCGAAGTTGATGGTGTCCGTAAGGTGCATGAAGAACTCAAGAGACAGCGCTTACAAAAGCAGGTCTTTGCGCGTGAAAAGCCAACGCAAGAGCAGTTGGAAGAAGCAGCACTGAATCCAGGGAGACTCCATAACTTTAATGGTGGACGATATAACGACAGGGATATGGTATTTTTACTAGAAGATCATGAAAAACTTTAGATTAGGATTTGGACCTCTTACGAGGAACCTTCCCAGCAGCACGAAGTTGTAAAAATGAGGTAGAAGATAGAAGAAGTATCTTTTTTTTTCTTGCTCACAATCAGATGAAATTGATGAACAACAACAGCACGTGATGATGAATCGGCTTGTCGACCTGGAATTAGCAGATTACAACCGCAGTCGAGTCCGGCTCGAGGCTGATAAAGGACGCGTTTTCGATGTAATCGACTGGCTCGACATTCATCATGATAACTCGCGTCTGAGACGCAAGTATCTGAAAAAAGCACCACCAGAACCACCGGAAGAGAAGGGCCAGTTAGTGAATCTGCCTGTTGCGGGAAAGCGGGGTGAGCGTGAGGTTGCGCACGAACGGTTGCAGAACCTGGAGGATAGTCTGAATTGGCTCAAGAAGTCGGAGAAAACGCGGTCGTACTTTGCGGAAGGGAATAATGGCCCCAAGTCCCGTGAAATCGTCGACACTAGCTCGAATGATGAAGCCACAGCAGGACAAGGTCCTCGAATTAAGGCTACCGCCGATGCATCCTCAGCGTCATCCTTGGCCTTTTTTTCAAGGGAGAAATTTTCAGGGTTGTTCAAGGATACTATGTCTATGGCTCTCAAGGAAGATGCGAAGCGGTAGCTCTAATCGAAGAAACAGTACAGTTTTTTACAATGATCGTGGGCACAAAACAAGAAGTTCTTGTTCATCTGCTGCTTCCTCCTCTTCTAGTAGAGGTGACATTGGTCGTAGGGGTGACGTTCTTGATGCTGACAGGAGAAGCAGCTGCAGTGCCTCATCTAGTATCGGTGCTGGCAAGAAGAAGAGCAGTTGTTCTGCTAGTTCTGCGTCCTCTGCTTCAACATCTTCGCGACGCCGTTCTATGCGCTCGTCGGCCTCGATGCCTCGGCTAAAAGGCGGCAATTGTGTGATGGGAGGTGGCGATAGAGATCCTCGTTTCTCTGAAGATGAAGAGATCCAGTTGGATGACGAGGTGGCAGAAGACGATATTCTCTCTCGGACCGTGGAACAACAACAGCAGAATTCCAGGACCGTGGTACAACTACAAGAACTACGCGGATCTCTAGGCGGTTCAGCAACATCCAGTGTCTCCGGTTCGTCTCGACGTGTTGCTAACCAGGGACTTTCTGGGCCTATGGGGCTTAGTGCGAGCACCTCAAAATTGGACCAGATGAGCTTGAGCATGAGCTCCATTGCTAACGATAATGATGGAAGAGATCGACAGCGATTGCCAGACTCCCACGTTGGCGCAGTGGAGCGACGACGACGCCGCATCGAAAAGGAGCATGCTCGTTCTCTAGACAAGATTACTGGCAGTTATTCCGCTCAGGGGTTAGAGCATCTCCACTCCCATTTTGGCGTGGACGACGTGCATCATGGCGGTTCGCAACCACCAGTGTGGACCAGCTTTCGAGCAAAAGAAAATCGGGCTCACTACTTGGATTATGACTTATTTTTACTTCTTGGTACGTAGTCTCATCTTCACATTTTCATCACAGCGTTTAGTCTCAACACAACAAGGTGGTAGTAGACGCGAATATACGCTTTCAACACATGATGTTGATGACATTAATTTTAGATCTAAAAAAAGGTCTGGTTAGAGTTCTGGTTCTCTTCCTCCAATCTGCTCCATCCATCATCCTCCTTTTCTAAAGGCCACACACGCGCAAAGTGAAGAAGCACATTTACATTCCGGGCGTTCGAGATGAGAATGGCCACCAAACCGTGAAAAAGGTGAACTACCGCAACGACGGCCGTTCTGCTGAAGATTTTGCCAGGACTACCTTGGTCGATTCAGTCATTGCTGATGATGGCAGCGCGCAACTAGGGGATGACGTAACAAAGCTTGCGTTTCGGAACAGTAGAAGCTTTTCTGTTGGTCCGAATGGGGAGATGAAGAGCGATCCGTTGCAGCTTCGGTTTGAGTCGAGTCGCGCTATGGAAGATCGCAAGAAGGGCACACCCAAGATGAAACAATTACGGCTCCTTTTTAGTACTGTTGTAACTGCTCTTGAGATGAACATCCTATTGGGATCCTATCAGAAACTGTTTTGTCTTGCCGATCATGGTACTAGACGAGAGTGAGCATTTGAGACACCACGGTGATGGTTGCCCTCTTTTGTAAGGTGAAAACACGTAATGACTGCAATTGTAGGAGAGTAAGAGGAATATCTATATCTGCTAAAAAAGACGAACAACTTGGCGTGGAACCCACATGCTACTTTGGCGCACGACCTTATCTTTCCACCTTCTGTAACTGAGTTGAAGAATCGACGCGCACGCAGTGAGGCGCCATTTCTGTACGACGACGTTTCTGCCGTGGGAACGCAGAGGCAATTAAGAGATTCACCTTTCAAACGGGCCAAGCGCACGACTTGGACAACTGGCCGAGCCGATGACGAAGCCGAAGTCTGGCGAGATCAAAGGATGGCAACGAGGCTAATAGACGCAGCCGCAAGACAGCAGCACAATCAAGAGGTGCATTTTTATGGTCGGCTTTTATTGTTCTTCACCTCACTCAGCATCTTGCCACGACCGTTCTTGTATTCCCATGAACAAGTACAAGGGTAAAGGCATCAAGGTGGGGGAACAAGTAAGATGAATTTCAGCACACTCTAACGCCTCAGCCAACGAGAGCAGAAGAGCCGAGTAGTGCAAAGGCCGGATCCGAAGAACGTGGCAGGAGAACACTTTTTTCTGGGCAGCAGGAAAAACAGAGTGTTTCAAGAAAAAATGAGCCATCATTGGGAACCTGCAGGATGCGACGTGGACGATGCAGACCACGGCAAAAGATTTGTCTCTGAGGCTGCGGAACAGTTTATCGGTGGAAAACTAGTGGCGAACCGTGCTGGCAACGCGAGGACTTCGGCTGATGGTCTTGCAACGATGCGAAAGGATACTACTGCGGCCAGTCCCTGCCGCATTGGCGAAAGCAGCGCCATGTTGCGAAACGAACGCCCTAGGAGGACAGCAGCGATCGAATTCAGGAAAGATATTATGCAGCTCGGTCACGACAGTCGCACCCATTCGCCTTCTTTCACCAAGGTGAAGCAACTCTGGATCAAATAACCCCGACACAATTTTTCCTGCAACAGGAGCACTCTCTACACCAACGACCACGTGAAGCTGCTTCACTGAAGCAGCCGTTACTAGACTAATAATTTACTTTTTCAAGCCCTCCTGCTCTATCAGTAAGATTAAGTAGAATCATCTCCATCATAAGCAAAAACCCCATCAACAATCAACCATCATAACCCACTCTAAAACCAAGAAGCTACAGCCATACTCGAAGCCTGATAGTTCAGGGAAGATGACGATTTTCACTGGGCCCCCAGAGAATAAGATGGTGCATTCCTTTGTTGGTCGTACGAGTGGAAATCGTCATGTCGCACTTGCGAACGCTAGCAACACTCTGAGGCGTAGCACATCGGCGCAACCTCGTGTTGAGTCGAGTATTAAACTCGGATAGGTGACCCCGCTCGCTGGAGCGATCCGGCAAAAAGGAAAGCAGCAATACTTGGAGAAGAATTTGAACCTCAACACACGACTACACGGGATAATTTGCTGCGGAGAATTTGCTGCATGTAGTTACGCATTTAAAGAGGAAAAATACGATCATCATGGAGAATATTAAGTAAGTAATCGACACCCGCCGAATGCTTCTAAAGAATCAGACAAAAGCTGGTATTTAATGTAGAAAAAAGTGAACTTGAAGCCGCAAGAAAACTACGCTACTGCATAGAAGACATTGATGGTAAAAAACAGGATACGCAAACGCATGATTTCAATAGAGAAAGAAAAATGTCGCTATAATCAACACTGATTAGATATCAAATACTTGTACGAATACGTAATAACATTAACTACAATAAGTAGTGCTGAGATGAGGTGGACGCAATTTTTATACTGTTTGGGAAAAAAATAAACATGAATTTGAATATGTCGAAAAAAATAATACTGTTGTAATGGAACAAAAGCCTTCTAACAAGAAGAGGTCGTTGTATAGAACATTTCAAGAATAAACAGGACTAGATACGAGACATAAACAGTTTTCTGCAGTATTGAACAACAGGTCGAACGATTAGTATTCTAATTGAAAAAGTAAGATAAAAGAAGAACTAATGCAATCTACACCAATAAGGTACTCTTGGGATGAAGACGATTGAAGATACGGAGGTCCACCTTGAGCAAACGACAAAACAACTAACAACATTGACATACAGCTGAGAATCAATCTCGAAAAAAAATACACACGACATACACGGTCCTTCAGTGGCAGTGATCGGTTCTTCGTTTCTTCTTCTTTTCTTCTTCTTTTCTCCGCATCTTTCCCAGGTTTTAGCTAGGTCATAGTAAGCACCTTGTAATGCAGCACGTTTGCCAGGCTCCTCAGCAGCCGCTTAAGTCTACCACATCGGATGGTAGGCCCCAACCTAACCTGACAAAGAACAGTGAATGATGGATACGTCACAGGTAGAAGCTACACGTTCGGGTCAGGAATTGAGTAGTTTAGAAAGTTTCTAATTTCGATCAGTTGACATGAGAAGTTCTAGTTGATGCCACGGTGTACACGGTCCTTCAGCGGCGGTGATCGGTCTAGCGTAGGGAATTATCGAACGATAGAGTAGGTTTTTTGATCTAGGTACCATTGTTGCTAGGCTCTTCAGTAGCCGTCGAAGTCTGCCACATCGGATGGTAGATCCCAACCTAACCTAACCTAACAGTTATTCTATCCAGTAGATCCAACATTGCCTGGGTCGACGTTCACACTTGTTGAGAGCTACGCTACACCAGACGAGGTAGAAGAATTACGAAAAAGTTTGAGCCATGATCTGTTGGACATGTGTCGGTGGCAACGACTTTACTCAAGTGATCCGCCTCGGTCTCGTGCTGACTTCACTCACGAGAGAGAACATGTTAAGAAAATCAAGGCCATTCGGTCTAATTCTTTGATACACTACTACTTCTTCTCGACCACGATGTGCAGGATCCCTGGCCTAGTAACCCAAGAACCTTGATGCAGCTGATACTTCTCTCTCATTGAGCAACAAGACCGAGGATTCAACAACCTTCTCTGAATGCAAGCAAAAATTGTTTCTCTTTGCTTCTCACTCGAATGGGAATGAAATTGAAAGTAGTATGTCTGCCAATTTTTTTTGGTAGGCCCACACCGAACCTAACCTAAAGTAGACGTAGTCGTAGATCATTGATGCAACTATGGGCATGAGGATCGGTCGTAGGCCGCGCTGCACGCGGTAGTGGCAGCCCCCGATTCCCTTGCCGCGGTTCGAGGAGCAGAAACATCAACGCAACAAGTGGTTTGTAATCCTCTGCTACTACAGCTCAGGTTCTCCTTGAGGCTATCGACTAGAACAAGACACTCTTCACTATCAGTCATCTGGCGTGCTAAGCAGGTATCCACAATTCTGAGTGGATAAAGATGTCGGCGCCTTCCGATCGAATGCCGTTTGCCCCACAATCGGTCGAATTTGTGAACCGAGCTGACCTTGTCGTGCCAATTATTATGCTTCCAAGATGATGAACTGAAGGGGGACTCGCTAATCAACTAACTAACCACTCAACCAACTAACTAACTACTTACCTAACTGGCTACTAACTAACCACTCAACCAACTAACTAACTACTTACCTAACTGGCTACTAACTAACTAACTAGCTAGCTAACCACTCAACCAGCTATATTACCAACTACTTACCTAACTAACTGACTAACTAACTAACTACCGAACTAGCTACTAACTAGCTAACTACCTCACTAACCACCAGTTTATTCACTACTTACCTAACCAACTACCTAACTAACTAACTAACTAACTAACTGACTGACTAGCTAACTAACTAACTAACTAACTAACTAACTAACTAACTACTTACCTAGCTAACTAGCTACTAACGACTTAATTAGCTAACTACCTCATTAGCCAGCTAACTAACTACTTACCTGACTACCTCACTAACTAACTCACTAGCGAACTAACTGACTGAGACTGACTAACTAACGAACTAACTACTTATCTAACTAGCTACTAGCTAACTAGCTATCTACCTCAATAACCAGCTAACTAACTACTTACCTAACTCACTAACTAACTAACTAAGTACTTAACTAGAACATAGCTACAGCAAAAGCAGATCTAAGATTATGAACCAACGAGGACTGTCACGGTTAACTAGATGATGTGTACAGCAGCTCACTCTTCTCGTCTAAAATCGACCAGCTGTCGCGGCCTAAAGGAGTGAAGTACGAGTGCGAAATATGTGGAAAACCAGCGAAGTTGATGGCCACGGAGTGTCCAGCCCACTACTGCAGTTTTGAGCACTTCGACATCGATTGGAGGGGCATCAAATCGCTTATTGCACAAGGTACTGATTTTTGGCATCACCTCTTCGTTTTTGTACTGTCACAAAGTCAAACCTATCATGCTTCTGATATAATATCGAGATCCTTCCCCATAATGCATGGTTAAATTCATCGAATCAGTCTACATACTCCTGTTTTCGTCATCGTGGTGCAACGAGAAAAATCCTGGTCTAAACATCACTGAACAAATTCACAAACAGACTTAGTGTATTTGAAGACGGATAAGGGGAGTGGCGAAAAGAAGGACGAAAATGCTGTCAAGGCGATTCGTACTGAGTTTATGGGCAGTAGTAGTCGAAGATGATTATCTTCCTTTGATTTTCTCCCATCACTCCCCTTCCTAGTTTCTAAGTACTAAAAATAACTACTATTAGTAAGGATAATGGATTAAAGCTCAACTAGTACTGTCAAGGGACGAAATCGACGAGGACTACGAAAGTCGTCTAATCATTTGCTGGAATTATCGACCGAAACGGCACAGAAGTTCTTGGTTCAGGGAAAATATGATCTTGCAGTTCCTGGCGCTCTGCAGAGTCTTAAATTTGCTATCGACATCTTCTTATGGCGAAATTTCCTGTTCATCTTCATGTCTGTGTCTCTCAGAAGCATCTCTTTCGTATCCTGTGTTTTTCCAACAAGTAGAGTACAGGAAGGTGAAGGTGTTAGTTGTACCCTTTCATCCGTTTATTGTTCCCATAGAAGAATAGATCAAGGGTAATATTTCGCAGGGGTAATATTTCGCAGGGGTAATATTTCGCAGGGGTAATATTTCGCAGGTGGTTCCAAGGAGATGGGAGGACCGAGATGAGTTAAATGGCGACACGACTCTAATCTTCGGACCTGAGTCGGTGGAGCTTGTCGGATCCTATCTGCTACTTGCGGTACTTCTACTTCATCTACTAACTTAGTACAATTAAAAGCAACATCATCTATAAGTAAACTGCTTATTATGTTAGTGAGTCTTCACACTAGGTACAACTAGTTACATACTCTATAATCGACGTCTACAAGAAAAGACCTTCTAGTAGTACATAGTTTGCATACTCTAAAATCTACGTCTACGAGAAATTATACTACTAGTATAGCGGAAGTTAGTATAGTTTAATTTCCTCGTAAAAATCTTATCATCTTTCACCAGGAAGCCAATTTGGGTTTGCGGAGGCTAAAAGTTGCGGAAGAGTTTCTGTCTTTGGCGAATTGGAATTTGCTCAAGGATGGCACAGGGGATTCGAAATTGATGAGCCATCTTCAGCGAAATTTTGGAAGACTCTACGCAGCACAACAGAGGTACCTACAACACTTATGAGTTCTTGAGGTTGAGCTCGAGAAAGTGAAAGTTGTTGTGCTCAAGATGAAACATCATCTTCTCCATCTGGAAGATGAAACATCACTTAGGTCATCTAAGTCTAACATCATGATCTGTGAATGTTGATCGTCTCTTCAGGTATAGCGAGTCGATCCAAGCCTTTGCAATCGATATTTACTATAGCTCCTTAGAGCACGGACCGGACTCGATTCGCACAGCTCCAAGCTACTTCCACATGGGACGCGTCTTCCAGTCATACTTATGACACAACTTCCAGTCATACTCTTACCTCACTGTTACTGTTATAACTTATTACTGGTTGTTCCTTATGACACAACATCATGTTGATGAAGAAGATGACGTTCTTGTTATAGAAGTAGAGAAGAAGTAGAACAAGAGGATACAACTCCCCCACTCCCCTCCTCCCTCCGGGAGACTGGTAGGGAGCGACCGACCGGGGGAACGACCGGCCCGCACGCGCCACTGCTGGGCTCCCTTTGTCGATTGTTGATGATGAGACCCTTTGTCGATTGTTCATGATGAGATTGAATCTCGCAAAAGGGCAGAAGATCTGGATATGCTACACAACAAGAACAGAAAGAACTCTGCGACCTCCCAGTAGGAGATGTGCTGCGTATCTCCTCCTGAGTACAGCACTCGTCTAATCCATCCGAAAAAACACCACCACACGGAGCCGTTCTACTCAAAGGTGGTGCAGAATTGCACCTCTCATCTCGAAACTGCGGTAGTTGACGGTGGTTCTTTTATGCCTGATAGGAGTTAAAGTTATAGTGTCTCTAAGTATCTTTCTCGGACAGTCAGTAGTTGCACTAGTACATGTTGTATTTGTTCTAGTTGTTGAGCCCGGCACCTTTTTTCATATCCTCGGCAGCAGCGGGTGAAGTTACGATGGTGGAGGCAGAAGAGGTGCTCGAGATCGTAAAGCACGTGGAGGATTACCGAGCAAAAAAAGCTGCTGAGCTCTCAGAACCAAGCGCTACTGATGGCGGGCTGATTTTAGAAGCACAGTATTGATAACTTTGACACTACACTACTTAGAGCAGTTAGTAGATGCTCATGCTTTGTTCTAGTTTATATTTATGAATTTACTAGAACCTCATCTACAATCTACTGGCGGTATAATCGCCCATGATGTGTTGGATTCTCACAAAAACGTGCACAGTAGTGCCTTTATTTTTCCCAAACCATAACAGTGGCACTTCCTGCTCGCAAAGCAGTTACTGTCTCTCGTTTTCATCATGATCTCTCACTCACTCTGAATCCCTCACCACACCAGGTATTGTCTCGGTCTGTTGTGTCTGTTCATGAAGGACTTTGCATCAGCGAAGAGTTACATAGATAGCGTTGCAGCTTCTACTCTTCCGCTACCCTGCGTGCAGAAAGCACGCACGCTCGCGACACGACCAGATCTGGAAATAAAACCCATCACGGAATATTAAAGTAGAAGTCGTGAAGATGGAATGCATATCAACATGTAGTCACGGAATGAACTAGTGCTGATACCATCCATGGAGGTGGTAGTTAAATATCACGAAGTTAGTCCGAACGTCTAGGAGGTGACATGACATGACATGAATAAGCGGCCACAGAAGAAGCTTCGTCGAGTAGTTGTTGGGGCGGTGACACAAACAACTCGGTCATCATCTTCGCTGCAACATTCGCTAATTTAGATTTACAAGAACAAGTCATCAATCCATTAATATTCCACTCTCTTCGCTCTCGCTGAGGTTATCAAATCCAAAGTACATGATCGACTTCGTTCAAGATCAAGTTATTTAATCCAAAGTACACTTCTTCCATCGCAAAGTACATCAACTACAAATATCGCTAAGAATACTACAAGTCTAAAGGTTGTTCTCCGAACTCTACTTGTACATCTCATGATTCATGAGTCATGAACGCACCGGCTCCTCGATGAAATTAAAACTACACACCCAAGTCCTGGATCTTTATTCTGGGTTATAATTTGCATGGCTTCATCGGGGGAGATTCGAATACTCTGTGATTGATATCTGCGTGGGTGTGTGTGTTCAATTATTCCATGATGATGATTTCATCGGCAACCGCAATCCATACAACATCCAGTATTTTTCTTGAGGACTCTTCTTCACGATCACGAAGGAGATCATTTTTTCTGCGGAAGAGAGAGGCATCAGAGAGACAACATCTAGTACAATTCAACATAGTTGTAGGACACATTATGAGCAAGTGAAGAGTGCTGCTGTTGTTCATCTTTTTTTCGACAGTGACGTGTCACTTCTTTCCTCAGTTCCGTGTCATTGTTAGTTTAGTCAAAACCTGCGTGAGTAAGCATCGTGACGAAACACTATGACGCCGCGCGGCAGTCTGCACTGAAAACTGTAGGCAGGTTTTGACTTATCGGAACTCACTTGCAATATACGCAGGTAGGTTGTGATTTATCGGAACTCGCTCACGATACAAAAAAAAAAAAATGTGATTAATTGTATTGTATTGTAGAGTCCCCACCGCCGCCGGGGAAAGGTCTCATCCCTGTTAGGGCCCATAGTAGGCAAAGCTGGCGTGCAAGACGCATCCCATTGCAGGAAAGAGTGCTGCTATCTCTTTCTTACCCTGACTCGGGCGGGTGGGCCTGTTTGGACGAGAGATCAGGACACGCCGCCGCCCCGTACTCGGGCGGTGGTAGGAAGGAATACCAAAAAAAAATCGGATTGGTGACCGCGTGAGTGAATGAGTGAACAATGCAGAAAAGAATCGGTGTTTCTGGTTGTTTTTCTGGTTGTTGTTCTTGTTGTTACTGCGATGGATTATCTGTTAGAACGAATTGAGCGAGGACGTCGGACCGTGCTGGTAGTTCTTTCTTTTTTTTTCCTTTTTCAAAGGACGATCCGGAGTCTTTGTCTCCAAGAAATCTTTGAGCGAAAAGGCTTTGTTGTGCTTGTGTTGCAAATTCAAAAATATTCCGTGATTATAGTTGTAGTACAAGTAGAAAAAGTAAGTAGATTTTAGTACATCAACACAAGAAGAACATCAAGGCCAATAGTAAAATAAGAAATTTTTGCTTTATCGTGTTCTTGTTGCTCTTGCTTCGTCTTTGATTCGAACGTGCTGGGCGTATCTCCTACGGCAGTCGCTTCTACGTATCCTCGAAGCCGCGGACTCGGTGTAGGTACAGCGAGCTCAGGCTCACTATTTTTGAATGAAGATGCTGCATATTCTTGGATTTTTCTTTAGAATATCACGCTATACGAAATGTATGATATTCTTCTTCTAGTAAAGCAAGGATTACCTGGTCCCTCGTACATTTCATCATCCACAGGGCGTGTCAGTCCGGATATTATCCCAAAAAGAAGCTCGATAGCAGCTTCTAGGCGCATAAAATGGCAACGGACAACTCGATCTCGAGCAGTACTCCTGTAGCTGCTTGTTCCGCTACTAGCGCGAAAGCGCGGCGGAATAAGAACAAGCGCAATAATAAGGGCAAAAGTAACGCTTCGAGTCGTGGTATCGGCAAAAGTGATGTTAAGGCTCCTACAGGCTACCGCCGTCGCATCCTCTACAGCATCCCTATCCTCTTTTTCAAGTTTTATAAAAGGCGGGCCAGGTAGGATGCGATTCGTGTAAAGTTGTATGCTCTAAAAGTAGTGCTGCAGAACCGTTATCATCTAGTACAGCACATGATAGTATCACGGCAAGAACCGCCTCAAACACTGATACAGAGGATGACAAGAAAAAGCTAGGATCGCTGCTCCAAGAACAGCGAGAGAAGTACAACATCAAAAATGACGTCGACAACTCCCGAGCTACTACAGCGACGACAACTTCTCACTCGACGCATGCCGGCAGTCGCAACGCTACTATTAAGGCTCAAAACAATTCATTTCTACAGGTCATTTCTACAATTTATTATTTGGCTCTCATCTGGTTTTGCTTACTCCAGCTCTTCTAGCGCGGCACTTTCTCTTGAGATGTTCTTACTTCACTGCAATTACAAAATACTACTGGTTGTTCCTTTATTCCTTCTTGGATTTCTGAAGAAATGCAGGCAAGAAATGAAACGTGGTCTTCAGCTCTAATACTAGGCCACAATCCAACAACCCGAACTACATGATCAGCAACAACAACAACACCTTACATGATCAACAACAACTACATGCTCAACATATTGCCGCATCCTCAAAATCCAGACTTTTGGAAATCGAAGAGCAAAGCCTGGGAGGGAGTTCCGTGGAGGACGAATTGATGGCCACGACTACTATGAACGGGGGTTATCATGAGATTGACGGAGGTCGTGATGCGGGTGGAGAGCAAGTCGTGATTGGCGGAAGCAAGTCGAACACATCTGAAAGCACAATTAAGGCACAGGATGAGGATCATATGCATTATTCTATTCTACTAGTAGTTTATAGAACGGATGTAGGATGGACTTGGATGGATCGGATGGATCGGATGGACCCCCCTGATTCTTCCGCTCCTACTTGAAATGGTGGGAAGTCCATCCGTTCCATCCGATCCATCCCATCCCGGATCTGGCACCCCTATAAACTGCTCTATTATATTCTACTAGTAGTTTCCAGCACGACAGTTGTCGTGGCTTGTTGTTGTCTGTCATCTAAGTTTAATATTGTGTCGTGTGTTTTCCAGTCCTAGTACTGGGGATTCTTCTATTGGAACGGTTTCGACTTAGTTCCTTAGGGTCTGCTCTCGAGGTTGATTTGGCAGCTCTAAAAGACTGCGCGACGTCTTTGAGGCTTTACCTCCGGAAATGAGACGCCGCCCCTCAGTGCAGAAAATGTTCCAGACTTTCCTCGCGACGGACAACTCTTCCTATCCGAGCTCTCGAGAGCCGTCTCACTCAGGACGGAGGTACTGAAAAGTTGTTGTACACCCTTCTTGTTCATCTAGAAGCTAGTAGTACTGGTTCTGGTACAACTATGCTGGACATCTTCATCTTTTGTTTTGACATCACCCTACACTTCCACTGACCAGATCATCCTGTGGGGACCGATTTGCAACACCGGAGTCTGTAGAGAAGATGCCTAAAAAGGACTTCACGGAGGACGAGGACGAGGTACTAAGTATATCAAAACTAAAAGTTTACTAGGTTACTTCAAGTAGAAGTGCATACTGATTCTGATACAGCTTTGTTGATGCAGCTTTGTTGATTATGTGGTCCTCTTTAATACTGCATACTGCTGTACTGGAACTAGAAGTAGCCTTTCTTGTAAAAAATCTTACAAGTAGACCTTTATGCTCTCTTCAACATGATCTCATTCTCATCTTTCAAGACTTTTATACCCTCTAGTACTAGTATTGGTGCTAGTTCTAGTAATACAAATACTATTGCATTTATTTCACAGCACCCTGTAGCTCTACTACAATGCGAGGAGTTGTACAGGTCCGAATTTCATCCTCTACTAGGACCGTCCGCGTGCGCTTCTGGGTGAAACTTTCGTGACCAGCAACCGAGACTCACGAGCATCTTCAGTATTGACGATCTCAACTGCCATCAATTGTGAATGTCACGAGTCGGATTTGGGATCGAGCTTTTTGGGTTCGAGTTTCGAGCTAAACCATCCCGGGAACTTTATGGTGAACATTCTTCAGTTAGGTAAATGAATGAATGAAGTTCTGCAGATGAACCAGGTACGTACTATAACCAAGTGTACAGGAAGTGTCTTTATTATGACATCAATGAATAGGAGATCATGGATGCTTGTGCTCGCATTTTGCATGCCTGCTACAGAGATGCAACTAAAATTTTCGAAGGTGGATCGTATCAGAGATCGAATGTTTTCAGGAGTACTGGCATTCACTACATACCAAACGCTTTTTGAGTGGAACGAATAGAAAGAGTAGAGATCATGCTCGTAATATTTATTTCTCAGCGCTTTTCATTCACGGGGCTTACAAGTAGTACGAGTATCAGCTATTACATACGACGTGCTTTTCTATGTTTCCAGTGCTTTGCATCCATTATACTTGAGAAGCTTGAAGCTTCTCACTCTCTAATTCCTGTAGTAGAGGGTCAGGCTCTTTATCTCGTACGTCTTCGGTACCTTCGAACCCTGTGCCTAATCCAGCAACAACGAGCAGTATTGTACCTGTGCCGTCGCCTTCAGTTATGCTATTCTTGTGGATGCTAATGCTGGTGTAAAAATTTATTCCAAGAAATGAGGAAAAAAAATCCTCAAAAATGACCTCTGGTCAGGCACATCAATCAATCAATCAAGTACTCCTGGCAAGGATATCACCTTGTCCAGTATCAGTTTAAAATCTACATCGTCTATTCCTTTCATGAAGATTTGCATTATCTGCTGATGTTCAGGTTGATGTTCACGACGTTATCTTCACTCGTTTTTAGCTGTAGTTGTAGCAGTACTAGGGGATGTAGTTGAAGGTGGTAATAAAAGTCTAGAAATGAGGACTCGTCACTTGAAGATATAGAAGAATCTTTTTCGGGAGCTAGTGGTTTTCATTATCTCGGGAAAGCCGCCTCCGCCTCCAGTGAGGACACAAGGGTCGGCATCGCAGGACTCCTCAGGGATGTGGTGGAATGGTCGCAGCAGCAACCATAATACTGACCAAGAGGCATACTACAATTATGCGAGACATATTAAAATCAAAGGAAGTTGGTTTATCTAGTGGACCCACACCTAACCTAACCTAAAGGAAGTTAGTAAGGAGTCTGATCTTTTTTAGGTGCCACGGTAGGTTAGTAAGGAGTCTGATCTTTTTTAGGTGTGACTTCCACGGTAGTCATTCAAGACCACACCAGGAGCAAACATGCTACAAGAAGAGGAGCATGTATGATAATAGCGAGGACTGCGACTTCTGTAATTGATTTTCACTACCGCCTCTTCCTCTAAGAGTATGGAAAGTACCAAGCAAGCCGCGACCACGTTCAGGCTAAGGTGCGCCATCTTCCCAGAATCCAGCCTTCGGCACCGCCAGCGGCAAGAGTCTCACAATCGAATAGGTTTTACCCCAATCGGAGCCGCAACAACGACTGGAGCTTGGTATTACTCATAGAAGAAGATAATGGACGGATTTGGTACTTCGACTTCGGTACTGGTAGGTTAGCATCTTAATCAGGCGGCTTGTTGTTCGTCCACTAGGAACGAAACTTTTTAGTGCTGCTCTTCAGGTTACTTACCTCTAGGTGTACCTACTAGACTTCGCTCATAATTTCAAGCACCGTTCTCTCCGCTTCAACAAAGCTTTTTAGTGCTGCTCTTTTGATACAGCTTGATGTTCTTTTAATACTTGATGTTTTTCCTTCCACCACCTCTGGGTGATGTTGTTGCCAATCGGCGATGATGTAAATGACCATGCTCTACTTCCTGATCATATTCACTGAAACAAAGCACCAATCCAGGTTACAACCAGCAGTGGACATGTGCCGGATTTTGCAGCTATTAGTAGCAACGTAGTATCCATATCCAAGCTAATGGAGTCGATCATGGCCGAGGAAAAGCAAAAGCAGGAATGCACTTCGTCCTCATGTGGGGTACCACTACCTCTACTTCTTCTAGCATCACTAGAGTAGAAGTCGTCATGTGGGGCACCACTACCTCTACTTCTTCTAGCATGACTAGAAGTAGTTCTAGATATTGATTTGTAATTGTAAGCATAAGCAGTCTACTTGTTGTTGATATTATTGAAATGAGGTTCCATGACATGATGACATTGATATTAGATATAAGTAAGATGTTAAACTTAAATCATCATGAAACATGTACATATTATTACTTATAAAGATGGAGATAATTGAACATGTGACCCATCGGTATTACCTCAAGTGAAGCATGCTACTACTAGAGTTACTACTTCTAATGTACAACACAACATCATCAACGCAGCGTGACTCGGAAAGGGACGAAGACAAGCAGGAGGACCCGAAAAAGGACACCGTCGAAAGCGCATCAATGTCCTCAATTGAGAATAAAGCGCCGACCTCGGTAGCAAGCACAACATCAAGGGCGTCCTGTAGTACACATGATGACTTCCTTTCCTCCTCCTCCTGCAGTACGACGGTAGAGGAAATTTTCCCAGTTTCCTCGCGTATCTCCAATGTGAGCGAGGCAACTACCAGCCTGTGGGAGCAAGCAACATTACCTGTAGTACCAACATTATGAAGTGGACCTGCTAGACCCTGACCTAGATGAAGTCTTCGTAGGCTTAATACTTACTACTTACAACTTCTCTAGGGCTCTTGATGGGATATTACAGCTAGCTCTCACTCCATACATCTTCTGTAGGGGTAATCTGACAGGGATCTTCTGAAGAGAACCCAGCACGTGGCAAGGTGAATGGTTCTGGTATTTGTTATAACCTGATTTTGATCACAAGGATTCCCTTCTTGTTTTCCTTATGATCAAAATCAGGTTACCAAATACCAGAACCATTCACAAGGGTCGGATTGTCCTCTAATCTTATGTTTCTAGCTACGGAACCAGGCAGCTTTGAGTGAGTTGCTACGTGGTTCGAATGAATGAATGAATTTTGCTTGTGTCTTTGTTTTCCTAGTGAGGCTCTAACGCTGGCTGCACCAGCTCCTTGTGGAGGGAACCCTGGAAGTGGACCAGCGATGGGACATAGCAGAGGCTATCAACAGAGGTCCGGAAGGGCGCCTCCTGCGTGGTATAGTTGTAATTCGTCCTCCAACCATTCCAGGAACACGACCCGTCAACCGGAACATATGGTGGAGCAGCATGCTCCTGAGCGAGCGGGACTCGAAGATCAGGAACAGCATCTTCATCCGAATAAGCATAATATTAACGCACCAGTACGCGGCCATGGAGTTCTTGCTAGAGGGAGGAACCACCCTGCTCAGTACGGTTAAGGCTATAAGAACCGCTAATCATGTTGATTCAACATGTCATGAAAGGATCCTTGATAAACATACAAGTCATCCGTGGACCAAGAACCTCTAATACGGAGCTTGGGGAGGGCGTGAGAATACTACAGAGCCAGAAAGTTACTATCCCTATCCGCAAGACCAAATATTCAATCCCGCGTTGCATTTTGATATGATTGCGGCGCAACTATCAGGAGCGGCCGCGAGTCAGATGCATGCTGATGGTACCTACAACTTACAAAGACGACCACCTGTTCTGTATAATAATCTGTTCCGAATAATGTATCACGACCCTGATCGACGTACAACTTGAACTTACAACGTGAACGTGTTCCACCGTTCATCTGTACTTATATAACCTATAGCATCTTCTTGACTACTATCGGTATCGGTATCATTTGCCTACTCTCATTACAACCACGACTCAACATTACCATCAACTCTCTGCTCACCAGGTGTAGTCCACGCAGGAGCCGCGCACTTACCCCCACCGCCAGGCTTATCTCAGGTGTGCTGGCCGCCAGAATGTTGGGGCTGGCCCGAGCCCTTTTACCAAGAAGCTTGGGCCTACGGAGAGCAGTCTCGATCCTCGCCAGAAACTTGCGCTGCAGCTGTGGTCTTTAAGGTCGGCTTCTAAGTAACTTCTAAGCTGAAAGATCGAGTTTCATATCGTCGTTTTCTCCTCTAGTAGTTGTACCACATTAATGGGTCTTAAAAATGCTAATTATTCTTGCGCGTCGACTACCCAACAAGGGGTGAAGAACGACCTCGATGACCAACAGGAGCCTGAGGTTGCGTACGAAGAACGCCTTGCGCAGATCATAGAAAAGAGGCAGGACACTCCGGAAACCTACTTCTATGCGGTCCGTGCAGGCCTTTTTGACCAAACGCCAAAGCACTAGGTTGTTGTTGCTGTTGTTTTGGGGGGAACCACGTTGGTTGTTGAAAGCACTCGGGAAGAATTTTATTCTTATTGGGGATGTTAATGTTAAGGCAGCCGCAACAAACAACTACTCAACTCCATCCTTGGCTCCTTTTTCAAGGAAAAAAAGGGTCAGGGATGGGCTCAAGGATGCGACGTGGTAGCTCTAATAATGGGACTGCTCAAACTCAATAAACCGGGAGGACCGGGAAAAATATCGATCGTTATAGAAAACACCAAGACAACATTTTGCTGATAGCTGCCTCCAATATGATAGATTTATTTTCCAGACTGTCTTGTTTTCCTTTGTTTTCTTTTTCTCATAAACAAGAACAGCAAATATTCGTATCTATCACTATCCAACAAGCAATTTATAACACGAATGACGGTTGGCACGGTTGGCACGAATGGCACGGTTGGGACAACCCAACAAAGCCAAAAAGTGCCACGAATGGCACGGTTGGTAAAGGGTGACAGGGCTCCACCGGTTGGCGCCCCTAGTGTTCCTTGGATAAGTGGCGGATCAGCATGCGGCCCCATCCTCAAAGAGTCCAGCCGATCCACGGCGCAGCGGATGCATGCGTGAGGGCGGGGACGCAGGCAAGCCGTGGCTTAGCTGGCGGATCGGGTGTGTGGCGGTGGCGGTGGCGGAGCAAAAGCAAGGCGCCCGAAGGGCGCCCGGGTTGCGGAGGTTACTGAAGCGCAACGCCGTGGAGGGTGTGGGAGGTTGATCGCAGGGCGCCCGAAGGGCGCCCCGCCGGGCGCGCCCCGCGCGCCTGTTGGGTTCCAAAAGGTATGCGTGCAGCATTCGGAAGAAGCGGCAACGCCGTGGGGGGAGCAACGCAGGAAAACGCAGGGCGCCTGAAGGGCGCCCCGCTCTCGGAGGTCTGATAGGTCCACGAATGGCACGGATGGCGGAACAGATTGAAGTTCCGGACTGGATGCCTGCCATTCGTTCCAACCGTTCCATTCGTGCCATGCCAACCGAGACTCTAAATCTATTTTTACAACATGAGAGAGACTACAACAATATTGGCGTTCTATCCTAGGTCGATCCACAACCATATAAGTAGGTGGATTGCACATTTTTACAGAACAGAGTCACACTACCCTGCAGCTGAAGATCTTTAATGGTTTTCTTCCTAATAGATCTTTCATAGTATTAATAGAACAAGCAAATATGTGCTGGACCAAAGTTGTCGCCTTCTTTCAAGAAAATCGATAAGAAACTACGTTCCGTGTTAGAGTTAGTTTTGTTGCTTCTTCACTCAGTGCGAAGAAAGCGGAATTTCGACGATGTCCGAGGGCTGCCATGACAAGTTTACCAACACTTTTCAGCCCAAGGCAAAAGATTTTCCGGGTAGCAACACTATCTCTGCACGCAATTCAAGAAGTAACTTGTTGGTTCATCGTTATTGTTTGACATAGCCGGTTGAGCGAGAGGTGGAGTCTTCGTCATCATCTTCATGATTTTATTTCAGTTATTTTTCATCAATCTGACAGCAAGTTAGTAAGACGGTCTACACAATTGCGTTCGTTTTACCAGCACAAGTATAAAAAAGTAGTGTTAATAGCTTTCTAGTAGAAAGTGAATACAAGAAAAGAAGCCGCCATCAAAAAATGATGAAGGCCTTCTTTTTTCGTAGCGCTGTTGATTGCGGATACACGAGTGACCTCGTAGATCCGTGTTGACATCCATGCATGCTATTGGTATCTGTAGGTTTTTTTTTTAGATTATTGACTGGTCTCTCTATTTAGATTATTGACTGGTCTACCAGTACCGCGACTGCCGGGTCGTTTGAAATACGCCATCTGTAGACTTATGCGAACTAATAACAACAGGGTAAGAACCACCGTAGTGGGTTCTTCTCTGCAAAACAAGGCGTATCTGTGATTAAAAGTAGACTGATGTACTAGCAGTGTATATCTGGAGTGATTGAGATTGTCGAACAAGTTGTTCCGATAAAAAGTATTCACAAAAGTTTTGTGACAAAACAATAACAACATGCAAACAGAAGATTTGATTAAAAGATTTCTATACAGATTTATATTGCATGTACTACTACTTACAACTAAAAAAGAATAAAAATATAATTGATTTATTTCTCTTCCTTGTATTTTTTTTTGGTAGTTCCAAGATCATGCCATTGCAAATTGCAGCTTCGTCAACTTCATCTAGTATCAAAAGTGAAAAAAGTTTGGAAGAAACCTGCTCTGAGTGTAAGCTGTACTCACCACTAGTATAAACTACATGCCACTAAAGAATCATATGGAAGAAAAATGTGGTCTCGCAAAAACATTTTTCCAAAGGATGGCCCCCTGATTTTCCTTCAAGACTCAAGACTTTCATAGTTTCGTCGATAGATTTTTATTGATGTAGCTAGTGCTTTGTACTGATACTGATGAGAAAGATATTAATAGCCCGACCGGCGAATTCACTATTTGCGTTCGTCTTCGTTCCTAGCGGCATTCGTATTATTTTCTCTTTTGGCTCACATTGATTTGATAATTAATAGGACACAGAAGTTTACATCTTCTATTCTTGATTAAGATCATAGACAAGAATCCACAATAACAAATTACTTTCTTTGCTTGGTAGTCCAAAAAATGTTAATTAATATCAGCGTTCAACAGTAGTTATCAGGCGTAGAATCCAATCGCGTATCAATATTTTTCTAAGCAAGGATGATCTACTATTTCTGGCTAATAAATATGATGTAAATTGTTATAAGATATATTCTAAGTATAAGGTGATGTGACATCATATCTTCATGGATGTTTTAGTTTATTGTCGTACAGATGAGCAAATGCGCAGATGAAGAGGAGCAGCATGTCCAGGACATCATCAAAGATGCATGATATTCAGCTTAATAGAGAACATCCGCCATCAACGAGTAGACCATCACCGACTATTTAATATCAGGATGAGAATCCGACAAGAACTAAAGTAGCACCAGCATGGACAACTAAGGGTCCTCGTCCAAAAGTGAGCAAAATTGTTGTCTTCTCCAAATGGGAGTACAAGTACAGAGAACAAGATTTTTCTCTCGCAGCTTTTATTCACTTTTTTGGAGAAGGTAGAGTGGAGGATCGTTGTTGGTTTTTTTTTATGCGGAAATTGCTATCGGTCCTTAACATATCACAGCGCTATTTTTGAAGAGCAAAATCGATGGCTTGAAAGAGGGAGGACACGGAGGACGATGAAAATCTCCAGCTGCAGCCTACTACAAACAAAAAAAGAGGGCCAAGTTTTTTACAAGAATGAAGTGTACCAGCCGGATTGAAGATGGGCGCAACTATTTTTTCGGAGTATATTTTTAACACCAGAAGAACGTATTCCAAATCATAGTACGTATGTTATAGTCTGCTCAAATGTGTCCAAGTTACCATCAGCAACATGCTTACCATCAGCAAGAGAAAGTGAGTTATTCTTGTACTCGACTTATAATGTTGTCATATCCCTCCTGCACAACTACTGCTGTCCTATATGTTCTTCTGGTTAGTCTCTAGAAGACGACAACGTTGCCAACATGGTCAAGAAAAAAGATGGGGGGCGGAAGGTGCCTGCCCAACACCCTGCTGGGGGAAACAACAACGCGGCTGGGGCCAACGCCGACCCGCCGAGTAGCCCACTCACCGAAGAGGAGCAAAAGAAATTGGTAGAAGCGACGCGTGCTGCGGAACAAGCAAACTCCTTACTTTAAGGTAGAAGTTCAAATCTAGTCTAAAGTAGTAACTTTAGAAGTTCAAATCAAGATTCTTGTCAAAGTAGTTATCGATGATTATAGACTAGAGCTCCTATGTAAATGTATGTAATGCACAGCTCCTTAGAGCTCCTATGTAAATGTATGTATAATGCACAGCCCCTTAGGTGATCGAGTAAGGATCGCAACACGGAGCGTGCACATGACTGCCACCGACGAACGGCCATTTTCTTCTGTTATTGTTTCCTTCTTGGGATCAGGATCTTTCTACCGAAGAACTGGAAGCCTCCTGAAAATCGAAAATTATAGAGTTAGGTTGTGCAACGAGAAAAGTCCTGGCCTAATTGTTTTATTTGGCTCTAATTACTGCGAAGCTATGCCGATACCAGAGGGCCCCGCGCAGCCGGTCAGCATGTCCTGAAAACCGCTGCTGCACCGAGTGTTGGTATCATCAAGAAGAAGAACCCCACGACCCCTCAAGAAGTGCCCTATGTCTATCCCGATGTTAGACAGGAGTTTCCACAACAATTAAGGCTACAAGAAGAAATCCATATCCATCTTCTTTGGGGGGGAAACTTTGGCAAGGCTACAGGAAATCCATCGTTCGTTTTTATAGTCTACAAGATGAAATCCATCGTTCGTATTTAAAGGGAAAAGGGAACAACCCAAGATGATGCTGAAGATGGACTGCTCTTAGTTCTAAAACAAAATAATGAAGACGCTGCTCAAGCCCAAGCACAACAAGACGATGCTCTCCACGACGAAGATGCTACAACGACACCCCAAGCACCAGCACCGAAGAAGAGGCCTCGATCTGTTCGTTTCGTGGTCGAGGACTGTGGTACCGCAGTTGAGAAGAATCACGATGGAAGGATCGTGGAAGTTGCGCCGACCAAGACGTACAGTGACCATTTAGGGGAAGGCTCCTTTAGTTCCTAGAGTAGTAGTACTCCTATACATAGTACTATATAGTAGAAATAAGCTTCTTCTATGTATACATAGTACTATATAGAAATAGGCTTCTTGACTGCTCTTCCTACATGTCCTTCACCACTAGTGCTTTTCTTCCTAGTGTGTTCGCTCAGCCGCGAAAACAACAACTTCCAGAGAGGGGAAGGAGGACCGAATATAGTATCCGACATGTTCATCTAGGATTACAGATGAAAAGACTTACAGTGAAGTCGTGCTGAGTGACCTCTATAGAAGCCTACAAGTACAATCTAGTTGTCTTCTCATCACCGTTATAGGTATGATGTATGAATTGTTAGTAGTTGCCACATCTCTTCATATTGCGAATTCAGCAAGGAGAATTGCAGGGAACTGACCCAATCGCGCAACAATCCAGCCCTCAACTTGGTCAATCGCAATCTTTTGACTTATGGAATAGAAACACAGGGAGTGTAATATACGAGTAAAAATCATGTCGAAGAGAAAAAGGAATAGAAACACAGGGAGTGTAATATACGAGTAAAAATCATGTCATCTTCTACTAAGGACAAGTAGCAGGAATTGAAATTTTCCATCTCCAAATATGCTGTACAGAAGATGAACAAGTCAGTGTGCTGCTTTGCCATCTCGTCTAAGTAATGCCAGAGTCCACCTCAATTATCTTAAATCCCTCCTATCCTACCTCCTGCTTTACAATTACAGTCTTCTACTTGTCGGTGTCTTAGAAAGGCTTCTTCATCGCACATCATTCCTCTAATTCCGTTTACAGTCGGAAGGCTCGTGGTCCTTAACTTCTGGCCAGAGAACGGGTCCTGTCGTAGGAGAAAAACGCTACATCCCCACCAAACTTGTCAGCAAAGAGCCACAGTTGCCTCCACAGTACTAACTCCGATGTTGATTCACTACTAGGAGGTTCTTACCAATAGAAGTTGTTTGTCAAATAGAGGCCTCCTCAGATGTTCATGTCGAGGTTGTTTCGTTGACTTACTCACTAGCAGCTACTTACACCTGCAATTCCAATAGTTGTCGCCTGTCAAATAGTTGTTAATATCAACATTCGACATCTAAACATTACAAGACAATCAAGGCAGTTCCGTCTAACTGTAATAGCTACAGGTGCAATGATTACTTCTTGCTTCCTTGTTGTGATGAACGACATCTGAACGTACAACACCTATGATCTTGTGATACTAACACAACTAGCCTACTAAACCATGTAAACAGTCCTACTATCTTGTCGTGATTAGGATCCATCTGAAGAACATAAAGAACTATAGGCATATTCGTAACAATTATGAATAAACACGTTAAAATGAACTATAGGCTCCATCTGTATCTGAACTACCACGTAAAAATGAACTCTAGGTTGGACTTCAAGCTGAACTCGGAGAGCGCGAGAGGAGTCTACTATCGAAAACATTGCTTCTACGTGAGGGGATCCGACGAGCGTCCTGCAATTGAAGCTTATGGCTTTGAAAACACCTTGAGCTCTTCAAGATATATGGGCACTAAGGAAAGGTACTAATACCCCGCAGAGTAGTTTATAGCACGCATGGTGCATGGAGTAGCATGGACTGCATGGAGCGCAGAGCTTTAAGGGGCGCAAGAAGCTCCCCCTTTAGCTCCATGCTATTCCATGTGATCCATGCACTCCATGCCGTGCGAGCTGTGAAACCTTATAAATTGCTCCGTAAATTATAGGACTCATAAAAAAGTGGCCACTTGTAGGGTACTATTATCGTGCTTAATCACGAATAGTGGGTATATTTGGGAGTACTGTCAAACTCAAAACCTTCATATCAGCACAGAGCTAATATCAGTTTTTTCTTTCCCCATGAAGACGACACTTCGTATGAATGTTTTCTCTACCTTGATGCTCTCCTTGTTTTGTACTTGGTGTCAGGACCAGCAGTGACTCTGACTCCACCCATTAGACCTATGATGTAGCAACGTTAATCTTTCTCCTTAGCTGTAACAAGTAGACGACTTATGTTCTTCTTGTTTACTACACTAGGACGTAGTGAATCACAGCAGAAGGAGGTTAGAAGTAATGCTGCAGCAGCTTAGTTATATTGAATCTGGTATTCGGTAAGCTGATTTTGATCATACGGGAAAGCAAGAAGACAATCTTTGTGATCAAATTCAAAGTAGCACGTTTCTTTTCTAAGTTTCTTAAGTTTCGAAAGAAAGCAAGCATCTAATTAAAGGACGCCCAAACACCTTTTGTTAGGCACATTCATTCATTCAAATACAGGAGCCATTCATTAGTGATATTATAGCTTAGCCGAAGATATTCACCCTTAGCTGAAGATATCATCCCTGAAGAGGTCATGCGAAATCATGTTCGGGATGTTGTAGCTCCTCAGCAGCTCTCATATGTAGATTCAGAAAAACATTTTCCCGCCTTCCGAAGACGGCCTGATGTTGCGGCTCCGTGGGCGACTTGCAGAGTTAGGGCTTGGCTGCACTTCGTATGCTCACTAAAAGTACTTATTTTCGAGGAGCAGGACCTCTGAAAATTCGATGTAGAATATTTCAACTACGCACACATGCATCCATGTTGATTTCGTTTTAGAAGTGCTGTCGTTAATGTTTATGTAAAAACTGCTCTGGGACAGAGATCAAGGTGAATCAAAAATGTAAAACTACATTATCAAGAAAATATAACCTATAAACCTCCACCTCCTGTATGGTCAACAATATCAAGGAGCATCATCATGATGAGAGTAAGTATTATACCCTCCTTGGGGCTATACACCGAAGCGGAGCAGTCACCTTGTGTGGCGGTGAAGTGGAGGCGTCCTATCCTATCCTATATCTAATGAGAGTAATTGTTATACTATCCTATACTATCATATCCTATACTATCCTATCCTATCATGATGAGAGTAATTGTTATACGCGTCTAAGAAAACGTAAAATCAGACGGGCTCGGGAGCGTGCGAAGATGAGGGCGTTAAGGCTGGGGTCCTAATCCACTGTGATGGGAGAGACTGTGATAGCAGAGAGATGAGAAACTTGCCTTCCCAATCAGAAGGCCGATTCTTGTTGCTTGTGGGCTAGTTTGTTACCCTGATTAGTGATCCATCTCATTGAAGGCACGCCGAGTAGATACAGACTTGCGTATGAAGACGGGTATACACCCGTTGGCCCCAGCGTCAAGCATCCTGTTGGAGAAAAAAGAGCCTCGTCAACAAATAGATCTACTCTCCTGATTAAAGAAATGTGAGTGATCAGGCGAAAACAGCCTCAACAAGATGAGTCATGTCATCACTCACCACCTCTTGAGACCTAAGGTGTAGTTGACTGTCATGACCATGAGATGGATTGGTCGTGAAACATTAGGTGGATCGTTTGGGTGAGCGCCTGGTCTAACTTTGAGTGTATTCTCCACTCCATCAAAGAGCTCGTCGTCTTCCAACGAGAACGACAGTATCCAATGGCACGACGACGAAATGCAGTCTTACGGCTTGTTTCTCTAATGATTAGATGAAATGTGTTTCTCCAGTAATGCAGTCTTAAGGCTATTTTTGTCTCTAAAATAAATCTGGTGCCTCTTGCTCTTGTTCTATAGAGATAGGCTTCAATCGCCTAATCTGTCTCTTCTATACAGAGATCGATGACTCCTCAACAAGAACTGTATGCATCCCAATACAAACCCTAAGCCCTAAGCATCTCTAACACTCTCGTGCGGCTAAATCATGCGTTGACTTGTATTCACTCTTCTCTACTGGAATCGCGCGTAGCTTACGATTACGGCTTCGTCGCCACAAACGGAAAAACAAGCGCCAAGAACAAGAGGCTATAAAAGTAATAATCATAATGTTAAGTTTAGGAATTTTTTCCTAGTGGTGCAGGGTTTGTTGCGGTTAGCCCATAGTCTATTGATTAATCGCCGTCTGGTCCACACACATTATTTGAAGTTTTTTGATTTCTTACTCAGTTTCTTAGATAGGTTTGTGTGCCACGACCTTCGAATTTGGATTTTCAACTTCTCTATGACTATGGTCGATCATACATTACACACCTACTAGGCGCTAAATTTGTATATAGAAAAATTTCCGTGTCCCATCGAAATCCACCATCGTCATTTTTCGTCCCATCGCAAATTCAGGCTGGAATAAAAGGACGAGGGAAGAAAGGGAACAAAAAAGGAGCAGGCAAGAAAGGTGCTGCACCTGACCAGAAGGATAAAGTCGGCAAGGTGAGCGGGGATAATATCGAGGATATTGCGGAAGCACTTGAGAAAATAATCTTTTCGTCCACTACAGATGAAGAGCTATCAGCTGAAGATGCAGACCGCCTCATTGGAGGACTTATTCCTAAGGCAGTGGAAATACAAGAGAAAAATTAGTCAGACAGTGCAGAAGTTCTTGTTAGACAGTGTAAATACAAGAGAAAGATTAACATTTGTAGTCAGATTTAAAATAGTTTCTTGAATTCTAAGGCCAATGAGATTGTAGTCAGACTATTCAACATCTATGTGAAAGAAAATGTTAGCGTTCTCTTATGCTAATTATGCTAATCAGTCAATGATCAATCCAGAGGTAGCGACTTATTTACTACATGTAGTTTGCCAGGCTTTCGTCCATCAGAAAAAGCTCAAGTGGAGAACTATCCAAATCAAAGAGCCTTGCCAACTGGAACCAACTAAATCCCACCTGTCGTGAACAAAATCCATTCTACTTATCCTATCCTAATTCCTAAGGACGTACGTCTAATGTATAGGCAGGGGCAGCCGAGGAGATTAGTCAGGAGAAGTCGTTGCTTGTATGGGGTGACCACGAAGACGAGGGTGGTAAGGATGGCAAGGATCAAGGTTCTTCTTTTAAGGCTACCGCTGAAGCATCGTCAACGCCATCCTTGGTCTCTTTTTCAAGGGGAAAAACCATCGATCCTTGGTTTCTTTTTCAAGGGGAAAAAAGAGATGACTCTCAAGAAGGATATAACTCTCAAGGAAGACACCGATGCGACGGGGTACCTCTAATTCTTCTGCGCCAGGAGAAGTTGATGACTCGTCCGCCAATCTAGTCCTCCATGGCAGAGTTTTTTCTCGTACAGGTTTCCTTGGGCCTGTTGTTGACGTGATGAATAGCCGATCGGCTTCGGCTGTACACAGCTTGTCTGCACTTGTTTTAAGGACGAATAATGACTACAGCATTTGGCGTGTCCATGTCCTATATTAGAATCCACTAGTATAATCCGTATATTATTACAACGACTTACTACACTTATCTAGTCCACTGATCGTCGTCATCATCATCCTCATCATCATCATCGTCATCATCATCATCATCATCATCGTCATCATTTGTAGCGCACCGTAGCGAAGCCGTAGAGAAGTTGTAGCGCACCAGCCACCACCGAATACAACTAGTACTACTCTAGTGATGGTTAAGCGTGACTCGGCCAGCACACTCAGCCACTGAGTGGGGCACCTACTAGCACTACTACATACTACTACTACTACTTTCATGGTTGGGTCCCGTTGAGTGTGGCACCTCCTCCAACTACTACATACTAGGCTCTAATGTTTGATAAAGATCCCCAGCTGAACGTGACATGGTTTGGCGGTATGCGGTTGGGTGACGACGACAAAAACTTAAGGCTCCGTTCCGCTTTGTTATTAGCTTAAATACCTTGTGTGAGGTGCACTCTCTTGCCGAAGAACCAAGACGTCCTTACGGCAGTCTGCACTGTATTTGGTGTGAGATTCATTGAATTGCACTCGCACTCTCTGGCGTCAGTCCCTACTGCAAAATGAGGAAGAGCAAGATTATAGAGATGAGCAGCTTAGATGAATATGAATTGAATTTACCGCAGATCGTGCTCCTGGAGCGTGTGAAAGTATGAAATGTTGTATGCCTTCTCTTGGTCGTATAGCTCGGTGTGAAGGATCCTACCTAGCTGTGAGCTCTAAAAAAAGATGAAGACCGATATGGAAAAGCCGCAGAGGATAGACACAACCAGACATGGCACGCAGGTGACCCTATCACGGACGACACGGGACGCGATATGAAAGGTGAAGACTTCGAGCAATACTTGGTTACGGCCTACTCCTCCAGATTTAGATTCGAACTTTAGACGCTAAGAATTCACCAACTCAAAATTTAGAGAATTTACTAGCCCTGCTCCATCTACTCGAAATCCTACTACTCCTATCTATGTAGAAGACCATAGTTTGCATGGACCTACCAGTGCTCATGAGAAGCTTGAAGATCATTCAAGTATGTTGTTGATCAAAATGGTCTACAATCAAATGGTCCACTGACTCAGACCGGCGAGAAGTCAACAACAACAAGTGGTTTACTGACAGGCTTGATTCATCAACTATGATCTGATCTAATTCAGAGCGAGAAGCGGCAAAGCAGACGCATGCAGTCAGTTATCTGGGTGGTTCCTCGTTACTGGATCACAGTGAGTTGGAAGAGAGCATCCACGAAGCCGAACGCCTCCTCATCGATACTCGGCTGAATACTTTATGCAGGCAGAAGTATGACTTCCAGTATCTTGCTCGGTCACACAACTCACAGCTCAACCTCAATCTCATTTAGGACTCCTGTCTGATTGGCGATTTGTCCGATTGGCGATTTGAGCTTTGTCGGGAATAACTGCACAGTTGATGGCTTAGTGGTTTAGGCGTTGGCCTGTTCACTTATCAGACAAAACTGCCCTGATTCTGCTCCTTAAGTATCTTGCTCTTGGGACTTGGTCTTCTTCGGTTTCAGATCATTGATTAGCCTCATTAAGTATTTTTTACATGTAGCGAGTGCGAGGACCCGTTCCCATCATCTGCGGCCACGGGCGTTCGTCGGAGAGTAGAGAGCTGCTCTAATGTGAGAATACAACACGTTTCGACTATTGGCCACAGACACAGCGATTTTGATATGGACCCGTGAGTGGTTCGTGGTGTGCATGGTGAATAACGTCATTTACAGGGAACCCTACTTTCACCGCTGTCAGGCTTATCTAGAATACAGCCCTGGGGATACGCCAGGCGTTTCACGCGCAATAGCGGTGTGGCGCTACATGTGCTGTTGGAAAAGTTTAAGGTCTTGGTCCGACTCCTAGTCCCTAGAAGATGTTAGTGGATAGGCGATGATTGAAGATCAAGATATTACTGAATAGGCGAGAAAGATGAAAGGAAGTTGATTAATTTTTACTCAAGTTGTTCAACAACTGTTAAGGAGGCTCCTTAAGGGACGCTCTTAAGGAAATGAGGCCGATTACTAATACTATGTATAAGTACTAATATAAGCGAGTATCTTCGAACAAGATTATTCTCTGGGATATTCGCTGATTCCAATTTTTTGAATACTTACCCTCTCGTATACCTCCTTCATACGCAAGTCTGTATCTACTCGGCGTGCCTTGCTGGGTGCGCATGGAATTACCGAGTCTGCGGAAGGACCACGTAAACGCCGGTTCCGATAGTGATAATGATCTCCGCTATGATAACCTAGATCCGCGATATAACACAGGGACGCGCCATCTCCTGGATCGAGCGGCGAATCCGCGGATAGCGTTAAGACTACCGCTCAAGCATGTCTTTTTAGTAATACAGAGTGTGGTTGGATCATTAGTAGAGGTAGAATAGTCTCTCTCAAACCACAGAAAGCACAGAGTGTCTCCGCATGTCTTCGAATTTGCTTGTAGGTTCGGGCCATCTCCCCGATTCAAGTCACACGGTGGCGCACTTGTAGACAGTAGACAACAAAAAAAAAAACTCCGCATGTCTAGGATGATGCTCTGAAAAAGGGGCCACGGATATAACTCTCAGGGAAGATGCTATCAATTCGGTAGCTCTAACATCGGAAAACAAGTGGTTAGGCAGGTTGTGCGGCCTGACGAAGCATTCGCATCCTAAAGAGATCCAAGATTAAGGGCTTTCACATTGCATTCCTCACTACCATCCCTAACTTGTTTTGCAGTAGGAAAGAAGCCAAGGCGGGGGATGTAGTGAGGGATGCAATGTCGCACCCTCTATCAAGATGTGAATGACAACTTTTTCGCGCCGTATACGACTAGACAGGATCGCACTCGGGCATGGAAATATTAAGGCTCCTGCTGCTAGTAGCTGTAGCAGTACCTCATGAAAATTTACAACAAATTGTAAGTGTAATGATGGGCTCAAAGTGCCAGTATTTTTACAACTTTAACACTATGTGAGGTACGAGCTTCGGCTTCTTATGATACTGCTTAGAACTGCGAATCTTCTAGAACTAGGCGTAGACCGTAGAACTACTACGTACTTTCCACAGGACCGCTCTAACATTATGTGAAGTACGAGCTTCCGAACTATGCTAGTCGTACTTGGCCGAAGGACTTATACGAATGTCATCGTGACCCGATTACGCCTTACATCAGCTATTTCGTCGAAGTTTCAAGGATTGCTCCAGAGGACGATGCGGCGACTTCTCAATTAAGACTACTAATCAATAAAGCATCCTCAGCATCATCCCTGCTTCCTTTTCTACTTGAAAAAGAAGCCAAGGGTCCTCGCAGGGATGCGAACGCGGTAGCTCTAACTCAAGCTGCAGCTTCGTCATCTTCTTCGGTTAAGAAATGCATCAATAATGTTGGTTCAACATCAAGTAGTCCAATAATAAGTTGTAGTTGATGACCGATGTTCTTGATCTGTAGTGATAGACAGACTGTAGGTAGAAGCATATCGATAAATCTATGTCATCTATGATTTTCATTTTCATTTAGTCCACGGACGTAGAGGTGCGACAGTAGCAGCTGCAGGGAGGTCGGTGCCCTGTGGAGGCGATCTGATTGATTGATTGATTTAGTTTTGCATTTTCCTAGTGCAGGCAGTGATATGATCGGAGTGTCATCATGAGTTTCCGCCCAATCGTCCATGACCAGCATTCTCTCGAATACTACCACACCTGGCTCATAATCTAATTCAACTGGCGGTGGACCTTCTAGTTCTGCTGCTCTAGTAGAGCCGGGAACAACGTCTTCTCCTGGTAGTGGAGTTGCGACTTCTTCTGCTAGTAGTGGAGTAGTTGCAGAAGAAGTAGAGAGAGAACGCCTAGTGAAAAGAGCTGAAGCCTTATTAGAGGAGGCAAAGAGGTTCGGCGCTGGCAAAGGCCTAAGGACCCGCGAGGACGCAGTCGCCTGTCTCAGTTAAGGCAAGAATTACTAAGAAAGCCTGCCCAAACAAGGCATCATGAGAAGGCATCCTTCCTCAGCAGGTTGATCGTCCTCGTTGGCCTCATCTTCAAGGGGACGAAAAGAGAGTGTGTCGAGCCCGAGGGTATGACAGTGACTCGCAAGTAGAGGAATGCCACCAGGCTACCACCTGTTCCTGACGATGTGGATGACCACACCTGGGTGAAATTCTAGACTAGACCTTGTTCCCAGGCAGTGGTGTACTATAGTATAAGATTATCATGATATGACTCTAACTCCCATTCGTAAAGCAGATTACGCATCCACGAAGTCATATGCAGCAGCAAAAGGTCAAATGGTCCGACATGTTTCGCTGCTGGGACTGGATAGGATGTACTCTCTGCCATGCTAACCTATCGCCCAGGGGGATTGGAAAGTTGTGGCGAGGTGGGGAGTTATAAAAGAACATAGACAACTACTACTCTACCAAAAAGTGTTTTCATTTTCAACCATATCAATTAGGAAATATTGAAAGTGAAAACGGATATTGATCGTGTAACCTAGACTCATAGGGCAGTATTGAATATTGATGGAGGGGGTTAGAATCTTCAGGTGTACTTCTACTAGTATCTTCGTTAGATGAAGATTAGTTGCACTAGTCCAATACCGTTTGAATCTTCAAGGGTGTCGGGTTCGCTATCAGGAACAATTCTCATTCCGAATATTGGCCATCATCTCTACCAATCGATCCATGACTCTCCACATGCAACCCTAAGCTCTAAGAAAACCACCGGAAATGGTACAACTTTACCAGCAAGCGTGGGGTCCAGATTGGTTCCTTCGGAGCAGGTACCGACGAGGGCTCGATTGGAACTCCGAAGTGAAACCTATTGTTATGGTCCCTTGTGGAAAGGCTCAGTATGCACAAGTACTAGTTTCTCATAGGTAGCTTTACTAGAAGTACATAACGATCACATCATGTTCAAATTTTTTTTTTGTTTTACAACATCACACTTTCACTTTCTCCGTAGAACAATAAGTACACAAACTTAAACCTTCTTATGTACTAGAGGCACACAAGAAGCTCAGAGCCTAGGCCTACCTACTTCGGAGGTGTCATCTTGACCTGTAATATTCGGGTTCTTGCTTACAATGATCAACCCAACAAGCACACAAACTCGAACCCAACAAACCTAAGCCCGCTTCTTCATAAAAACCGGGAAAGTGAAGAAAGCAGCGGAGGCTTTGCTTACAGCGGAAGATGCTGCGCTGGACCAAGCAGCAAAGATGATGGACCAGCTCGAATCAAAACTGAACTGCTCGATTGAAACTGAAGAGCATCTACTCTTAAGGCTTCAAGTAGCCACCATTCATTTAGACATTGCTTGAAGAGACTACGATTCAGTTGTTTATCTTTATTACTAGCACTGGTTGGTATACCTCCAATACTTCAAGAACAGGAAAAATAATAGTGGTGTTGTAAATACCTAAACTCATTACTAGTACTGGTAAATAACTGGAGTCTATGTTAATTACCTCTAGTAGGTGGTTCTATCTTCATCAACAGGTCACTTCCGACAGTCATTTTTATTCTGTTTCATCCCCAATTCTTCTTTTTCCTCATAATAATGGGATTCTGAAGAATGAAAAGAAATGAAACTCTTTGATGAACAAATGAATGTTTTTTTAGCTCGTCTAATGCTTGGGAGATTCTCCGAACTCGAGGGATTCTCAAAACTAGGACTATCCCAGTTGCAGGACATCGATGATGTGGCGGAAGAAGAGTGGGATCAAGAAGAGTGGGATGAAGAAGACTGGGATGAAGATGCGGATGAAGATGAAGAGTGGGATGAAGATGCGGACGATGATGGTGAGTGGGATGAAGAGCATGAGGGAAGTGGTCAGGGAGAGCTGCAGGCTGGTGCACAACTCCTAGACGCTGAACTACTTGGCGGAAGTGATGTAGACACGATGGCAATGGCGGTGCTGAACGAAGCTCTTGGGATGGTTGCGGAGGAGGCTACTGGTGACCAGGCGCGTGACAGCAATGCAGAAGATGTAGTAGGGACTGTTGCAGCAGCTCTTGCAAGCACAACTGGAGGCGAAGACCAGTCTTCCAACAATGGAGCGCAAGGCGCGATAAGTGCCACCACAACGACTGCAAACAGTGCCAGTGCGTCGCAGACGACAAGAGCCATACGCGGAACAACAACAGGAACCAGGATACGCGGCGGAGGTGGCGGTGGAGCACCAGATGGCGGTGGGGATGACGACGACGACGATGATAAAAAGGATAGGCCGGATGACAAAGTTCCTCCAACAAAACGATCGGATGACGAGGATGACGATGATGATGGAGATCGGAAGGGCAAGAAATCAAAAAAGAAGGCGAAGAAGGTGGCTCAGAACGAAAACGCTCTTGGTCTTGCCTCATCCGGAAGAAGTGGATCTTCACCGAAGCTCAAAAAGAGCATTAGTTCATCTCTCGGCTCATCTAGTGCGGAAGGCATCATCAACGAGTCTCCGATCCAGGGAGATGTCAGCCATATGCCAGAGGCAGATAACTCCTTACTAAACGCTATGGACGCGCTCGATCTCGGAGTAGATCAATCTCGGAGCAGGCGAGGACCTCCGTTCGGCAGCGACAGCACTCCCGAAGTTACGGCTTTTGTTCCTATAATTAATCTATCTCCAGAAGCTAGCATCCGAAAAGAAGCTGCCCCATAGGGTGAAATATGCAGCAGAATACTTCTACTGAAGATGGGCAAGAGTAGGCCTAGTTAGCTCTAACGAAGACCGCGGTCGCAGCGGCAGCAAAGACAGTCTGCCCTTTGGCAGCAGCAGCTCTGAGAACCGTGAGCAGCCGCAACAACTGGCAGAGCAGAGGGACCAGGTGAATTCAGCGTCCGCTTCTAGTTCTGCCGGGAACAACACCTCTACCAGTAGCTCCAGTACGAACAATACTTCTCACAACAGCTCTCATACCTCTAGTTTTTCAGGAGCTTCCAGCTCGTCAGCCTCAAAAAGCAAGAAGGCATCTTCTGCACTGAACTCCTCGTCGAGTTCATCTAGCTCCAGTGCAGTGAACTCATCGCACAACGTTAGCGTTGATGAAGCAGGCTCAGGAGCGGCAGTAAACTCCTCTACCTCTTCAGCCTCGTCAACATCTTCTGCACTGAACGGATCGCACGAAAGCTCCTCTAAGAGTGTTCATAGTGCTGGAAAGAAAGACCCTGCATTGGATTCTTCTCATAATAGTTCGTCCTCGAGTTCATCATCTAGTTCCAGTGCAGTGAACATTAACTTATCACACATTAGCGAAGCAGGGCCGGCGGCAGTAAACTCCTCTACTTCATCTTCTCATACTTCTAGTTCGTCGTCCGCGAGCTCATCTGCGCAGCAAGCGTTTCCGCAGAGTAAAGAACAAGGTGGGGACGCACCAGCGCTAGATGACAGCAAGAGCTCCTCCCGAGGCCTAGATGACAGTGGCTCCGCAGTAGCCGGTCCATCTTCCTTTTCCCCACCTCCGCGAGCGGCAAATGTGTATCGCAGACCTTCTCGCTCTCCTCCAGAAGCAGTCCAGGCTGAGATGGAGGAGATTGAACGAGCAGGGGAGAATCTTCAAGCTGTCGGAGGACTATCTGAATCTGCAGTAGTGCCTCAGTCGACACCACCGGGAGGAGGCACAGGCACAGGCAATGCTGAACTACTATCTTCATTAGGTGGTGCGGCCCCTCCATTATCTTCATTAAGTGCTGGTCCTACTTCCCGCGGACGCCCAGCAAGCATTTTGTTAAACAGCGACGGGCGTTCTCCATCACCAGTGCGTACTGGCAGCGGCAACCGTGTCAACATCAACGAAAAGGAAAACGAGGTGAGGTTGTATTAAGGCTACAACCGCTCAAGGCGAGAGAAGCATCCATCCTCAGAGTTCGTTGTATGGTTCCTTCTGGTATTTGGTACCCTGAATTCGACCACAAGGATTCCCTTCCTGTTTTCCTCATGATCAAAATCAGGGTACCAAATACCAGCACCGTTCAAGAGTTCAAGCATGATCCTCAGAGTTCAAGCATCCTCAGGAGCAGCATCCTTGGCCCTAAAATCTATCTACTTGATGAAAAACTACGGGTCATGGTCAAGGATACACATGCACTCAAGAACAATGATGCTATTTTTAAAGCTCTAAAGTGATACAACTAGCTCTAATGTTATGTCGTAAATCCATTGGAAAAGAAGTCTCCACCTGCTTCTCCACCTCGACAAAACGCTTCTCCACGGCCGCGACGTTTTTCCGCTCATCCTCGACGCGGTGTCCAAGAAGCCTCAACAAATGACGCCTCAACAAACGAGATGAGTGCTGCAGGAAATGCCGCTGCACCAGTTACGCTGTTCCCGTCTGCTGCATCTGCGCCAGTCGCAGCTAATCATGCAGCTAATCTTGCACCGGTATTTGCACCTTCCCCCCGAGGAAGGATGTATTCTCTGGCTCACGCGCACGACCTTGGAATGACATCCACGGAGTCGCTCTTTGTTTCACGTACAAAGCGACGCAACCAGGTAACGAAGTGCATGCGAGCTTCGGACGGCAAACGAGTTAAACTTCTTGTGAAGAAGAAGAAGCAGCAGTCGGGCTCTGGTGGACGCTCTAGTAGCACCTCTATTAAAGATACTTGGACGAGTCGTCGGACTGGGAAGAACGTGCCTGTGACGAGGGTGTTCGATTCGGACCTAGAAGCTGAGCAATGTTTTCCTGAGCAACCTTCTGCGGGGCGTGCGAAAAAGACGAAAAAAGAACGGCTCGATTGGGTGAAGAAGCTCCCCTTGAGTGAGTTCCTACTCTACATCACCTTCTTAAGGCTAGTACGTACCTACTAAGTAACATACAAACATACAATTACAACTGATGGTGATACAATGAAGGAGATCATACTTCTGTTAATATAGATACAAACATACAACTGATACAGTGATACAATGAAGGAGATCATACTGCACATGCAATGTTTCCAGAGCAGAAGGGAGCAAGAGAAGGCCAAGAGGAAGCTCCAACAATTGAGAGGTCAAGGGTTGGTCTCGTTCCTGTGCCAGTACTTCTTGTTCTAGAAGTGCGATGAATATAGAAATGCACGCCCGCGTAGCCCTAAGCCCTCTTCTAACAATTGCTTGGGACCCGAGCTGGCCAAAGCGGAATGCTTTCCAGAGAAGGCAGCAAGAGAAGGCGATCCGACGTCGCAGAATCCGGCAAATGGAGGTCCACAAACGGAACATGAAAAAGAAGATTAAGGTTTCAGGTTTACTCGCATTCTGTACTAAGAGAGCATAAACATTAATAGAGATTGATTGCATTCACATTCTGTACTAAGAACATTCTTGGCCTGTACGTACTTAAAAACAAGTACTCGTCCTAGTAGAAAGTCCATGTGATGTTCAACATGATCTGACGAGGATTGAATGTACACAAAATTCTCCTGCAACGACACCAAGAACATCCTCCAAGAAAAGCAGTAGAGGCACAAGGACCAGAACGTCTACGAGGAAGAGCCGACAAAATTTTATGAGCGCAGTACGGGACACGCTAGTTTTGATGGGACAGGAAGACGTCTCGGATTCGGAGGTTCCGGCTATCGTTGCTGATGCTAGACACGCTTTGTCAATCAGAGCCCAACTACTTATACTTAAGGGTTGACCAATTACATCCCCCACAACCATTCCTCACTCTTTTCCCAGTAGGACGAAAGAGGTGAGGGATGTTCTGACTGAAGAATGTAATGCTGTAGCAACCTTTAACCAACAGGGTCGTCGAAAGGGGATGAACTATCTCAGACTGCTAGGGTCCTATGCGGATACCCTTCGGCTGCTCGAGTCTGTCCGACTCCAGCGAGACTATCGAGACTTATGGCGGGTCAATGGAATATATTTCTTCATGTTCTTTCTCGTAGTTACAAGTCATTTCATCTTAAGTTTCCTCGTGATTGCTTCAGGGAAGTTGACAACAGGGTCATTTACATGCAGGTCCTTGCTTATCATGTTCTCTTGTTGGGATTCTGAGAAAATGAACTACGTGTAGGGAAGAAAAGCATCGTTTTGAGCTCTAAGAGACCGCGCCATTGCTCCGAAGAACAAGGCTGGTGCGCAGGGACAGGCAATGATGGCGGAGAACGGAGTGGGTCAGCTAGTGCTGGCAGCGCATCCCGAATCGGCAAATGGGATGGGAGGATTGAGCCAGTCTATTAGCATCAACGAGGACTCCTCCATGGCGAACAGTTCGTTGAACCAGTCCTCCTTGGCGAACAGATCCTTTTATGGCAGGTCCTCTACGAAAATTTTCGTTCGGCTAAGGCGAGTATTTCCTTTGCCGTTTTCAGGCCATCAGCATCACGATCACTGAGGTTGTCGACGTCTCCTTTCTTCTAATAAAGGGATGTTTCGGTGATGAGCATTGCCCTTGGTTCAGACGTGAGCGCTTTGGCAGAGTGCGCGGATTTGAATAGTTCTGAGGAAGGCCGTGCCATCCTAGCGGTGATCGAAAACGATATGGCTTCACCCCCATCGAATATTAAGGCGAATATTTTATATAAGGTTTCATTTCTACGAATTTTTATTTCTCGCAGCTTCCTTCTTGGAATTCTGGAGAAGTGAAGGCAAGAAATGAAATGCCTCGCGCTCTAAGAATAGACGCGGAGTCTTGGACGTTAGTGGCGTTGACCAGAGTCGTGTGGATGAAAACAACCGCATCAACCGGAGAGGGAGACGGAGTTCTCCTGCGTTAAGGCTTAATGCAATTCATTCATTTCTACAAGTCTAAGTCATTGCTTATACTGTTTCCCTCTCGGGATCGATTCTGAAGACACGAAGGGCTGTCCTTCCGAGCTCTAACTTTGTAGTTTTACGTAGATTGATTCTGCTTTAGTGTAGATCAATCGTTTTTACCTCAAAGTGAGCATTCTATTGCATTGAGCTCTAACTTTGTACCGTGGTATTCAGCGTCCGCCTAGTACCCCCAGTCCTGGCGTCCACAGTGCTTTCGTCACTGTTGAAGAGGCATTTTCGTACTGTCATGAAGTTGCTGGCTACTACGAAGCAATGGTCGAGAACGAGCTGCCAGCGCAGAGACTGGACTTCGATTTACGGCTCTTTTTACTAAACATTCTTTCGATGTGGAGGAGGCTCTCCTGATCGGGTGGATGGCAATCAATCATAGAAAATTATAGCATTAAAATACTCCCCATGCATTTGTATACTCTATTTTCAAGGACCAACGACCATGCAGTGCAGTTGAAACAAGATGAATTATAGGTAGAGCGCTAATCGACGCTTTTGCGCGGATGGTGTGGCCGCAGACGGACTATCAAGGCAAACCAATAGAAGCCAAGAATAAGAAAGGCAAGGATGCGACAGAAGATGCTGCTCAAGCAGCAACGGGAGATGCTCAGGCTGCGACAGGAGATCCTGCTCAAGCTGCAACGGGAGATGCTCAGGCAGCTTCGACTCCAGGAGATACAGCACAGGCTGCTTCATCTGGTGGAACAAACACAGATCAAGCTCAAGGTCAAGATGCTCAAGGCCAAGATGCTCAAGGTCAAGAGCAAGACGCTTCATCTGCGGATGAGGTCAAGGAGATTCGGCCAGAGTCTATAGTGCGTACATCAGCAGCTTTGACCAAGGCAGAGCTAGACGAACAGGTGGAGTACCAGAGACGTTTCGAGGAATACGCGGAGAGCGTGTATAGAGGTGTGATCATTAAGGGCACCGTGTTAGCCGGAGAGCTTGTATAGAGGTGTGATCATTAAAAGGGCACCGTTTTAGCCCGTTATTTCACCATCTCGCACAGCATCTGGCAGAAGCCCGTTTCATCGACGTACACTTGAAACGGAGTAAAAGAAAGATTAAGATGTTCTAAAACAAGGTTCTACTTGAAGGGGAGTAAAAGAAAAATGTTAACGCTTCCTCTAAGAACACTCCCTTTGGCGCTCCACGACCAATGCTGGGCGATAGACCAGATGTAGACGACTTGTTGGACCACAGAGATCAAGGAAGCGCTTCGTTATGCTCATAGAAAACTTCTTAAACTGAGTAGTTTTAGCAGATAGGATGAATGGTGCTGGTATTTGGTAACCTGATTTTGATCATGAGGAAAACAAGAAGGGAATCGCCGCGTTCGGCACCTCTAATTTTGGAACCCGAAGGAGATGAGGAAGTCCTGGACACGCCGCGTTCGGTAGCCGAGGAAGTCAGGGGATTACCGAGGATGCCAAAATTTATGAATATTAACAGATGACCAACCATGTTGAAAATATCATAGAAATACTGTCAGACCACGTCTCTACGGTCATCATGCACGATGGTAACAGAGACAACAGCACGCATGACGACATGAATAACAGATGACGAAGGACTCGAATACTCAAAATATGCAAGTAGTAACAAAAACGAAAATGGTTATTTCAGTTTTTCGCGTGGATAGAAATAGTTGCGCTATCAGATAGTCTAGCACGCTGCCCGTGTCCTTGATGTGGCAGTCTGCACTGAACTTTGTGCGAGATTTCTTCGTCTGCTGCTGCTGCCTTGGACTGATAGCATAGCCCTGATGGACCTGACCGACATTTCTTTTACAACACGTGTACTATTGTACTATTGTACTCACAACCACATCAACCACAACCTCTAAGAGAAGCATGAAGGCAGAGTACAAGCGCCTGATGAAGTTCAGGGTAAAGACGGACCGTGATGCTTTCCGCCGAGAGACGCTTCTCGCGTGCTTCCGAACTAAAATTCAGCGCTTTGCTATGATGAAAGGAAAAATCATAATTCATAGCCGAGAAGTAGTGGAAGCATAGTAGTTGTCGTAGTTTTAAGCATCGAACAGAAAGCATAGTAGGAGTACTCATACAACTTCTCAAGTCTGAAGAATCTTAAAAAAATACTACTCAATCTCAATCTCAAGCATAGCAAACATCATGATAGACATAGAATTGAACATGGAATGGAAAATTTTAGAAAGCATAGGCATAGCGTGAAAACTTTAGACAGCACAGCTTCTCGTCAAGTCTGACGAATCAATCTTAAAAACATGTTACTCAACATACAACTCAAGAAAAGCAAAAGTAGCGGCAGATTCGGTTGTCTAGCTAGATGAAATTGAATCTGCTACACACATATTCATAAGTAGCTCCTTCGATGTTAAGTATGACTATGAGCGCACTTTCTTTCCTATTCTATTCTATCCTATCTCATGATCTGTGCTTGTGTTAGTCATTTTGGTGGTTCGATCCTTGTTGGTCATTTTGGTGATATGAAAGTAAGAGAGTAAACAACTTTTTTAGTAGTTTCTTTCATTCTTTCATAGGTGTAGTTCAGTACTATGAAAGTATGAGAGAGTACAACTAAGCAACTCCAACTTTATTTTTAGTACTAAATAACTTTCTTCAAACTTTCACTTTGTTACAACTTCGTACTTTAGAGTACTAACAACCAGTTGCTTTCATCCTTGAGGAATGGAAGAGACGGACACAGGATGCAGAGCAAGGTCCTCTAGCAGAACAAGCGGGAGGTGAGGCAAGAACATCTATCGCCAGTAGGACCAGCAGAGCAGAATCGGCAAGACCTGACGCAGATGCGTATCATTAAGGCTCCACAAAACAACCCTGATATACAGTGACTAGGATCTAAATCGTTACGTAGGCTCCACGTGAGAGATGAGTATCATTAAGGCTCCCCAAAACCCTATAGATACAGAATAACTAAAAACTAGTATCGTTAAGGCTCCACGTGGACGGGAGAGATGAGTATCATTAAGGCTCCCCAAAACCCTATAATTCGACGAAATGAATCTTAAAAAAAAAAGAACGACTACGTTGCTCTTTTTTTGGTGTCTCTATTCTAATTCTAAGTAGTTACTTGGTTATGTCAGTTTCTCGAATACACAGACTACTTTGGTCCATGATTACGCCTTCTATAGAAGATGTACTGGTCTGTTCGGCCAATTATCTTCAAGGATCATCCCGTTAAAGTACTTCTTCGTTGGTAGTACTTGGCGGATAACTCTTGGGCTGTTGTATTGAGGCCAGTCCTTGCGGGGCGAGTATTTTAACGGGATCTTCTATTGTTTCATGGGATGTATTCTTTTTTAACTTATATGGGTACGTAGGCATAGCGGAGTACACAGATACGGAGCTGAAGAGCCAGTTGCTGGACTACATCTAGACTTCAAGCACTACAGGGTTAGTAGTCTAATGTGCTTTCAACTTAAGAGTAGCGCTAATAGTATCATGTGCGGCAATGTGTAAAGTTTTTGCGGATGAGGCACCGGAATCTGAAAGCGCGTCCTTTATGGCAGCGACCGAGAAAGCATCTTCTCCCTAGAACTACACCATGATCTTCCTTGGCGCCTTTTTCCTCCCAGGAGAAAGACAAGGCTCCATCATGGTGGCTCCAAGGACATGTTGACGCTCTAATCGCTGCCACGAGAAGCTTGAGTCTCCTAGATTATAATCCGATACTATTCGCAGAAGACTGCATATACACGCAAATCGAGGTCATGCTAAGAGTATATGAAGTATATGACGCCCTCGAAGTCGAAGAGGCGAATGGCCACGACAACTTGATCCAATTAAGGCTACAAGCAATCCATGGCCCTAGACTACACGACCGAGATTCCATTTTCCCCCGTGACTACATTTTCTGGGTCCTTCTGAAAAGCTTCCTCCCACCAATTCGAGAAGGAAACGGAAAGAGTTCCAAGATCGATGGGAACATCAATCCGAAGTAGATGTGATCATCAATCCGAGAATCTCTTAGAGTGGATTAGAGCAATCTCTTTTCTCTTTCTAACTCGAGAAGAAGTGTTGAGGGCGGAAGGAGGTCAAATTCGCGTTGTTGAGCGCCTGCGTGGTCGTAGGTCAGAGCCATTGCCAACAGCTTTGTTGGCACCTCCGTCACTTCTGTGGGAACCTCAAGCGCAACAACCTAGTGTCTACTCGAGCTCTTCTGAGGATTAAGAAAGCTTCTTATTCATCTTTCATTTAGGTTCAGCCAGTACTATCGCATTATATTCTACTGGAGTAGACCACAGAGACACTGTTGTTTCATATACTAGGCCACACTGTTCATTATTCATCCATCTCGTGGCTACTAGTTGCACCGTTACCTATTTGATAACCCATCATCTTCATCTTGGTCATATTCGAGAGGCAGGAGCATCTTGACTTGCAGGATTGATCCATCTTTATTGTAGCTTTAGCCAGCATACTACTCCGAAGGTAAATATGTAAATCACTACATGATGACGGGTCATTACAACATGAACAGGAGGATGTACACGTACTCTAGTAGCAGCTCTAAAAAGAAGAGGATGCCTTGTCGGTGTACGAGGAAATGGTAGAAAGACAAGCAGCCGAAGATGGACGGAAAGCAGCCGATCCACATTAAGGCTTGACCTTGAAGATACAATTTCAATTCATTTCAAAAGCAAAAATGACTAGTATCTTCCTTCTTCATCTGTACGACCCCCTCTTGTCCCTATATCTTCTCTTGTGGGTCTCATAACGGTTTTGCGCGGATGCAGTGTTACGCTTACTAAAGTAATCTTCTCCTAACGCATACTACTTCCTCCTTCTGTACCTGTGGTTTCCTTCTTTTTACGAAAGTCGTGAGAAAAAGAAAATTATCAAAATGCAAGAATACATGAATTATTTGAGCCCTTCTCTAATCCCAAGATGCTGACGAAGGAGGCCTCCTCGCTTGGCTCCAGAGTTTTGACTATGGGCAGCCAGCGCCTTCCCCAATGCACACCCATGTCGACGGGTACGACATTGCCACGTGGGCCAAGGCTGCTATCGAGGCAAACGCCATAGAGGATTCAGTTACGGCACAGTAGATCTACTTGTTTTTGTTCTCATCTTCCCAAGCATCAAGGGAAAGCCGGCATCAAGATCATATTTAATATAGCAAGCGTCTTCTCGTTCCCGTTGGCTTCTCAAGGGTGGGAAAGCTGACATCAACAAGATGCTCAGGAGCAAGATTGATTTACATTTACTTTCCCGTCTTATATTTAACTTGAATACAACAAAAGAGACCTCTATTTCTCACGCTTACTTCTACGTTACTCAAGGTCTACCTCTAAGTCACGAGAGTTTTCCGCAGCCGAAGGGGAGTCTGAGGTCGAAAACGATCTAGTACCTCACGATGCTGTGCTAGCGTGGCGCCAAAACCAACGGGACCAGATGCGGATTATGCGGCATCAGTGGTGCCCCATACTTTTAAGGCTCCGAACTGTCAACACTTAATGTTACTGCTTTTCATCGAATAGTTGTAGCACTAGCTATTGCCTCGCCAGCGAGGAAAGTACCTCCGTCAACCCTTCCGTTCATTCCGATTGTTCAACTATCGTCACGCCAGTCACGCAGTTCAACCCCCCATCCTCCAAACTGTCGACGTCAACTACCCATCTCGTCCTACAGCCAACTCAGTATCTTTCAATTATTTCTACTTGAAAAGAAAGTTATTGTCTCAAATAAATTTGAGAATAAGTAGATCATGTACTACAACTTCCAAAGGTAGTACTAGTACTAGTACTAGCACTAGTCCTATCATGATGAACGTACTCGTACTAGTACTATCATAATGGGTTGTTCGTCTTGTGGTCGGTGCAAGCCCTAAGAATTTCAGCAGCGCGGGAAGCAAAAGTTACTGGAGCAGAGAAGATGCTTCGAGAAGCTATAGCATCCCAGAGTCTTCCGGAAGATCATCCATTGATGAAAAATCACGCTCATTTGTGCGCTGTTCGAGAGAGGGCTGAGGAGCGCAGGGTCTGCCTTGCAACCACCGTGGAGTGTTAAGGCTTCATCATGATCCCATTATAAGTAATTAATGGTCCATGATCGAGTATGAAATGGATGGTCCATGATCGACCTTCAGGTTCAGACACAGACACTCCCCTAAGTAACGATCCATCGACCTTCAGGTTCAGACACAGACACACAAACATAATGGAGAAAGGGGTCATTTGTTTTGATCTTCGACATGCTGAGAGAAGTCTGTCGAAGATCCGCGCGACCGCGTCTAAGACTGGCAAAGCAGGACATTGGAGAGACAGAGGGCCACTTTCTCTTCCTTTTTTCCTTGGCAAACGACAAAAGGGAGTGCCATGGATGATTAAGGCAACTACTTACCTCTTGTAGTAGAGAACATTTTCATAGACCTTCTTGTATACATTTAACCTGGAGATTGTCTTAACTAAACCTGGAGATTGTCTTAACTAGACACGTGCTTATACTAGAGAGAGAGAGTATCCCCACAACATAAGAAAGCATTCTTCTTGTCTGGTGGTTCTTTTTCAATGAAAAAGACGACCAAGGATGTTGGTTTTCAGGTTATTTTGATTTAAGTATATCTAAGGATGTAGATATTGAGATGTACTAGATCTAGATCATGTTGTGATAGCTCCTCTAAGACGAACCGGCTCCGCTCGTGCCAGCTGGAGCTACTTCATCATCGACGTCTGGAGCCTCCTCACCGTCATTTGGAGCTGCTTCGCCGTCACTTGGATCAGGAGCTAGTCCTACAATTCCAGGAAGCCTTCCATCCCAACATTAAGTCTAGAACCGTTCTTAAGTAGATCTCAGGCTAGCAACGTCCTCAACGCGAACATCCTTGGTCCGTTTGTTTCTTCTTTTTTCTAAAAACTACACACAGATTTAAGCCAAGGATGCAGAAGATGCGTTCAGGGAGGTTATGATTAACTACTTACGCGGTTCTTGCTCTAACAATTTCCACAAGCTACACGTCGCGTCAATCCGAATGAGCATCACGAACAAGCGAGCATGCGGGAAAAGTTAAGACGGAATCCGAGGTACAGCGCTAATTTGATCTGCGACAAGTTTGGTATTTGGTACCTCGTTGGGTCGAGCCAGATACCCTATCCGGTCCCGGCGCCACCGATGGTGCCTGGCGGCACCGATGGTTCGTTTCGCCCCGTTAACGTCTATGAGGCACCTGCTTCACCTCAGGACGCTCAAGCACTAGTGCGCGATTTGCAGCTCCTACGTAAGGCTTGTTACCTCACTCTCTGGAATTCATCTTGTTGAGAAGCATCTACTTCCTTTGGCCCCTTATCACTTTACCCTCAAGCTGCCACGTGATCAGGGACATTCTTGGACTCCTGTTACACCTTCATTTAAGGGGAAAACTACACGTAAAAGTAGATGACTCTTGCAAGATGAATATATTCTGTAAGGTCAGTCTTGGTCTAACCTACGCATCATGCACAAGCGGAAAGAAGGACATGGAGGACGTACGAATAAGAGTAAAAGTAGTGCATCGGAAGTAGAAGATTCAGACCAGGATCAAAAGAACGGAGGTTCCGAGAGCAACCGAGCAGAAGGTCAAGGTGGTGCCGCCACTAACAGTTGTGATGACAATTCAGCTGCTCCTTCACCCTCTAGAGCATCAAGCGCAGCGTCAAAAAATGGCGCAACCAGTAAAAATTTGAGCGGTCCAGAACTTCTCGTAGAAGAATACGGGTTGACGCTTTTGCAAGCGCAAATGTTCGTTCGGGAGCTTGTACTTCACGCGAAAGAGGGCAAACGTTGGATAGCTTTGCAAGTTGCACATGAGGTGAGCGGAAGCGGCTTCTTTAAGAGCAGCAACTATTAAGGCTTATTGTACCAGTACCTTAAAGATCAATCTACACTCTGAAGGCATCTGGAAGTATCCTGAAGGCGACATCAGACTGAAGCATGATCCTGAAGACTGATCAGACTGAAGCATCATGATGAAGAGACTCTCTTCAATGAATAAGAAAGGAGGAACAGGACGCTTGCCTCTTAGGATTGACCTTAGGATCATGAGCTCTAAAACTATCAGCGAGGACGTCACTGTCGACCGGAGCACGTTTCTGCAAAGGCTAGTCGCCGTCTGAATCTCAACAAAACCGCTACTGAGCGCAACCTCTCAAAGCAAGGATTGCGCTCTAACATTTTGAACCTCGAGAAGAAGCTCGCCTCCAACCCTCGTCCAGGAGATAGTGATAGCGATAGCAGTATGGTAGTGGTACTGATTCTACTTATGATATGAAAGAATAGATTGTTGTTCCTTGAATGTCAACAATAAATTTCATATAATTTTACGGAGTTTGTTCTTGTTGTTCGTTATGATTTTAGGCATTTTTTATTTATTCATCCGCCAGCCTCACAAAAACAGGAGGATCAACCTGCTCCCTGGAGCAAGAGGGGCAAGAAGAAGAAAGAAAAACGCCTAGCTAAAATGCGGAAAGCTCACGATGGAGAGTCGTCCACAGATGATGACTTTGATTAAGGCAAAAGAGGATCTGCTAACACACATTGCATTTTGCATCTCTACTGGGAGAGTAGTAAAAAGTCCAATCTCTATCTTATGCATTCTACAAGGCCTATCTCGTCCTTCTCCTCTCGCCACATCTTTCTTCTTACATACAGGATTGAAAGATGCAGGCACGCGCAAAAAATGTACTCGAAAACTGAAAATCAAAGCGAGTAGCTAACTGAAATAACCGAGTATCTCAGAAGATTACCCTCTTCAGTTACTCGCTGATTTCAGTTTTTCAATGACCGAGTCCACTGTTTTGCACCCCTCTAATCTGAGACCGGAGATTTGCAGCAGCATGGTGGAACTGTGCCGTGGTCTGGGTCTTACATCGGCATAGCATTTTTAAACCTCAACACCTGGCAGCCAGGGTATTCAGACTGGATTTGGAGCATGTTCGATAAGGACTGGCTCTCAAAGCATTTAGTCGAAGAACGTACTTATTTTTTTCGAAGCATTTGGTCGAAGAACGTACTCATTTTTTTCGAAGCACCTGGTCGAAGAACATACTTAAATTGTGATTTTTTTCTTGACGAACTATGACTATCTTCAATGAACTAGTTGTACTAGTAAGTTACTAATCTTCATAAACGTTATGGTGTGTGTAAGTGCAAGTACTAACACTAGGTAGTGATGAACTGTATTGTTTCTTTGAGGACTGCGATTTTAGTCAGAGATGAGCACACGACAGGTAATGGCGTTGGTCTGCTTATTGACCCTCGCAAGCCCGGCGATGTTCTTGTAGTGTTTTATTCCGATGCGTATTTGTCAGGGAATGCGAATGCAAGAAGCGGCACTGCAAGAAGTATCGAGGACGGACAAGAAGGTGAACATGCGGATGCGCCGCCCGTTGTGCCCGCAAGTGATTAAGGTCATGAGCTTTTTTCGTCCATCTTCATCGTGTTTCTCGGCATGATCTCGATAGTGCCTCCCTTTTTCTTCCCTTGTATCTATTTCATGGGAAACAAGGAAGTCGCCGAGATGTTGAGGGGACCTCGAATCAATTAGTTACAATTCCAACTAAAACCGGGAAGCTTCATTGGTAGTTTGTACCTTCACTCACACATTTCTTTGTTAGACCCCCCAGGAGGAGATGAATAAAACCAAGAGCGGACAACTGGCTCGTCTAAAGTGAGGCATTTGTGGGTTGGCGCGACGCTGAGCTTCCTTGTGAGACCGAGTCAGACGCCGAGAAGGAGAAATACTATCACGAAGCAACCAAGGCTCGGCAACACGCACAGCGTCTGATGGCACTCACTCCTCGACAGCGTGCTCACATTGATTTTATGGCAAGAAAACCTGGATTCCTCCATGATGTGATCTGTCGCGACTCCAAGGGAAAGCGCGACAGACTCGTCACACTCCTCCTTTTCGTATTCTGCTGCTCCTTTACTGCGTTTTTCAACATATCCAGGAAATTGAACCATTCATTGACGCGCTCTTCCGCTATACACTCGCTCACCTACTACAAAAAGCAGACGACGCGTGGATTCCAGAACGTACTTACTTCTACTTTCATGACGAGGCCATCTAGAATCCATGTTGACGAGGCCATCCTTACTAGATCCATGTTGACGAGCACGAGGCCATCCTTACTAGATCCATGTTGACGAGGCCATCCCTATCTCATACTCTTTACGTAGTATATGTCGATACAGATGACACAGAGGAGAGAAGAAAAAGAACTCATCACAAGAAAACTCCATGTTGATTTCGCTATTGTTCCTGCGCTAGTTCCAATTTATTAGTCCATTTGCAATTCAGAAAAATATTTTAGATATTTTTATCAGTTTGTTACAACACCTAGACCTAATATTGATAAAATCACGGCCAGGTCGTGCTGCACTTGCCGAATCAGTGAGTTGCCCACGAGAGCATTGGCGTCAAAACGGCTTCAAGCCGTTTATATGGCTAGAACATATCCTTTCGGTGTTGGACGAGGAAGTATTGCCGGCTGAAGCTTAAGGCTCCTCAAAGGAATAGTAATTCTTCATCTACTTCTTCTTGTTTTTGGATCGGATGAGATAACGCAGGACGATGAGGAGAGCAAGAATAGTCAACACGGTTCTGGATTAAGTTTCACACAGTACTATTTTCGTTCAAAACTTCTAAGTAATCGATCCTCACACAGTATTTTTCCCAGTTTTCTTCTTGGATTCTGCTATTATCATTATGACAGTGGAAGAACCAGTTAGGGTTCCGTCACCTTGGTTCGTCCCTTCAACTACTAAACTATGATCGTACTAAAAGATTTGTATAATTTCGGTCATTTCTTTGTGTCATTAAAAGATTTGAGTCAACATTTCTTTGTGTGGTCTCTCTCCTCCTCTAAGAACCACGTCGACTTGCGTGGCCCCAGCAGATGTGGCATCAAATACGGCAGACATCGATGCCGAAGGAGTTTGAGTTTATTGTGCGGACAGATGCGGAGATCTTAGCATGGGAAAAGCCGTGGGATCCATTGACGAGAGAACGTACTAGTTCCGAATGCGAATACGAGTTGTCTTGTTGACAATAATGGGAAATGTTAAATAGAGTAACAAGTCTCATGTTCTTGTTAAACAAGTACTATGATGTTGTTAAGTATCGTCAACAGCATAACAGTTACTACAGGTGTGATCTTATCCAGATTCATTAAGTTGGATTACTTGTATATCAACAGGTTCCTGAAGTAACGACCTCTGGCTACTTCCTCTGTCCACTTCTATTCCACAAAAAAAAAACAGAACAAATCGAGAATTTTGACCTTAAGCGTCCATTGAGAGTCCAGTATGAGACGCCTAGAGCACCGCGTCCAGAGTTAAGGCTAGTTTATCACTATCCCATGTGGACTATCCCATGTGGAGCCTCCTCTTCTGATTTCTGAAAGGGGAAAGAAAATAAGGGGAAAAAGGGGAACTCACTCGACTAGGGACAGTGAAAAACTGCCGCTAACAGAGGGAGCGGGTCGCCCGACACTCCTCACTATGCCCACTGCGGCACACATCGACATCAATGTCGGAAGCCGTTGTACTACAATTTGATGCTTAGTAGACTGCGAATTTCTACTGTGTAAAAGATATTGTGCCAAAAAAGAAGTAGTTTTTTTGTCACAGGTACAACTGTGTTTCGTGCTACCCCTTCTCCAACGAATTCCCTACTAACGTACTACATCAACCTCTCTTGTCAAAGGTACAACACCCTTGGGGTCTGGAGACCTGAGCTCTCTGTACTATGAAGGTAAGACAGAGAAGGTGGACTATCCTGCATGGCAAAGCTACTATGAGAACCGGTGTCGACGACTTTTTGTTAAGGCTCGAGAATGCAAAAATTCGAATTCATATATTGATCTCTTCATCACTTTTACTTCAGAATCAATGTTCAGAATCCTGAGAGGAAAACCTGAGGAAAACCTACTAGGGAAAAGGCGGTCAACATTTTCTTCGCTTTTCTACCTGTGAAGAAGAAATGGAGGCAAGGCCAAGGACAAGAAGATGAAATCTTGAATAGTTTCGCGCTCATCTAATTTCGAGCGTCAGCATGTTCGAAAGCGCGGCACACGGGATTTGCCATACGTCAGACGAAAAGATGGCTCTGGCTCAAAGCGCGACAGATTTAATGATAAGACTAGCCAAGAGTGTGATCACCTCTACTATGCAGATATACCGAAGATACTGCAGAGAGGCAGGGAAAGGGTACTCACGGTTATTTACGTAATTCTGCTAGTAGTAGTAATAGGTATTGGTATATTAATAATCCTTTACTAATTTCTATTTCTTATTTCTACTGTTAATAGCTATTCAACTTTACGAGTTCGCCTACACGACCGTCACGTGTTAGTTTTATGATGTACTAGTAAGATGATGGTGTAAAACCAATCATCTGACTGTGCATTCTAAGCAATAATTATCCTACTTGTTCCATCTTTTCCAACATGGTCAACAAACATCTTATCCTTTCTTCTATATCTATTCGTCCATGATCAATATTTTTAGTGCTGGTTCTTTCGTAGAACGGCGGGCTCTTGGATCTAGTTACTAGAAATGGTTTGGTCATCCGAAACCGAAAGGAAGTCGTACCTCTAGACCCTGCATCAACGGACTACTCCCTAGGCCCTTCTTCATCAACAGGCTAGTCCATCTTTAGGTTCAGAACGCCGGTGGTTTCTATTTACCATGTGATAGGTTTAGGGGCGACATGTTTCCTATTTACCATCAACTTTTTGACTGTTCTCTCCGCTTCAAAGCCTATTTACCATCAATCTTTAGGCTCAGAACGGAGAGGCACCAGAGGAACTGAAGGAGGCGCAAATCGCAGCCCACAGACATGAAAAAACTGCCCAGTGGGTAACCGGGGTATCGGAGAGACAGGCGCTCATTTTCCACAATCCCAAGAATTCAGAGAAAGAACTGTACTTTTATTTTCCCCATCGATCATCCTGGTGAAATATATTCTGAAGCAAGGCCAAAGTACTGTTGTTCACTAAGAAATTGAGGTTCTAATTTTTCGTTAGAAAGTAGAACAACTCCTAAAGGACCTTTAGTACTTTCATCATGTTCAAAACAGACTACTGAAAAGAATATGTTGTCGCTCCTTGATGTTGACGTTCTTATTTCTTTAGAAGTACTTGTGCTGCATAATATCATGTTGAGTAGTTCTCACTCGTACATATCTCCCTATCGGTCTTTGTCGACTGGTGAACAACAGCTCCCCAACCTCATTTTGTTTATCGTTATCCATGCCACAACCCTCCTCTCTCGAGGTCCGTATTAGCTCCTCAACCTCAACATCTTGTATTTATTCAGGTATGTAAGCATCCTCACATCTTGTTTCATCCTCCTCATCTTGTTTCATCAGGTTCGGAAACATCCTCGTTCCATTCTGTCTCGTTTCTCATCAGGTGTGGAAGTCGCAAATCGCAGAATATGCGTAGGCTTTTGCGCCTAAGGGATGCCGAGAATGACTTCCACGCAATGAAAGCGCGATCGCTGCGTCTCCTTTTTCTTCGGGATGCTATGAGGCTGCTTCACCTCGCGGACCGAGGAAAGCTGCCACGGATCTACAACAGTCAGAAAGATTAAGGCTAATCCTAATCCTAATAAAGTATTTATATCCTTACCTAGGTCACCCATCATCCTCGGAGGCGAGCATGTGCCCGTGGGGCTCGCTGAGAAGGGTCCACAACCTAACCTAACCTAATGATCCTCATAAAGTAGTACCTTTACCTTTTTCTATCTTTGTTCTTAGGTAGGTTGGCTCCACCACATATATGAAATCCGTTTCCATCTTTTTGTATTTGCCAAACATCTTGGCCAGGGAGGGCAAAAGGGGCACCATCAAGATGCTCAATGGGGCCTTGAAATTCTCAAAAATTGGAATGATAGGAATCCGATTTTTGCAACGACCTCTAAAAAAATGCAATAATGGCTGCTTTACAGGCAGCGTTGAAGCGAGCGCAAGAACGTGAAGACGAACGCATGGAAAACGCACAAAGGATTTTCTTAGGGCTGGTTCATAGTTTTCCTTTCTGAGATGTGAAATTCATCTGCTACAGGATCTACTTTTTGAATGCAATTAGCTAGAAAAAAAATGGTATTTTTAGACCTTAAAAATCCTCAATTAGTAGTAAGTACTAGTAGAAGTAGAGATAGTAGTAGTACGTAGTACTACTAGTAGTAGGAAGTTAGTGCTATATGTAGCACAGTTGTAATTTCCTCAAGGAGTCGCGTACTCTATTCTTGATTGACTCTAATGCGTTTTTCAGCATTCCGCAAGAAAATCCTGGATGAGGTTATTAAACAAGCGAAGCGACACCGTGAAGGCTTGTTAAGGCTCTATAGACATGATTTCTCAAAAATTAGTCCATCTGCTCTAGTATAGATCGTGTATGCTTCCGGTAATTGGTATAGCCTGAATTTGATCATAAGGGAAAACAAGAAGAGAACCCTTGAGTGATCAAATTCAGGCTAAGTACCCAACTATACCGGAGACATTCATAGACATCCCTCAAGCATATCATATCTGTGCGCCCCAAATAATGCAAGGGAGAGACGGACTTTATTTAGTTCAGGTGGCAGGGTGTCATCGTACTATAGTCTAGGGGTTGCCATGCTAGCCAATGATCATAGACTTATAATGGATAATGGAAACTTTCAGCACCGGGATGACTAGGGAACAAGAGGTCTTCTAAGCATGACAGAAATCGAAGATGCACTTGCACAGCAGGAGCAAGAGAGAGATGCTCTCTCCTCAGCGGAGGAGGAAAGAGAATGCCTTCTTCCTGCGGAGGACGAATCGGGAGCACCACCACGCTCGTCTCAGACGAATATTGACATAGTTATGGTTTGTTCTTGTTCAAGAAGAAAAATGAGGAGAGTAATAAATACAAGTCAACGCGAGTCTCGATTAGGTTGCTCAAGAACAAAGGAGCTCCAAGATAAGCACTTGCTCATCTGGCTCTTGGCCTGCTGCATCGATTTTGGGCAGTTTAACACGACACTGCTCTTCGTCTATCTTCATAGGTAGAGAATATGTTTCTTGCACTTCGAAGGCCTACATGATTAATATTCTGAATCTGCTAGTTGTATACAAAGAAGTACATAGTTGTTCTAATCAAGAGGAATTGATAAAGGCAAGGGAAGAAGTTTTGCTGCGAGCGCGAGAGCAGACAGAGACACAGCTGTTAGTGGCGAAGGCGTTAGCTTTGCATCGCGCACGCCAGCTCACTCTGCATCAAAATTAAGGCTCCTCGATTTCGATGCAAGAATTCATTTTCATTTGTTCATATTCATTTTGCTTCATCCAATGGTCAGATTGATACAATTCATTATCATTTCAACATATTCATTATCATTTTCTTCTAGTGGTAGTGGTCAATATTTTTTTTCGGTTTTTTTGACGTTGAGGTGTTAATTCTAACAAGGCATGTTGGTTGCCTCCATTTTAACCACGGGAGACTGGCTGGGGGACGTTCAAAATTTACGGCTTGTTCAATAAAAAATAAGGTGTACTATCTACATACATTTAAGTACATCTTTACCACGTTTTTATTAAGGTGAAAAAAGGTCAAAGATACGTTGCTATTAAGGGGAATAAAATAGGTCAAAGATGCAGTTCTACATGAGTGAGTATTTGGACGAAGGTTCTCTATCTCTAATTAACGTGCCGCCGGGAGATCCACGCCGGGCGGACGTGGTGACGCGCATCCAAGTGGGTATTCGTGTAGAAAAGGACTCTGATTACGGCTAAGTAGTTAGTATTCGTGTAGAAAAGGACTCTCATTGTGATTACGGCGTAGCAGAGGACTCTGATTCGAAAACTGAAATTAAGCGAGTAGCCAATATGAAGTAAAAGAGTCACGAGTACACTGCTCTCTTTTCAGTATCTCTATTCTAATTCAAAGTAGTTACTTGGTAGTTATTTCAGTTTATCGAGTACTAGTAGTTTATCAGTTCTATCCCATGTGAAGCTGAAGTATGCTGACTGAAGATGGGTCCCCCTCGATTTATCAAAGAGGAAACTAAGACTAACGGGATCTTTAAGAGGAAACTAAGACTAACGCGGAACAAGGGGAACCCACTCAGCCCAACAGGGAAACTAAGGGGAACGAGGGGAAGCTATCGGGGAACTCACGCAGGACATTAATGCAAACCTAGCGCCTCTAATGTGGGGGCCGTCTCCACGCCGTCGGTAAGCCAAAGCTGATCCGTTCCCAGCCTGACGCAGATCAATTCTGGCAAACAAGTGAAAATGGATGGGCGCCGTTCCCTACAAATACAGCACCAGAGCAGACCTCCGAAGATTCGTCGACGCCAAGCGCAACAAACGCTCTTGATGCCGCACCCGCAGTTGATGCATCATGTTCCTTGAGGAAAGAGTTAAGGTTGCGACTCCTATAATCTGTATCTGATGTCCCATAATTTTGAGACGAGAGAGTCATCCTAGCGGAGGGCTTTTTCAAGTGGGAAAGGCACCGTACAGACATCTTTCTAAAAGTGGGTTTCAAGCGAAAAAAACATGAACATCCTTTTTAAGATAGAAAAACAGCAACCAGAGGCACGAGTCTCTGCTTAAAAAGATGGAACCACTGACAATATTATTTATTAGGGCAAACTCTATCTGATTAACCTTATTAACCTTAAGATGGAGGAACATCAAAATTAGAGCACCATCCAAGTCCAACAGCCACTCTTCACCCAAGTCCAACAGCCACTGGTCTAATTGATGCTGCACCAGGCGAAGACGAATTCGAGGAAGTGTATGTCACCTTGCAATACATAGAACACTGGATCCAGTTCGCGATGGAGGCTGGTCTCTACCCAATGCTGCTGATCGATTCCTGGGTTAGCCGTTATGGCCACGTGGATTCCTTTTTAGATACTTGTTGTTCTTTCTCGTCTAAAGATACTTGTTGTTCTTTCTCGTCTAAAGATACTTGTTTTAGTTTACGGAGCGTCCTTTGTCGCCTTAGAAATAAAGTACGCATGTCACCAAAGACGCTGGTTGTTGTTTACAGGTTTTAGCAAGAAGTAAAAGTACGTCGTGGAAGTAGATGAGTTCTCACTTTGTTGTCTAATAGTACATTTGCATTCACAGCGGCTAATACTTGTTAGTTTAGTTTTTATCAGAAAGCACGAGTACGACGAGTACGAGGTATAGCATTCTTTATCAACAAGCTTTACACCTTGTAGTTTTTGCGATTCTATGTATCTATAGTGTACTACCCTCTCATGTCCCGTTGTGGAAACGGCCGTCGCAGAACATCAATGGGAACAAGGAGGAGGAGGAAGAAAACGAGAAGCAGGATCAGGTGGTGAGTTCAATCTTTCCGCCTAAGGCCTGCGTTGAGGCGATCCAAAGTCGCGATGCGGGTCGAGCGAGAACCGCGGTTGTGGGAGAGGTCGTCCGATCGCTGAGTCTCTCATTAAGGCTGTAGCTAATGCTATAATCCATGATCCATCTTTGGAAGCACTCTTTTTAGAACATCTTTGGAAGCACTCTTTTTAGAACTACGTATGGGTGTATGCTTCCACTATTTGGTATAACCTGAATTTGATCATAAGGGAAAACAAGCAGAAAACCTCCCTTGTGATCAAATTCAGGCTACCAAATACCGGAGCCATTCAATGGGGGAGCTGTAAGAAAGACGGACCGTTCTAATCTCAGAAGACGGATCCATAGACGTAACCGCGCCACCGTGGACAGGATTGGGATTGCGACACCCAGCGTTAAGACCGCTGAAGCGTCTCCTCGAGGTTCCTTGGTTCTTCTTTGTTTCAAGGGGGAAAAGGAAGAGAAAAACACTGCCTACTTATTCAAATATTATCATCTCTTGCTTTTCAAGGGTTTTGAACAAATATAGGGTCGTTCAGGAACAATCATGGGCACCGTGTAGCTCATAGGGATACAAGAACGAAGACAGTGATAGGGATAGGGCTCTAACGAAGACAGGTAAGGGGATTGCACCATATGGGCCGGATCATCTGAAAATGCTGGCGGCACGTCGACTCGCAGTGCAAGTCCAAAAAGCGAAGGAGTTTATCAATAAAGTCGTGGAAAAAGTGGACTTGGATGATGGTGCTTGTTATTCTTTTCAGTAGACGAGTGTCGGTTTTGATCTCTTGGTCCTTCATCTTCTCTCGGTCCTTGGTTTATCTTAACATTCCTTAGCATCTTCCTCTTTAAGAGTAATAGTATCCGTGGAAAAAGAGAGAGCGATTGGTATAAGTGGTTGAGACTGAATTTTGCATACGCAGTTCCACGTTCTTCGGGATACACTGTTGAAACTGTATCGCCCCGTCGGTACGTAGTCGAGGAGTACTACTAGCGATGCCAGTTGTCCATTAATTGCATACGCGCCTTTTGCTCTGACAGGAAATGAAAAGTAGTGAAAATGATCAAATCTTCATGAACGAGTACTTGTTTGTTTGTTTGTTTGTTTGTTTTGATGCGCTCCGGGCGACGCGTACGATCCCGCCGGATTTCTTTGTGCTCTACTTAACAATTCTTTAATAAAATATGTAGCCTTGTTTGGCGTTGCTTTTCCTCCATACCTCTTGTCCTTCCAACCTTTACCTTCCCCAACAGGCGTAGCCACCATGGCGGACCGAGTCCAGCATCTATTTCTTGAAGAGAATGCGCGCATGATGGGCAACAGGTTGAGAACCCAAGATCAAGAGATGGTGGAACGCAGGCACACAGAGGATGGTGGGAGAGAGCGTTATGCGGTGAACACCATTCTTGTGCCTCCTTCGTCTAACACTCGAAGTATTGCGATAGGTCACGGATGGCAGAAGGTACTGTAGACTTGTAGGTGGACGACTTACTAGTCGTAAAAATACTACAGTACAAGTTCTAAAGATTTAAAGATAGGACTAGTTTTAGTTACTTCTCTTGTAGTTCTTTTAGATTTAGTATCGCGAGAAAAAACGTTATCATTATCGTTTTTTTGAATTTTTCAGAAAAGCATAACATGGAGCACTGCGATCCTGGGGCTTTCCACCTTGCGATGGGCAAGCCGGCCCTCCCTCCACGAGGTGCCGCAGCAGACGCTGCGCTCCTCCTCCCATTGGCGCGGCCCTTCACTCATGGCGGGGCATCATGGTACCGCTAAGCTCAAAGGGCGCGGCCTCCGCTTACGCACGCCCATGGGGCAGTGGCGTGGCCTGGCCCTGCAAACTTATCCGCAAAAGTAGCACACCGCGGGAAACAAGCGCGGCGCACTCGGAAAGCAGCCCCGCTGGCAATCGTTGGGGCGATTCCTGGGGGCAAGCAATATGAAACGCCAAGCCGATCGAATGGAAGCCGCGACGCCACTTCGCTCAAGCTCCAAGGAGGCGAGGAGACGACCGAGAGCCGCAGACGCGCGAGCGGCTGAAGGGGTTAGTTGGAGGGGGTGTTTGAGGGGGGTCCTTGTTTTCAGGGACCCCATTTGATAAGACTTCTGGCGCCCGACAGATAGGCGATAAGGCTTCTGGCGCCCGACAGTCTTCGCCGAAGCCCAGAAACACACTCTAAATCTTCGGAACCTCGAGGGGCAAGCGGGTGACAGGTGGGCGCCTTTTCTGCTTGCTCGTTATCGCGTTTTTGGCGAGTGTTTGGAGGGGTCGGTGGAGGGGGGCGGCGGACCACCTCCGGCCCGGCTAGAGGACCAGAGCGGCCACAGCAGGAAGGAGGCGCCGAGCCGCTAGAGGTCGGAGGAGGTGGGGCGCCAGAGGTGGCGGAGCGGCCGCAAGCAGCAGGGCTGCAGGCCATCCCCTGACACTCGGGCCCCAGATTCGCGAGGGGACGAGGAAACAAGCTACACGCACGCGCGACTGCCATTGCTGGAAGCGCCTCCCGGAGAGCGCAGCACCACCCAGCAGCCAGAGCAGGACAGCAGCGCGCGCGGCGCCGCTGTTTTGTTGTCCGAGTCATGGGAAGCGCAGCCCACCCACAGACGCGCCAAGAGGAAGCGGCGAACGCTGGCGCCCCTCCATTCTTATGCCCACGCGCACAGCGTCCCACCAATGCCTGGGATTTGTTATCCCTATCTGAAAAAATCAAAAAAACGATAATGATAACACTTTTGCCTGCGATATTTAGAGATTCGAAGATGTGAGAGGAGAAAGACGCCCGAAACGGAAGTACTCTACGATGAGATTGAGAATGGTGTTGTAGAAATGCTTGTTGTTGTTTTCGTTCGCATCATAGTTCGGCTTTTTGTCAATATTAAGTGCGATGAGTATTCATCTATGTTCTATATGTGCTTCTTCATCTTTATCTTTCGAGGTTGCCGCTCTGCTTTCGTGTTGGCGTATGAGGCCAAAGGTGTACGATCCCCAAAGCGTCCTACTTGCCCACGAGAATAGCGGAGAGAGTCTTAAGGCTGTAGCTAATTCATCTTTGACTGCGTCCGTGTTGAAAGGTATGGGGAAGCATCTTCACAGGGAAAGCCTCTGCCATACTTGCCACTGCTCTGCCATACTAACTTGTCACTGTGGCACCTGAGAAATGAAGCAATCACTGAGAGCTCTAAACACTAGGGTCAGTGGTGGACATCTGGCAGTAATACAGAACCAGCCATCGTTGCTCGGACGTCCGCAGCTCCCTTAGCGATCAAGAATAGGATCGCCGCTATCACCGGGGCTCCGAACTTTGGTTTCATGCAGTCGGAACATCCCAGCTTAATTGATGGAAGTGTCAATCAATCGGCGTTGAATCAGTCCGCGCTGAACGTGTCCGCGTATGAAGACAGGATTTTTCAATTTCTTGCTATCGTGACTAAGACCCCTTTGTACCAAAACCAAGCATTATAATAAATGAGATTAAATCGTAGAAGTTAGTACGGTACCTAGGATTGTATTAGTCTAACTCCAACATCAAGTAGTTCAAGATCAGCTTTTTATTTCCACGTTTGTTCTCTAATCTTGTTCAAGCAGCAGTTCTTCCGGAAACGGTTCTTTCTTGAGTGAGGCTTTATCGGATGGGGAGAAAAAGCGGCGAGCTCTTCTGGAATCGCACGGTTTTGCGAGGCCTGCGGGAGCCCAGTTCGTAGTCCGGGAAGCCACAGCTGCTGACATCAGGCCATGTAAGATCAGTAGAAGAAGTATTTTTGGTCATACAAATACATCTTGTTGTACTTCGGTGTAGGTAATTTATCAGGAGACTAATGATTTGAATAGTTCTTCCTGTAATTTATCAGGAGAACAATGAGATCTTCTTGTAGTCTACTACTAGATTCTAGTGATAACGATTGTAGATGAATAACGGCGAGGAAAGCTATTTTTATGCATAGCTACCGCTAATCCACTAGAAGGGGAGAAGGAGGAATTTTCGGACGAAGCGCCGAGCTTTGAGTCCGTAGGCGAGGGGCCACCAGGTCGTCAGTACAAGGACACTTCCCACGACCGTTCCTTGTCGGTAGATGAACGGATAATTAAGGCTCGTTGTCGTTTCCACATGATATTGGCATTGCTGCATCTTCTTCTTCGTGCACCACAGCTTCAGCTACTGATATAGATGATACTGGACTTCTTTAGTATCTTCCACATTAACAATGCATCATGCTCATGCACTACTGATAAACTTGACTCCACATTGGCATTGCATCTTCGTCGTGTACTAATACTATTCGTGACTTCTTTATCTTCCGCATTATTAACATTGCATCTTGCACTACTGCAATAGAAGTGCAACCACTCTAAGATAAAAAATCGGAATCTTCTGCAAGAGCAGTTGGCTGCACGCAATACACGCTACGTAGAAATGATCAACCATGCTCCTGTGGCATGTTCTATTAAGGCTAGTACCGCTGAAGCATCCTCAACGCCATGGTCCTTGGCGTCTTTTTCAAGGGAAAATAAGAGAAGGATCCAAGGATATGACCCTCAAGGATGCCGCGAATGTAGAGCTTGGTCCCATCCTTAGGGAGCTATTGATGCCATCTTCCCCCTTACAGTAGAAGTAGTAGAAGGGAGCTTGGCTCTAATTCTACGCCTGTAGTGTTGCTGAGGGAGAGGGTAGCAGAAAGCCCAACACAGGAGAGGGTCGTCCAGCAGGAGATTGAGACCCAGATGCAGCAGATCCTGCACATGAGATCCGATGCAGATGATCTGGCCCCGCAGCGCGGGAGACCCTCCACTTCCTCCATTCTGCTTGTGCCAGAGATTAAGGCTACATGAAATGCAGCATCTTCCCGAGCATGATAGATCCATCTTGATTTTGTTTCTCAACGGGAAACGGGCACCACGAAGATGCTCGTGCAGATGGATTTACTGTAGTTCTAAAGAGAGCACCCCAGCCGACCCGGACAGCATAACCGCCATCCTATTAAGGCTCGATTAAATAGTACAATGACAGTAGCAGCAGGGGTGATTTCTTTAGCATTACTTCGATCTAGATTTCCAACATTATAACAATTCAATTCACGACCACAAACCACTTATTCTTCTATTGGAAACGCGCTAATTCTACGTCAACACCTGAGCACCGCACCCAACCCGTCGATTATAGACGCCGATCTACGTTATTTGCCGCGCTTGGACACCCCCGATTCGGGAGGTGGACCCTCCTCCATTCTCCCTGGACCGGTGGACACCGCAGCCGACCCGTGGAATGTATCCACTCGAATACGTGAACTACAACTGGACACCCCCGAGTCGGGAACATCCTCCGTGCTACCTGGACCTCGACTGAACACTGTTCGACCAGAGAGCCGGGAACATTCTCCGTGCTACCAGGACCAGGCCGACCAGAGACCTCCGTCCTCCATTCTACCTTTAAGGCTTACTTCTGTAATTCATCTTGAGATGAAACTGTTTTGTAAGGGGGCCCTTTTTTTGAATTTTGTAAGGGGAAAATTTGTACCAGAAGATCGGTGGTTGTTCTCACGATGAATTATTGCGAGCTCAAATACCTGGCTCAGAACTTCCGTCGTTGAAACGCGGAGCATCAGACGAGGAAGAAAGGGCGCCCAAGAAAATGTCTCTTGTTAAGGCTGCTCAGTTCATAGTTCATTTCTACTTGTCATTTTTTTTTCCTGAAGTAGAAAGGATGATGAACAAGGTCCCTTCCGATTTTTCGCTGGCTCGTCCTCAAGTAGATGTACTGCCCGAAACAGTCAACTTGTTCTCAAACACATCCGCTGCCTGAAACGGTCGTCAACTTGTCCATTCACTCACTTCAAGAACAGGGTTAGTACTAAAATTTCGCTTTGAGCTCTAATCTTGGAAAGGATGAGTCGCCTGACAGTCCCAAGGCTCCGGCGAATGAAGATGGTGGCTACGACGATGACGATGGCGATGTCCCGCTGGAGGAAGTGGTGCAACATCTTCCGTCTGAAGTTGTAGGGATGAAGCCAGCTAATGTTAAGGCTTCTCGTCAATATTTAATTCTTTCATGTCACAGACTTGTTTTGCCTTTCACGTCAATCTCATTGTTTCATAGCAAAAGTAGTTCACAGACTTGATAAGAACTTTTCAGGGCAACACTTAAGTGAAAACTCCGCTCTCATGTCCTCCTCTACGTCGTGCGGTCAAGGTCATTCGTCTTCACTATTAAGCATTTATTGTTTTTTCTCGCGGATGATACTAGGATATCGATATTGAAAGAATGTATGAGCCTAAGAACAAATGAGTCTTCGTTTAAATGTGTTGAGCTCTAACAGTGTTCAGGTTCTTGTACAACGACCTCCTCGTCGTCCCAAGAAGGAGAAAAAGGGGAGTCCAGGTCTTGGGCCCGATGACGTGCTACTGCGTCACAAGACTGATGCAGAAATCGCAGAAAGAGAAATGATATTAAGGCTCAGCTTTCAATGGTCATTGGGGTTGGTCACTGGCGACCCCTTGAGAGAACAGGGGAAAACGAAGGGAAAGGGGAGAGCTTTGAAGGGGGTCCCTTCCGTTCAGAGTCAGTGACCATTGAAGGCTGAGCTTTAATGATAGATCTAGATGCACATGCAGCACCAGATGAGGAGCAAGAGGATGGCCAGCAAAGTGATAGAGGAAGTTCCTTCATTTCAAAGAGCTCAAGCAGCATTGATGCGTCGCTTGTCGGTGAGCCGGTCCCTAAGTCTTCTAGTGAGACCAGCAGCAGCGGAGGCCGTCGAACAACACCTGAATTCGGTAGAATCATCAACATCTCCGAACAAGAACAAGAACAAGATGGTGCTGAAAATGTTGCTATTCATGATCATCCCGCGGCTCCGTCGTGTCCGCTAGCGGATGCGGAATTAGATGAGCAGACGCCAGCAGTGGTGGTAGACAGTCAGACTCCTTTATCCGGCAACCCAGCTCCTGCAGTGGTAGACGGTCAGACTCCTCTATGCAGTGAGGGGGTTTCCGGAGCTCCAGGCTCGTCGCAGGGAGCCGACTCCGCAGCAGAGCTGACGCCACGTGTCGTCTGTGCAAGAGGGACCCCTTTCTCCAGGGTCGGGGTTCCACCCGAAGTTAAGACCACTTGAAGTGTATCAACATATTTGTACACTGTATTTCTATTATTTGATTAAATAATATGAGTAATTCTGATGTGGGCCTCAATTCTGGATTCCAATCTTCGAAGGTTATGGAAGGTGTGCGGACTTCATCTCCAAATGAGTCATCTGACTCAGAGAGAGAGAATACGACGTGCATAGACAAAAAGGGACCTCCCAGATGAACTTCCTTGAGATGTTGAATTCCCCATACCGCTAATTCGGGAGAAGAGCAAGGTTCGGGAGGGGGACTGCAATCTTCGGGAGAAGTGCAACGTGAAGATCATCAGTTGGTGGGTGGTGCTGCTAGCAATGTAGTTTCTCGTGAAGGTGAAGGTGGTGTTTCTGGTGAAGAGGCTGTTTCTGGTGAAGAGGCTGTTTCTGGTGAAGAGGCTTTTTCTGGTGAAGAGGCTGTTTCTAGTGAAGAGGCTGTTTCTGGTGAAGAGGCTGTTTCTGGTGAAGAGGCTGTTTCTGGTGAAGAGGGTGCTTCTGGTGAAGAGGCTGTTTCTGGTGAAGAGGGTGTTTCTGGTGAAGAGGGTGCTTCTGGTGAAGAGGCTGTTTCTGGTGAACAACAGCAACAATCGCTTCTAGAAAGTGGTGACAACATCATGATTCATCTGGTCTCTGGTACAACTGGTAGCAGCTCTATTTCACCTAGAAGTGCTGGAAAGGGAACAGTGGCAGCGTCTGTGTCAACACCCGAGAGACTTCTATTAGACGACAGCGAAGATGACAGTGACGAAGATTTGCGCAGGGAGCAAATGAAAAAAGATGAAGAATTGGCACGACAACTCCAGCAGGAGGAGGAAGATTCCACAAAAGGATCTTCATTGACTACCTTTAATCAAGGCAAATACAAACCTGCTCCTGCAGTCGTGGGCGGAGCCAGCAGCAGTAGCAGTTCTTCCAGCAGTAGCAGCTCGTCTTCATCCGCTCGTCCTGCTGGGGTAACATCATCGGCCTTTGCTCCACGTCAGGCTCCACACATGAATTCTACTTCGTCTCAGCAGACTACCTTCGGTCCTCTAGGTCCACCTCCACCTCCTGTGGAGGAACAATTCGACACAGGCATGCCAAGCCCCGCTACCTTAAGACTAGTACCGCTCTACAGCATGTGGCCATCATCCCTGGTTCTTGTTCTTCTTTTTCTACTTGTGCTGTACCTGATTCAGGTTGTGCTGTACCTGATTCAGGTTGTGCTGTACCTGATTCAGGTACTTATAGATAATGGTGTTGTACTCGTCTGCTCAACATTTCACCGCATTTTTCTACTTAATATGAAAACGAAGCTTCCAGGGATGTCTATTTGAATTATGTGGGCCATAGATCTACTTTCTTGGGAACAAGATGCAATCGTGACACAACGACCTCTAATTATTGGTGCTGTACTGACAAAACTTGTTGCTGAACGAGGAGATCAGGGAACAGTGGAGGAGCTTCATTTGCAGCAGGCCATTTTGAGTTCCCATTTGACGACCTCTTCCGCAGCAGCAGGAGGAGGTGCTTCAAGACCATCTTCATCTAGTAGTTGGTCGTCTTCATCATCATCTGCAGTTGCAGGAAACCTAAGCCTGCTATATCAGAATACAACTAGTACTGCTTTCAATAGTGCTTCGATCAATAACAACTCAGTTGTAGCTCCTGTCCTGGAGCCATCCGGTTACGAAGGATCCTCGGAAGAAGAAGCTTGCCAGGTCCTCAACGTTCCCACCCTAGCTGTGGGTGGTGATCAGATGGAGCATAATATTACCAGTACTAGTACAGGCGTATTGGACCTCGCTCCAGATCATGAAATGGCGCAGAAGATAGCGCAGAATATTACCAGTAGAACTTCTAGTACGGGAGGCATCTTCTTGGTGGAAGATCAGATTCAGGGTGATACCGGAGATAGTACGAACGCACCAATGGTAGTGGAAGAAAACGCAATAATGTTGGAAGAAGACGGAGTCTTGGAAGAAGTCGAAGATGTTCCTGACTTCTATAACGATGACGAATCGTCATCCGGAGCACCAGAAAATGCCAATCCTCCTCCCCCCGGACCGCCAGAAAATGCTGATCCACTTCCCCATTTTGCTGCCAATCCTCCCCATGCATTTGCGGGTCGTCTGGATTCTGTGCCAGAAGATGCTGTTATGGAAGATGTCGCGCCACCTGCGACGTCCTCGGAAGAAGCTCAAGAAGTTCCGACAGGAGGTGAAGAAATTCCGACTCCAGCTGAGGCAGTAGAAGTTCCGACTCCAGCTGAGGCAGAGGAGGAAGTTCCACCCAGCACGACAGACACTGTAACAGTGGATGGCCGTCGATTTCTATCTGCGAGTAGACGTGAAGAGCACCGTCGAGCTCTCGCTAAGGAATTCGGGAAGTTCGATGAGATCGAATTCCAAAGGAGGAGGGCGGCACCACGGCAACATGAAGATCCCATAGTTATGCAAATCGAATAATATGGGTGCCGTCAAGATCAACCCATCGCTCCTTACAGTTGCGACGCCATCTTGTTTTAGACAAGAAAGGGTCCTTTTTGATGGAGCATCAAGCTAAGAAATGTTGATGTTCTCCAGTTCTAAAAGGTGTGATGTTCTAAAACGTAAAAGATGGGTTCTTCTTGTTGGTACGACCTGAGGTAAACAACTCTAACCTAAACGCGCAAAGTACTTTGGGTTTGCTGGAAAAGTTACGAATCTCAGAAATCACCGTCTAGCTTCAAAGAACAAATCTTCTGCTACTTACCACATTCAGCTTCAAGGAAGAAATCTTCTATTTACTGTGATGTGTGACGGCATCTCCTATACTGTGTTGTGCAGGAGATGAGAAGAAGAATGGTCTGCAGAACGTCGAGGTCAAAAAATTACTTTTCGTATTTACTTGAGTGGATACTATAAGTTTGTTTGTGATTGTGAGGTCCTATAATTCCTAAGATGAAAGAGCTACTAGTCTCTCTGGGAAGGTAAAGATTTTCTTCACGTTTCGTCAGGGTTTGCGAGGTCTTCATCATTGAAAGTACTTGTTGACATCTTTCAGTCAGGGAGGAGAATCCATGACTAGAGGTAGAGACGCCAACGAACATCATGCTGAGGATCGATTAGTAGTAGTAAGAGTAGTACTAGTTGTTGTATTCAGATTTTACTTTTTGTGCACCAACCCATAGTCCTCGAATCGTTCTTCTGTTCTATAAGGAAAACTAATACTCACTTCGCGATAACAAGGTATATGAAGTAAAGTAGTTCGCTCCAGTCAATATCAATAAACTGTTTCCTTCTTCATTCTTTGGAGCGGATACGATGAAGTTTCTTGGTGGCGGGATGCAAAAGAGCTCCAGCGATCCTCGAGAGCAGAAGTACCCCATGCTTCGTCTCCAGCTACTCCGTGTTAAGAAGTCGTGGACCCTCAACCTTAACCTTTAGTTTGTTAGACGTAGACCAAAAATTCTGCTTCTGCGAGTGAAGTTAGTAAGATGAATTATCATACATATTTAGAATTTTTAGCAACACCCACACCCATAATATCGTCCATATGACATCAGTGACATGCATTATTAGAATGATACAATCCTTGTTCGTGACCAACACGCGCGCTGCCTTAGTATTGCTCCACCACTCCACCTGTGTCTATTAGTAATCTACCTCTAGATGTTGAAGTTGATTAGTTATGCGTTCTTTTGCCCTGTTCTCTCCGCTTCAAAGCTTATCTATTGAAGAACGATAAGAGCGATGGATCATTTGTTCTAGCATCTCTGTTCTCGATCTTCTAAGCCCGAGCGCGAGAAGGTGCAGACGGAGTTGCGAGACATGAATGAAGAGGATGGAAGACTTAGGGATGAAAACGCAAGGCTTAGGCACGAGGCAAGAGAATTGGAGGCAGAACAAAGACGCTACCGTTAAGGCTTCATCCCTTAATCATGATCCATCTCGTCTAACTATAGGGATGATCATTCAAGAACAGTAGGCACACCAATAGTAGTTCTGTACTATCTATCTCTCGTTAAGCTGTCGCACTTAGCGTCCAGGCTGCAGCGAGGCCCCGTGAAATCTGAAATCGGACGCTGAGGAATACGCTTGAGGGATCTAGTCCACAGGGATGAACTAGGGATGGACTTCTAATACCAGGAGGCAAGAGACCGAGAGTCTCAGGCCGACGCCGCTCTCCGCGACTTCATGCACTCCAATATGAGAGCCGAAGCGGATGCAAACGCGAAAATATTGGAGTTATGTTGGCATCATGATGATTTGATCGGTGTAAGTAAATCTAGAGTATTCAAGAGCACCTGGTTCTTCGCTTCAAAGCTTCCTTAGCCTCCTTCCGAGAGTGCACTCATTTATCATAGGGAATAAATTTCTTGTACTCTGAAGAAGTCCTGCGTGATTACTTAGCCCTCTACTCGCCCTCTATTTGAAGATTCTGATACGGAAATTATAAGTTTCGAGACCGGAGGACAGTACAGCAGTGCTCTACTACTTGAGCAACTTCTTCTATTTACATCACTTACTTAGATTCGCAGCGACGACTCGAGCTGCTTAATTCAACTACTCAAGATCATTAAATATAGTAATTCTACCTGCTCTTCTACTTCTAACCTCTGCTCGTGAAGCAGAGTTGAAAGAGAAGGAGCGTGCGTTGGCCGAGGAGTGGGAGAAGGAGTGCGTGAGCCGGAGGAAATATAGGATGCATATAGAAAAGTGCTACGAGGAGGTAATGGGTGAGGCTGGACATTATGGACTTGGGCATACTCGAATAGTACTGCAAATACGCAACTAACAATATTATCAATCTGTTGTTTCCCAGCATACTTGGTTCATCTTTCAGTCTGTCGAATACCTTGAAATACCATTTGTGCTCGTTACGATTGGCAGTCGTCGTGACGGATGTTGCAGGGGATGTTTCTACTAGTTGGCAATTTTGGTGGTCTACTAGGCGTAGGCTCTCATCTTTATTATCACTTGCCTTCTCTCTGCTAAGTAAGTACACAAGACGTCTTCTCAGAAAGCTTTACTTTTTCTTTTTCTAATCCTCGACATTGGATAATAGTCGGAAAGAGCAGGCGGAATTGCAGCGGATGCAGGAAGAGTTTCGTATAAGGAAGGTTAAGGCTGCTCTTACTAAATCATATTATATGGGAGAGCTGTATCAGTATCTTCACAGGGATGAAACGAAATAGCGGAAAATCTCCCCCACAAACACAGCAGTAATTTTTCAAGCATGCAGCTAGTGAATTTGAAACAAGATGAATTCGGATTATGAATAAAGCTCTGTCTAAGAACGAGGAGCAGGAAAGAGAGTACGAGCAGAAAAAAGCGGAGCTCGATGAAGAAAGGAAAGTATTTTAAGGGAGGTTATTGCTATACCAGAGTAGTTTATAGCACGCATGGTGCACGGAGTAGCATGGAGTGCATGGAGCGCAGAGCTTTAAGGGGCGCAAGAACTCCCCCTTTAGCTCCATGCTACTCCATGTGATCCATGCACTTCATGCCATGCGAGCTGTGAAACATTATAAATTGCTCTGTATATACTCATAACATTTAATTGCATTGTTCCTCACAAGCATCCTTGGCTATTTTCATAAAAAAAAGCTCTAAGTATTGGAGGAAGAGAGGCGCCGTCATGAAGAGGAATGGGAGGCTGCGAGGGAAGCCTTAAAGCACGCTTTGGAGATGCATTTACGGTTGCTCATTTTTACCGGCATCTTGGTAGCCCCATTTGGAAGGTCGTGTTGAAAAGGGAAGCAAGATCCAAGATGCTGGGACTTATTTTCTAGTTAACGTCTAACGTCTGAGCAAGAAAAGACGCGGCTTGAGCTCAAAAAGAAGGAAGACGAAGAGGCCTTGGCAGAGGAGAGGCAACAGAACGATGCAGACCTGCAGAAGGCCGTGAAGTCTATGAGTGCGGAAGCGAGACGAAACTTGGAAGCAGTAATGGCACAGTTAAGATTTAGATTTATCAGAGACTGTTCTGTATGCTCACTTTTCAGGTACTACTTAGAAAAACTTGTAGTTAAGGGTCAACAAGGACAACCTCAGGGATTCAAGTAGAAAAAGAAGTGTGGGCCAAGGATCATATGACTTTCTGGGAAGATTGATTAGAGCGGCCAAGGATGGGAACAAGCTGTCACGCGATAGAGGAGTAGCTCTAACAGAGAGACTGCAGGAGAAGGAACGCGAGCTCGAGAACAAGTTCCGTATAGAAAACGAGAACCTCGCAGCGATATATCAGGCTGAGTTGGGGAAACTTGAGAACAAGTGGCGGCAAAGCTCTGACAACCTGGAACGAGAAAGGGCGGCTCTTAATGAACGCACAAGATTAAGGCGAGTAGATACTAATATCGCTACGAATGTTTCCAGATGTTGAAGCGATAGTTGCACTACGTACATCTAGCATAAGTAGATCTGTAGCTTCTTGGGTTAGGACCATCAACATTCAACTCTTATGATGATAAGAGAATCGTAAGTCTAAAGTCTTACGATGATTTTAAAAAATGATTCTTCATCTATGGTCTTCTATATCTACCCAGCTCCTCTTGCTCTTCCTTCTTCTAATGTTTATCGAGATGGATGAGCGCATGACGCACGTGATGCACAAGCAGAGCGAGGTAGATGACCTGATGGCTCTCCTAGAGGGGAAAGAGTTACTTGCGCAGCGACGACTCGAAGACGTTGAACGACGCGAAGCCGAACTGACCGCTCACGAGGCTGCTATGGCAGCTATGGCAGAGGAGGATAAGGCGACAGAACTCGAGGATGCTGCGGCAAACCTTCTGCGGGCTGAGGGTAGACTACAGGAGGTTCCACACGCTGGTGCAGGACTAGGTGAACAGGCTGGCGCAGGACTAGCTGAACAGGCTGGTACTGGTGCAGGACTGCAAGTTTCACAGGCTGATTCTGGTGCAAATGCTCGCTCATGCGGTGCAAATGCCGGCTCTGGTGCTGGTGCAAGTGCTGGCTCTGGTGCTGGTGCAAATGCTCCTTCTGGTGCAAATGCTGGCTCTGGTTCTGGCGAGAACGTAGCTAGTGCTGGTGCGAACGCTACTGGTACGAACGTAGGCGTAGCTAGTGCTGGTGCGAACGTTACTGGTACGAACGTAGCTGGTGCTGGTGCGAACGTAACAAATGCCGGACAGCTCCAGAGTCACCAATTCAAAGGCGGCGTCGCCAGCAACAATTCTAACAATTCTCGGTCTTCCGCTTCTCGATCGTGCTCTGTATCCGAGGAACAAAGAGCTGAACTGGATCGCCAGGCAGCAAAGTTCGATTCACTAGAGGCTAGTGCAGCAAGAGCATTAGCAGCGTTATCTTTGCCGTCTGCAGTGGAACGTGGATCAGTTCTCCAACGAAAGGCGACGATAATGCTGCAACAGCAGCAGCAACAGCAGCAGCAGCAGGCTTCTTCGCTGAGAGAGCTAGAAATGGCACAAAAAGAGGCCGGACCAGGAGCAGAGGCGATGATGGGTGTGAGCCCGTCGCTTGTTGTCAATCCCAGTGCAGAGGATGCTGGAGGGAATGCTGATCGTGCTCCCGATGCAGAGCAGGCGCCCTCTTCGCAAAACGCTTTAGTACAAGGTCGTGGAAGTGGTGAGCAGATCAACATGGGCGCCTCGAACTCTGGTGAGCAGATCCAGCAGATCAACATGGGCCCACAGACAACACACCATGGAAGTGCAGCTGCTGCTCCCTTAGGATCGCATCTACCCGCTTCTTCGGAAGAGGAGCCGGTGGGCATCGGGTCAGTGACCGTGGAGGAAGGTAACACTCTACGGGGTGGTGCACGAGGCAGTGCAAACCTACCTGCTAACAACAGGAGGGGCGGTGGCGGTGGTGCGGTTGTAGACCGCGAGCGACGATTGCCCTCGGGTGTAACACAGCGACGACCTCCTCCCTACGGCGCACCAAGCACCGTGAAAAGCAATAATCCAAGTCCAGAGACGAAATTATGGTCACCTCCGTATAAATATTCTTTTCTTATTCTTCTTTCTCGGAGATTGGTCTTGGTAATATGATCCACCTTGTGCGCCCCTGTATTAATTTCCACGAAATACAAGGGAGAGGGGTTGTGGTCGAGATGAGGGAACCGAGATGTTTACAATGCGACTCTAATGAAAGCGAAACGACCTCAGCAACTGCAGACACTGCGCTTGCAGCAACCCGAAGGTTAAGGTTTTCCGACTTGCATTTCAAATTTTTGCGTTCCTCAATACCATCCCATCCCTGGCTTTTTGTTTCTAGAAGAGAATGAGAAGCCAAGGAAGATGTTATGAGCAATGTGATTCCGTAACCCGGCCGCTGCTCTAAGAAGGCGAGGCTTGGCGCGAGAGCGACCTGCTACGGGCGCAACGAAGGAATCCGCATGGTCCACAAGAGGACGATGCGCCTCAACGGAATCCCTTCAGAAGAAGTAGCGTCCAGATTATGGCTACTTTCTCTGTTGTACTTGCACTTCTTGTAATTCGAATCTAGAATCCAAATCCATCCTCTTCCTCAGAGGACTCGTCACGAGAGTGGTCTTCATCCTAGAAGAGATGAAGAGGCTTTGCAAGGGGAGAAGTAGAGGCCTCATCTACTCTGGTAGCATGTTAAACTTAAACTATCTACTTAACAACAACAGCAGGCTACTTGAGAATACTAGTAGGATGTTAAAAAACTGTCTTACTTTACTAGTACTTCTATGCTAAACTTAATAAGAGTAGATGGGTGGAGATAATCTGATGGCCGACGAGCTCTTCTAACAAGAGCGACGTAGAAGCAGAGCTGCGTGCTGGTGTTTTCTCAGCCTCTCCAGATATGCTGCTGGTGCATTACGGAAGCGCAAACACAGGAGAAGCAGTTGCCTTTGCTTCTGCAGGACAGGTCGCGCATCAACCTCCACAACATCAAGTAGTCGTGAATCAACCTCCAATAGAGGAACAAGGGTACGCCTCCTTTCCTCCAGGACACAGTGGCTCATCGCTCCCAACAACGATAGAATTAAGGGTTTACTTACTCCAAATTGCATCCCCTACAAACCATTCCTCACTCTACTTTTTCCAGTAGTCTTAGGGTGAGCAGGAGTGATGTTCATGTTCTGAAGAATGTACTAATGCTGCAGCCTCGCTCTAATAGAGGGGGCACCGAGTACAACTGTATCGCCAACCGAACTGCCGGGAGACGCGAGTCAGCAACTCAATCAACTAGGAATGGGAATGGCCGTGGTTGGAGGTCTACAACCTGGTGGTGGTGCTCATCATCAGCTTGGAGGTGCTCAGCATCTTCCTGTTGCTCAAAATCCTGGTCCGGCTTATCAGCGCGGAGGCACAACTACTTCTCAACAGCCGGGTACAACAACTTCATCTCATCAACACTCTTCGCCGAATCTGGCACAACTACATCTACGGCACTACGGCTCAGCTTTGTACTCTTCACAGCCGTCTGGTTCAGAGCCGTCTGGTTCACAGCCATCAGGTTTACATCCAGATGCCGCAGGCGACAAAGTACCACAGGACCTCCAAGGGGGACCTTCCGGACCCAGCGGACGGCCTACACAGTCGGGCCTCCCGTCTCTTAGACCGCGTGAACATGCTAGTGGTGCTCAGTCTTCAAGGCAGATGCCGAGTCATGCGAGTGGTGCCCAGTCCTCAAGGCAGATGCCGAGTCATGCGAGTGATGCCCAGTCCTCAAGGCAGATGCCGAGTCATGCGAGTGCTGCCCAGTCCTCAAGGCAGATGCCGAGTCATGCGACTGGTGCCCAGTCCTCAAGGCAGATGCCGAGTCATGCGAGTGGTGCTCAGTCCTCAAGGCAGATGCCGAGTCATGCGAGTGCTGCCCAGTCCTCAAGGCAGATGCCGAGTCATACGACTGGTGCCCAGTCCTCAAGGCAGATGCCGAGTCATGCGAGTGGTGCCCAGTCCTCAAGGCAGATGCCGAGTCATACGACTGGTGCCCAGTCCTCAAGGCAGATGCCGAGTCATGCGAGTGGTGCCCAGTCCTCAAGGCAGATGCCGACCAACACGCCACAAATGGTCCAGGGTCCAAAACCTGGGAAACCGGAAGAGCCAGATGATGAAGATGCCTTGCCAGAATGGTTTGATTAAGGCTCAACTTTCATCGGTCATTGAAGTTGGTCACTGACACCGAAGAGGGGACCCCTTGAGAGAACAGGGGAAAATGAAGGGAAAACAATAACAATTATGGGAGAGGCGTGGCGCCTGTTTCTTTCTGAATCAGTGACCACTGACTGCCGACCTTTAATTTAAGCTGGGCGCCAGAGTCCTAGCGTGCGAGAAGATGGATTTGGCGATGAAGATTCAAAAAGTGCTGTTATGTTGGCTATAGTACAAGTACTGGCTCATCCTCCATTTAACTTCTAATATGTAAGAAGTATTGTTCCGGTTCCGGAGGTTCGATACGTAGGATTAACAACCTAGCCTTACCTCCATGCAAGTACTGTGCTTTCTGCTTCAAAGCGTATAGATTTAGATAGAGCGGCTTATAAGTAAGTAGGCAGCGTCTCCAACTCCACATCTAATTCCCACAGTCGTAGGTGAGAGACGAGTACGAGGACTGACGGCGGACGTTCCGGCCTCTGCAATAGGGCTGCAAAAGCAAGCTGCCATGAATCTAGCACAGATTCGTGAATTGGAGAAGGAATTGAAAAAAGAAAAGCCGAAGCTTGCCGCGAAAGCCAGAGCGTTCCTACACCAAGAGGAGCGTCTGGCTAAAAGAGACCTAGAGCTTGGAGGTGAAGAGGAACTTAACTTAAGTCGCAGGTTCTACTACAGATGAAGATTATAGTAGACAGAAAATTTTACTGATCATAAGAGAAAACAGTTTGTATCATAAGGGATTACTGTACAGAAAAAGTTTACTGCATCATAAGGGAAGAAGATTACTGTACAGAAAAAGTTTGATCATAAGGAAAAACGAGTGGTACCTCGTCACGCAGCGAGTAGTTCCTCTTCACCTCCAAGTTCCATGGTGGGGGTGAAGAGGAACTTCTTAACTTAAGTCTCTAATTGTACAGATGAAGATTATTGTACAGAGAGAAAATTTAACTCATTGCCGTGGTGGTTCTGACTGCTGGTTGCATCAGGATATTAATCTTTTTTCTCCAGCATTTCCTCTACTACGTCCTCTACACTCTAGTACCTCTAGTACAGCAGTTGCTAGATTCATCATCTCCTGAGACTAGGTGATCGACGTGGAAACAAGATGTTCTCGGAATACTTCTAGCTCTAATGACCAAGTTGCAAAGAGAATTGGGCTTGCCTTCGGAATCTGAAGTTGCTACGATGATCGGCATGGTGGCAGGAAAGGGAGACGGCCAGCAGCAGCAGCAACCCGGTTCTTCATCATCAAACAGATCGCAGCAGCAGCAGCAGCAGCGACGCGGAGACTCTTCATCATCAAACACATCTTCCTCTCTGCGTCAGCACGCTAGGCCTGCATCTTCGCAAGTTGGAGGTACTGCAACCAGAAGTGACGCGACATCAACACGAAAAGGTAGCAGTAAGGGTGCACGCCCGCGAAGCGCGAGTGGGCCTGTTGCTGGGAAAGGGTACTTTATCCATTTTTTTTCATCGACAGATCTACAACCAAGACCAACAACTTTCCACCAGTTCCACCAGAAACAACTGCAGAAAACTTTCCTGGAAGCTCCATAAGATCCACTACCCCTACCACTACGAAAAAAAAGTATTCATATTGTTACTAGGTCTGCGGCGTCTCCTTCCGTGATTTTCATGATGAAGCCGAATACTAAGCTCGTATTTTGCGACGATCCGCGACAAGATGAACAAGGAAACAGCAACAGGGTACTCACCTACACTTACTTCGATGTATAATTTGTATCTCTTTAATGTCTTGCAGATTTCTTGATTGGATCAACTATGAAAGTCATCAACTAACAGAATCATCTTTCTTGTTCATTTGTTAAAGTTGGGGAAGATGGCTTTGTTGAAGTTGAATGAACTACGTAGGCTTTCTCTGAGAATGGGAACTTTGCCTTTTTTGATCAACAGGTTCCTCAAGCAGAAGAGCCCAGAGGTGTACGAGTTCCAAAGAGTGCGGGCCCAAGTCCGGTAATATATTCGGATCCTGTTAAATGCTTATTTCATCAATCCTCATAGTGTGAAAGTGAATATCCCTGCTGCACATCCAGACACTACTTGTAAGATGAGTGTTGATGACAACTCAGAAATAGAATACACAGATTGATAGGAACACACGTCCCTCCTCGCGTTCGTTCTCGTATTCGTGGTTTTCTCCAACAACTTCCAACATTTTGATATTTGCGAAACGAGGACGAACATGACATGTACTAGACTTAAGCGCCCCGTAGCACTCCTCCCACTGGAATCCTCCACCCTCTGCACGCACTTCCCCCGCCATGGCGTGCCTCCGCTTTCCCGGCCCCTTCCCACGCGGCAACCGTCTGGCGGACTTGATCGGTGGAACAGGGTTCGGGCTTTTGGCGGCGTGCGGCCATTGCGGAGGCATGCCGCGGAATCGTACTAGCCCGGGAGTTTCCGAGCCTCTGGCTAGGTTTGGCCATCTTTGCGTGGGTGGCGTGAGATGAACCGGGGATCATCGTGGGACGAACCGGGGAGCATCGTGGGATGAACCCGCCGGGGGTTCGTGGGACGAAACGGGGAGCATCGGGGGACGGACCGGGGACCATCGTGGGACGAACCGGGGGTCATCATCGTGGGACGAACCCGCCGGGGGTTCGTGGGACGAGCCCGCCGGGGGTTCGTCGGCGGAGCCCGCCGGGGGTTCGTGGGACGAGCCCGCCGGAAGGCTCGTGGGACGCGCCGGAAGGCTCGCGGGTCGGGGGATGAGCCGGGGGTGGGATCGTGGGTTGGGTTTGTTTGCTCGTTGCTTCGTTTGTTGATAAAAAAAGAGAGCGGAAAAATTTTTTACGGAGGCCGCGCGTTTTTGGTTCGGGTCTGGGGGGTTGAGAGTTTGGAGGGGACGTTGTTGCTTCTCTTTTTGCTCTTGATGTTATATCTGGACAAGGTTTCTCCGGAATTTGTGCGAGCCGCGTGGTCCAGAGTTCGCGCTTCATCTGGCCTTATTACACCCGGAGCGTCGATTGCGCGAGGTGCCGCGCCTGTGCGTCCTGCATCCACAGACGGTCTTGGATCCGCAAATCTTCAACGCCAGAAAAATGACAATCTTTCTTCAGCTGCTCATAATCTTGCAACAAACAAAAATACTTCTTCTTCTGGTAATTCTCGTGCCTCTTCTAGGAAGGACAATCTTGGCGTACCACATGGCGTGCCACCTGTGCCTCCTCAGCAGGAAACAAGCTCGCCCCAGCATGGCGCGCCACAGCCACTCCCTCTTCAGCAGCAAAGGCAGTCCCGACGTGACGTGCCACGAGTGCCTCCTCAGCAAGAAAGGCAGGCACATGCTAGCGTGCCACTTCCTCCTCAGGATGTTCAAAGGCAGCAGTCGCATGGAGGCGTGCCACTTCCTCCTCAGCAAGAAAGGCAGTCGCGGGCAGCCGCTCAACAAAGTGGCACAATTCGAACAGATGCTGTGAATGGCATTCGCAACTTGGGACTGTTCGACGCCAATGGCCGAGAAGTGTTCGAAGACGAGCGCACAGGAGAGTTGTTCGCGCTAACAAAACCAGGTGAGCACAAGGGAGGTGAGTCGGGACGAAGGCGTGTGCCGGTCGTGCCAGCACCAGCTCCTGAAGGTAGTAGAAGCAGGAGCAGTTCCACCGAGGCGTCCTCCGCACCCGCGACCGGTCTCGTCATACTCTTCAAATCAACAGGACAGAGGATCAGCTACGTACAGGAGACCGTGAGGCCCTCATCAAGGCCTACTTCACCAAGTCTCGATGATTTCCAGCGTCGCTATACTAGCTTTGGGAGCAAGACTCCTTCACCATTATCACTTCTGCAGAAGAATCTCGGCAGAGGCGTCAATAAAAGAGCAGAGAGCAACCTGGCTCCTCTAGGAGGAGTTCAACAACGACCCGGGTCCGCCATGGAACAGAAAGTTCAGCAGCAATCATCTGCGAATCGATCATCTGCTTTCTCTAGTAGTGTGACTAGAACTAGCGGCCAAACTACTGGGAACATCGCCGATCCGAGTCCGAAACGTCGCAAGACGCCCTTTGGCGCCGTAGATATGCCTCATCCCTCAGTCGGCGCCGAAGAGCACTCGGTGTCTCCCGACGGCAAAAAAGGTAAGGAGAACAATTCATCTGGTAAAGGTAGCGGCTCATTAGCTAAAGGCAGCGCATCAGCGTCGTCTAGTGGTCTTAACGCGGAACTTCTACATCATGATCGAGCAGCCGTCAACGACACTTCTGAAGAAACACGAACAAGTGAGATGAATCGCAGCACTAGTAATAAAGGTAGTTCTTCAGGCAAGGCGAAAGGTCGTGACGAAGATACAGAGTCCACTTCTTTCGGAGGAGGTAACAAGGGGAAAGGTGGCGGTGGTGGTGATGCTGCTGCTGCTGCTAGTAGCAAGGGGATGGGTGCTGGTACTAGTGGTGGTGTTGGTGCTGCTGCTAGTAGCAAGGGGATGGGTGCTGGTACTAGTGTTGGTGTTGGTGCTGCTTCTAGTGACGAAGCGGGTGCAGCAGATCCTGCTATGGAGGAGGATGGCTTCGCCGATTATGGTCATCTTACTGGAGTAGACGACCATGACTACACACTGGGAGATGATGAGGACGACTACGATTTTGACATGACTGGCAACGTTGGCACCAGCACCACAGGAAAGAATAAAGGAAAAGGGTCATCCTCATCTTCGTCTTCTTGGGAAAACAAGGGTTCTGGCAAGAAGAACAAAAGTAGCAAGGAGGGCTCCTCTTCATCTCTGCCTGGTCACGACAAGAATTCGCACTACAAAGGACTCGGACCACTGCGCAGCGACAACAACAACAGTCACACGCTCAATTCCTCTTTTCTGTCTTCTAGTAGCGGACTTTCCAACGCTAGACCCAGGTTTGGGTGGGATGTAGATGCTGCTAGCGCGCAGCGCCTCGCATCGAGAGAATCGACGAAGACTCCCGCGCAACTGCGGCATGCCAATTTCTCGACATCGGCGACCTCGGGAGAACGGAGGGGTGACCGCGCCAGGGTGCGACCTCTGGACCATTCGCGTAGAGTTAAGGCTCTCACTAATTTCTCATCTTCGACTTCCTCCTTGTTGAAGACTTGTATAGGGGAGTACTGGCTTTCAGCTTGGCCTCATTATTCTCAAGGGTGCAGCTAATTAAAGACGAATTACATCGTGGGAAAGCTCTAATAGCGGTGCGCGAATCCTTCCGCAAGCTGGTGAGGCGCAGACCACGACTTTGATGGACGATTCCTTGATGGGCGGTTATTACGATCCACCAGGGACCCCAAGTGGCGACTTCAGTTAAGGCTCCATATGATTTATTTTCATACCTTAGAAGTGTGTGCGTTTTGATTAGGACTGACAGTAGCAGGGGTGATTTCTTTAGCATTAGACTTCGATCTAGATTTCCAACATTATATTTTCATACCTTTTTTACTTTTGTTCCATATGAATGATTAAGTAGTACCTCTCAACTACCACTACCTTCTCGTCTCTTATATCTATGTCTCAACCTCCTTCTCGTCTCTTAGGTCCAAAAAAGGAAGTGGAATATGCAGTTAGCTCCTCAAGGTGTTCAACAAGATGAACGTGAAAATCAATCATGCTTTACCCTTCTCGTCTTTGGCTAAAAATGTTATTTTCATACCTCATCTTTCTTTGTTTCCTTGTTTTTAGGGTAACTCCATCCGGGAAAGAAATAACGGTAGCGGACTGAAGAGAACAAGAAGTGAACTCCTTATGTTTTGATCTCTTGCTCTAATTCAGCTTTCTTGGCGGAGGAGCTTCGCCAGAGCGTCCGGTGTTGCACGACGATCCTCTGCGTGAAATAGATGCTTCCAGTCCCCAACGACCTCTGCGTGGGGACGCCAGTTTGCTTGGGGGTAGCGCGGCTCCTAGTCCCGATACAAATGTCCTCCACCGCGTTCGAGGACGAGCGAAGGGAAAACGAAGGCAGCGCAGCGAGTCGGAGCTTGTCAAGGCACGGAGTCGCGGGATCCCAAGGAAGTTGTGGGGTGCACGCCAGGAGCACGCGCAGCCAGCACTTGTCTACCTGCCAGACACCGGCAAGGCCTCGCCAGGCGTGGAACAAAGACAGCAACTTCACGGCGACTTTTTCCACACGGATGAAGATCCTTTTGGCGACAGAGGACAATTAAGGCAATCAATTTACTTCTATTTTTATTTCAAAATGGTCTGCAGATGTAGAATGTTCTCGATACAACAAGAGATGAAGATTATTAATTGATCATCATACATCTGGCGGGTCACAACTTTTTCTGTGTATTTCAAGTATATCGACGGTGTCCTCTGTAGTACGTTTACGAGTATGTAATTTTTCTCTGTTTTCTTGTCCGAGAAGTTGTACTTCTTCTGGAGGTTCTGAGAATTGCTCAACCGCAAACTTTTGTTTATTCGAGCACCGGTCTAAGACAAGGAGGCGACGGACATGAGCAAAGCGATCGCTCCCGGAGCTTCACAACTACTCCCGGACGCACGACGCTGCCGCTTATGGACAGATCCCGAACACCAAACAGACCAGGATCCTCCAGCTCCTCGTCAGCTGCTGGCGCCACTTCGTCAACCTCTACTACGACAACTACTACTGGCAAGCACATTATTGATAAAAGGAATACTTCAGGAACAAACGCTTCGGCAGCTACCTCTACTGCGATGAATCAGGCGACCATGTTGAAGAGTGCTAGTAGTACAACTCCCTCTGCGATGAACGCGAAGTCCGCGTCCGGCGCAAAGCCAAAGGCCGCAAACAAAGCTTCGTCATCGAAAAAGTCCTCTTCGACAAAGAGCAACCCTTTTGCAAGTCCTCCACCAAGTCATCAGAAACAGTCGAGTTCCTCAGCAGCAGGGGCAACAGGAGCATCTTCTTCTACTACAGGAGCATCTTCTTCTTCTATAGGAGCATCTTCTTCTCTTACAGGAGCATCTTCTTCTTCTATAGGAGCATCTTCTTCTTCTATAGGAGCATCTTCTTCTCTTACAGGAGCATCTTCTTCTTCTATAGGAGCATCATCTTAAGGGTTCCCACATTACATCCCTCACTAGCATCCCTGGCTCTTTTTCCAGTAGGAAATAAGTCAGGGATGTTCTGAGGAATGTAATTCCTTAACCTCTAATCATCGTCTTCTTCTTTTGGCACCAGTACTGCAACTGCTCTTGCATCAGGAGGTGCAGGCCAAACTAGTAGAGGTAATGGAAGTGGAAGTGCTCCTGCAGGACGTCGAGGTGCGGTCGCAACTTCTAGTAGAACGACGACCACGACCTCTGCTGAGAAGAATCAGGACAAGGATCATACTCATAGGAAGGAACAAGAAAAGGCGTCAAAGAAGAAGAGTTCTAGTCGGAAGAAGTCCTCTGGTGAGATTGACATGGGGAACATCGACGTCGGGAATTTCGATTTGAGCTTAAGGCCACCACTGACGCATATCCTTAGCACCATGATCTTTGTTTTTTTCTTCTTTATGGGGAAAAAGAAGCCTGATACAAGGACTTCTCTATAGACAGTCAAAAACTGTATTGTTCTCAAAAAATACTATGATGTATTGTTCTCAAAGCAAGAGGAAGATGCGACGCGGTAGCTCTAATGAGAGCCGCTATCACGGTCGGCAAACCTTCGCCATCGGCTAAGTTGCCTCCGCATTTGCAAAAGTTTCTGATCCAGAAGGGGGAGGACTACGTGCCGGAAGGGAGCAGCGACAGCAACTTAAGGCTCAAATTGATTTTCATTCATTTCCAAGGATGAGGATCGATCCTTTTATTTGTACGAAACACCTGTGCCTGTTGTGTTCCTCCTTGGAAATCAAACTGAAGAAACAAATGGACTGAATTAGATATGTTATTGTGACTTAGAATTCGTTATTATTTGCCTTCTAAGCAGCGCTGCGACACCAGCTTCTTCCATAGAGGCCAGTCCATTAGGTGACGGACATGGAGACGCGTCGCCGTTGTCGTCGCGATCTCTCCAAAGAGCCATGGATGGACGACATCGAATAACCTTCATTTAAGAAGATTACTTTTAGCTTTAAATGTCTCGTCGACAGATGAAGATGAAGAACAGTTCCATTGTTCGCTTAAATTTCCAGCACTTAATATGTTTTCTCCTCTTAAAAGCTTCTTTTCATGATTTAAAAGCAAACTTCTTAGAGAGATCTTTCAAATAATAGAAGCACAAGCAAACTTAGAGAGATCTTGTTTCAAATAATACAAATTTGAAGATATTATTATCCAAGTAGAAACTTCTTTATCTTCTTTTCAACATTGAAATTTGAAGAGGATATCTTCTTCTTTCTGTTCTAATAGATTAAACACGGTCGCATTCAGGTCGACGGGTCTCATTTACGTCGTCCGTCTCCCATTCCGGAAGGGAGTCACGAGGATTCGACATCGCGAAGCGCTAGGTCCTCCGCGTCGTCCTCTTTAACAGGGAGCAAGAAGGAGAAACAGAAGGAGCCTGTCTTCAGCCGTAGTTCTATTAAGGGTTTCATCTTTATTCCAAATTGCTATTCTTGCATCGTTCAGTCACTACCATCCTTCACTAGTACCATCCTTCACTAGTACCATCCTTCACTAGTACCATCCTTCACTACCATCCTTCACTACCATGCTTCTAATTCTAGCAGTGAAGTGCCAAAGATGGAGAATCTTGGGACCAGTGCGGAGGAAGAAGAAATCGAAGACGTCGAAGAAATGGCGGGTGCGAAACGCAGCAAGACAACAGCTGCTTCTTCTTCCAGTACTAGTGCAGCTGCGGTTCTTAGTAAGAACGTTACGAAAGGTCGTAGGGTTGTGTGTGGGAAAGGTTGGAAGGAATGTCAAGAATGCATCTCCATAGAAGTCATGATCCTAGGGACGATGGTATTCTCATACCTGAGTACAACAACTACAGATGTTTGATGTATCATGTTCATAGCTACAGCCGCTCCTCTGCCTCAGGATGTATAATTAGGATTAATATTTTCATATCTACACGCACACGTTTTCTACCTCTAAAAATATTAGCAAGAGCGGCAGTAGAACAACGAGCGTAAAAGCTGGACACGCGAAAAATTTGGCTACAAGTAAGTTAAGGGCAGTTTTTCACTATCGGATATGTCCCATGTGGACTAAGATATCCACCCCTCGCCCTACTCAATTGGTGTTGAAAAAAACCAAATGCTGAGTGGCGCTCCCCCTGATTTAAAGGAAAAAACATAAGGGGGGCACAGGGCACCCCGCTCGAGGACTCGGTATAGTGATGAAAGACTGCCGCTAAGCCAGGCACAGATTCGCGGAAGTGATGGCCGTTTCGTCTCTACCAAAATGGTGAAGAAGGCGCCCGTAAAAAAGGCTGCAATAAAAGCACCAAGCCCAAAAATGAAGACGGTCTCCATGAAGCAGCAGCTCAGCAAGAACGGGAAACAGACAACTTCTCCGAAGAAAACTGCAACTACTTCCGCCAACACGAAAACATCTGCAGGAGCTACAACATCCTGCTCAAAAGTCAAAACTTCTAGTACTGCCTTTACTACTCCTCCTGCTATGAAGAACGTGAACGCTATGATGAAGAGCTCGAACTCCACTAGTACAATTGCAACCGTAGCCAGTTCTAGTTCAGGAAACTACGCTAACAACGTAGCAGCTGCTGCGATGAAGACTGTGAGTACTAGAACTGTTGCCACAGCTGAAGCTGGGGACGGCAGGAAAGTTAAGGCTACTTCTTCTACACTATTCCTCTATAATTAATTACACTATTACATTTGCGGTTGATAGAATAAATCCTACACATGCCTCCAACACCTACTCATACTATTGCAGCTATCTGGAGGTGTGGACTGGCTATCGCTATGCTGAGTGGACAATTGCGGTTAATAGAATTATCTTAATGATCTCATTAAATCCTACACGTACTATTGCTGCAACCATCTGGAGAATCTCACACATACTCATACCAAGATAAGAGGGCTAGGACTATATCTAATTCCGGGAAGTTGAGAGGGATTTCTATCTAAAGAGGAAGAACAAGAAGGGAATCTTTCGACTCAACCAAAGTATCTTCTAACTACATTGGTTTTCCTTTCTTTTTTCTAGTTTTTTGCTTTTTTCTCTTTCTAGTTGATAGGTTTAGGTCGTGCTCCACCACAATTATACAGTCAATCATCTACATCTGGGTCGTTACAGCCTTATAATATACGCATACTTTAGTGAATAGTACCCACGACTGTGACTGACACCGCGTCTAAGACTGCTGCTAGCAAGGCGTCCTCAAGCAAGGCAACGGTGAGCGCTCGAGGGGTACAATTTATCTCCATGAAATCCAGCGGGTCAGATGAAGACGAGAGTACCTTTAAAGGGCCATCATTAAGGCTACCACATAATAGAGTAGTTTATAGCACGCATGGTGCATGGAGTGCATGGAGCGCAGAGCTTTAAGGGACGCAAGAAGCTCCCCCTTTAGCTCCATGCTACTCCATGGGATCCATGCACTCCATGCCATGCGAGCTGTGCAACCTTATAAATTGCTCTGACATAAAAAGAGTGAAATTGAGTTGGGAAGGTCTCAGCTGTTACATTTTCCCGCTTTTTCAGTCCTATAAAATCTAAATAAAATGGGCAAAGGGATGGGGCTTTTTTCTTTTTTCACCACTTTGCGCGGAGTCTTCTCCGGGCAGATGTGTGTGGCGATTTCTCCAAGAATTGAGACCGATGGGGCCTGTTTGGTCGGTCGGTGAAGCTGGGCACCGCTCTCTCCGCTTTCTGGTTGAGCAGATTCCGGCGGCACCGTTACCGGCTGGCGCTTTTTTGGTGGTGGTGCCTGGTGTTGATTGTCTGCAGGCATTTGGCCAAGGGTTTTGCTGTGCGTCCCATGCATTGGCCACACCGTTTTGCTGAAGTTGCCACAGAGCTGGGTGGGCTTGCCTGGTGTCTGTCGATTTTTCTCTGCCACCCAGGGCCCCAATGTGGCAGGGCTTACGATTGTCGTCGACACCATTTTGACTCCCGACCCCTCTGCGCTCAAGCCTCGGCTACCCATATCCTGGCCCCGTGTCGGCCTGCCTGCCGCCGCCAAGGGGTTCCGGAAAGGTCCGGGCAACTGCTGGTCTAGCCCTCGAGAACGCTCACCACCTGGCGACCCTTTTCTTGACGCTTGGTCTGGGCGTCGTGTGGTCGTGTTTGGCGTCCGCTGAGTGTCTTTTTACGGGTCTGTGGCGTCAGCTTTTGGAGCGTCTCTTCGAGCTGAAAGGGTTCCACAAGTTGGCAAAAAAGACCCCCAACGGAACCAACCTCGGAACCCTTTTGCCGGACCTCCGGCCTGGATGATGGGCTTTTGTGTGGATACTAGTGGGGCGAAGGGCTCAAAAGGGGCACTATAAAATGCCCTATAAAATGGTCTATAAAATCGACGTCTGATCCACGTGCGAGGTGTTTCCTGCACTGGGGTCGGCCTCTTTTCGGGAAAAAAAATCGATTTTATAGAGACCCGAATTGGGGGTCTGGGCCAGCCGATCTGGCGCACAAAGTGCCGCCAGCTGGCCCCACTAGTATGCAACAAAGCAATGGCCCCCAGAATCCACCACAGCGGGGGGGGAAAGATTTTCCGCAGAAAAATAAACGGAAAAAGTTGCCAAAAAGTTGGGATCATCTGGAAGGGCGCGGACTAGAACCAGAAAACCCGTGGACACCAGCCAGCCAAGCCCCCCACCCACCGCCCCATCGTCACAGGCCATGCCCGAAACCCACAACCAAATCGGGCAAAGCGCCACAGCGTCGCGTGGCCCAATGTTCTGCCTCGAAGGACCCACCGGGCACGCGCTTGCGCTCACATCCTACAGCACACGCTTTGGGGTGTTTGGTCCACAGGCTGGGCAGACCCGGACGCAGACACATGACACACCAGGCAACCAACCGGAAGAACGAAGCACCCCTTTCGCCATCGGGTTAAACCGCAACCAGATGACCTCTGAAGTGAGGCGCCAGGCCATCTCTGGGCCACACTGTGGCTGACCTGTTGTCCTCCCCACCCGTCAAGCCAGCAGACCACTAAACTGACGGAAAATGGGACTACCAAAACCCCTCGAAACACGCTCGAGGGGTGCCAGCTCAGTGGGGTCCAAACATAGGGGGAAAACCATGCACCTTCTGCCGGTCTTGGTTTAGCTTTTGTGGGTTGCCGAAATCCGGCCGCACCAGCTTCGGCACATCTGAAAAAAAACCACAACCCCCACCCTTAGAAAAAGCAAAAAAGTGAGACACTGCGGGACATTTTATTCCGAAAATATAGAGGAACACAATCGGGAAAAAGGTAACAGCTAACACCTTTCCAAAATTGAGGCTATTTTTTAGACTTTAGATCGATGCATATCCCCAAGAACCTAGGTACTAAGTTAGACTTTAGATGCACATCCTAGTACCTAGGTTCTTGGGGAAATTTTAGGCATTCAGCTTTTGCCCTTCAGATTCCCTCTTCCTGCTAGTACTTATGTATTTCTATTTGATTGATGTTCTCAAGAACACTCTTCATTGATTTCTTTTTCTATGACCAGACCATGACCAGGGCCATTTTTTTCTAGTAGACATGAGATACTGAGAATTCACCAGGACTGAATCTTTTACTACTTCGCAGGGTCTACTTTCATTCTTTCTCGTTAATACATTATATGCTATGACGAATCTCTTGGATAGGTGTGCATTGTAGTCAGATTCGAGCACTGAATTCTCTGCTTCAAAGCTGCTTATAAGCTATTACATAGAGGGCTCTACTTGTCGTTGTCGTTGCATTTTTCCTACCTATAAAGGTGAGAGTGAGACTCTAGAAATGCTGTGCTAACAGTGAAACAAAAACTAACACTCTAACGTCACCTCCCAGTGCAGTTAAGAGAGCGTTGGGTTTGGGAAAGAAAAAGTAAGCAGTGGCGTAAACGATCGGGAAGTTGTACACAAAAAGAACATTCGCCCGAATGGCTTGTATTTCAAAGATCCCATGGATGTCAAGATGAATACTGCAGAAGAACTAACTATTAAGGCTTTATTATCTACTAGTACTAGACTGAGCAGTGGTGCTGGAGGTAGTTTGACTTAGATTGAATGATGCGTTAGCAGGGAGCTGGTTCAGTGGTTTAGGGCTGCTTGTCCTGTTCACTGGTCATAAAGCATGTCCTCAAAAATAAGTAGATCTTCAATTATAGATATAGAGTAAACTCGATCAATTAGATAACAATGAGAGGACTAAACTGATTATGTAGCGACCGATTAGATACCCCACCAGTTGTCAGCATCATCCAGTGGAGTAGTAATTATGTAAGTAGTGCTGCGCTTGAGCAAATCAAGATGCCTCTAAAGAAGCTAGTACACGGACAAGCGAAGAATCGTAAGCATGATAAACAAAACAATGCACAACATCGTTTGACCGAACGGAAGCCAGGGGAGCAGTGTCGCTTCAGTATACCCAAGAGTATGGCCGGTCGTCTAGTGCACCCATATGCTCGAGGAAGTCATATCGACGATGGATTCAATGACGATGTAGCCTGCATACAAGATCACAGCAGTGGTTGCAATGAAAGTTTGTTTTCCTAGACCATTGGGCATCAGTATCTGTATCATCATCATCGTCATCATCGTCATCGTCATCCTCGTCAGCATGAGCATCAGCAAGCTTTTCTAACTCTGATAGCAGCAAGAGGGAAGCGACTCGCATTCGTGTAGTGCGTCAGCACTCATAAAGCGGATGTGTGTGGACTCTGTTGAGATGGAAGAAACAAGTAAAGAGAATTAAGGCTGATGCAGATACTTCATCTTTGAGCACCAGGGGTTCAAGGTCATCGTCATCCCCGGTCAAAATCATCCCTGAAGCAGGATATTCATCAACTACCCAGTTGAACTTGAATATGTTGCCAAAGGACATAGAGAAAGACATCAACTTCAACCAAGTTGAATCCATGTGATGATGGCAAGGGACAGCTCAAAGATGAATTCTGCCTACACCTACGTCTAAGACCCGAAGTTGCTTTTGGACTCGTGAACCTTTTGACTACAGCTTCCTGCCCAACATCACATGTAAAACAAGATGAAACACTTAATACTCAAATATGATTTAACACTTAATACGATTACAAGAAACACTTAAAAATACAAGAAACTGTTTAAAAACACCCAATACTACAAGAAACACTATATACTATGTTGAAAACGATATAAGTGTCGATAACAAGAAGACAAAAAGAAAAAGTAGCAACGTAATAAAGCATTTAACTGACCAAGTTTACAACTGACCAAGTTTACAACTTCAACATTAGAACAATAAAAAGAACTCAACGAAAAATTAGAATCGACTGACATCATCAGCATAAGCGAGGCACTTACTAACAAGTAGCTCCTGTAAAATAGTAGGCTGTCGTCAGTATTTAAAGGCTAAAAACGAAGTGAGATCACAATCATCGCTTATTGTTTTCTTGTAGTCGCATCATAGAACATGCACTCTCTGACGCAATATATCACATTTTTTTGGAGCAGCGTCTCATGGGTGCCGCCTCTCATGTGACCTTCTTGCTGCCTTTGTTTGCAACATATCCTTCCGAACTGTAATGCGAAGGTTAATGCAGTTTAAAATGCTAACTCAAGGATGTAAACGCGCAAAAAATAAACTGTGAAAATGTAACATAGTCACGAGCTTTTAATGGATGCATTATTTTTTCGGGAAACTACTTCTCTAGCATAATTTTGGGATTTTTATATAAACGCCAACGTACAGTGATTGACTCACCTACTTGTTTATAATTAATCATGACAAGTATGTCTACATTATACATGGATGGTTTCGGTATTTGGTAAGCTGACATTGATCGCAAGGATTCTCTTCCTGTTTTTCCTCGTTCCCTCTTATAGATGCGCGGCAGTCGCATCTGCGGGGAGGTCGGTGCCCTGCGGAGGCAACCTGATCGGTTGATTGATTAATCAGGCTACCGGATACCAGAACAATACAATACAATATAGTCACGACCATCTTCTTGTCTATTCCTGGCAGTCCATGCAACACCTCACAGCTCGAGTGCGAGTCTACTCGGTATAATACTTCGATCCCTGTCCGGCGTCTTCCCCACCGGCGTCTTCCGCATATCCAACATATTTCATATGGGTAAAGTAGGCATGCATATCATCGCCACAGGATCAAAGACTACGAGGACTGCTTTGTCAGGAATCACGGGCCTTGGAGAGTGCGACTGGCAACTCCTCTTTTTCAGTGGTCTAAACTTTTTGTGTTCTCACTCGTGTGACCGTGGAAAGTTTTTTTTTCGTCTCCCTCTAGGAGTGCTCACTATGTCAATCTATACTGTTGAGAAGCGGAAAAGTCGGCCAGACATGATATGTGAAGCCTTTGGAGGGATGCATCTGTGAGTCTGTATCCTCGATTATGCTTAGAAAAAGAAAAACTGAAGGAAAAGACCAGAAATAAAGTCTACGCGAGTCTCGATTAAGGAGTAGAATTGTTCCTAAAGCTCTACTATTTCACAATGGGGAGCAAGGGCACGTGCAAATCAAGGACCCGCCACGAACGTGTGACTATGCGTGTAACCATCCAAGACATGGTATGAAGCTGAGTTTGCTCTTCTAATTTTCTTTCAACATCTCCACCACCAAGACAAAGTTGCAGGATGACAGCGGCGGGCTACGCGCAGGAGTCGCAGGGTGCAGCACTATCTCAATGGCCAACGTCACTACAGACTTCGTTGCTCCGATCTCCGGTGGGCTACGCCCCTACCGAGACAGGAGGCTTTTACCCCTTTGCGCATCACATAAATGGCAATGTTCACGGGAACAATGGCAAGGTTATCAAAAGAGCAAACTTCAACAACTATCGTTGGAGGACTACAAGAGCCACGCTTAATTCTCCGTTCTTAAGGCTAGTGTCGTAGTCACTAGACATTATTTCGTTTCCGTGTCCCGGACACGCACACGGTGTAGTCCGGAGAGTATCCGCTCGAGTCGATCGATTCCTTTTTACTTCATCGAGGAAACTGTTCCTAAACCTAAAGTGGAATGAACAAGCACAGCACTGCGGATAACGAAAACGATTCTTGACTACCACTACGACTACATTTATCTTTTTAATAATTTTGGGAGCAGGACAAGGAGAGAGGAACGCTCTCGCTCAGCCTCAGAGTAACAGTAAGAAAAACCAACGTTCACTGGGTGCCTTCAAGACGGGAATGTCGATTTTGAAAGCGAACATCGGCTCAGGACTCCTTTTTCTGCCATCTTGTGCCGCACATGGAGGCACAATCGTTTTTACGTGCGGCGTCATTGTCGTAGGTTAAGGCTAAATATCATTGAATGAATGTTGAACATGATGAACGGGTATCTTGTTTAGGAAAAGAGAGTCTCCTCGAAGGCCGCTAAAAAGCACATCCTCCGCGATCGAATATTTTTGCAAAACCTTGTCTTTGTCCCTGTGGCCTCTTTCTTTCACTAAAAAGTAACATATGTATTTTATGAGTAAACATGATTGTGCTTGAACTGAATTGTTCCGGTAATTGGTATAGCCTGAATTTGATCATAAGGGAAAACAAGAAGAGAACCCTTAGGATCAAACTCAGGTTACCAAATACCAGAACCATACATGAACTACGGCTATTCCTTCCTATCGAAAGACGACTAAACCCTAAACCTTCTGAACCTCGCATTTTCTATCAATCTAAAAAGTAGCTCTCTGCGTTCTGTCAGCCATGCGGCTGATTCGAGTTCGTGACTTGGTCCTAGAATCCGAAGGTGTGCTCCTAAGTTACGGAGAACTAGTGGAGTTTGTTATGTCCATGGAGAAAGTTGTAGCCGAAGCGGGAGAAGCGGGAAGAACATCAGGAGATGAAGATGTTCTTGTCGAGCAGCCAGAAGGTGAAGAGTGTCGTGAAAACAGCCAGAACAAGGTTGGAAAAGAAGCGGTATCCTCGGTTGGACAACAAGAGAAGCAAGCCGCCTGCTCTTCGTCTGCCTCACCCGCTGCTCCTGTTACAACACCAGAAAATATTCATAAAACTACTACGAGCAGAGGGTCTGCCTCACCCGCTGCTCCTGTTACAACACCAGAAAATGAAAATAATCATAAAACTACTACGAGCAGAGGTTCAGGTTTCTGGATTTTGGCCGTGAATGGGTCGATCATCCTGTTGCAGTGTGGCTTCTGTATCGCTTATTTCATCTCAATATCGCAGATGGTTGACATTCCTATCTTTGGGGTAGCAATACTGGTGGCTCCCTTGACCTGGATACGACACGTCGCGCAACTGGCATTGACTAACATTGTAGCGGATCTTCTTTTGCTGTTTGCTACCGTAGTCGTGTTATGGTCAACATTTAGTGTCCATCATGCTCGGCATCTTGATCCCCTTTTCCCTTGTATTCTCGTGAAATACAAGGTAAGTAATGCTACAAGGTAAGTATTATTCCTAGGAAATGCTACAAGGGTAGTAAAGGGGTCAAGATGAGGGGGCCGAGATGCAATCTAGAAGCAGACTCTAATTGTTTTCGCAATCGAATGGCATGAGACTACAACGTTTACAGATCCAGCAGCTCCAGCATCGTCTATGATCAGAGAAGCAGCAGCTCCATCCTCGAGTAGAACTTCTTCCTTTCTTACGAGAGCTACAACTTCTACAAGCTCGAGCACGACTTTTTCTACTAGCACAACAATGACCTCAACAGGAGGAGCTTTAGTCTGTCTCGGCACTGTGTGCCTAGTTTTTGAGGGTATCAGTAGTGTAATTCCGACAAGAGACGAAATGGCCAATCCGGAACGGTGGGGTGTGCTCTACTCTGGCTGTTTCGTATTCATCACGCTATTATTCATTGCCGCTGGATTGAGTGGGTTCTATGTTTACGGTGAAGAGACGAAACCAATCTTATGGACGAGAGGGCTACTCGTGGCGGTAGAGGTAATGCATTTTTTTGCACAGAATGATTTTTACACCATTTTTTCACAGAGGACGAAATAATTCATGATGTTCTTACTTCTGTGAGAGTACCTTTATTGGCGGACGCCTCTAAAGTTTATCCTGCTTAATTTTGGGAGTGGGAATGTGGCTGTGGAGATCGTGCGCGCTGGGTTTGCACTAGCTTTGTTTCTGACGTTTCCGTACCAGTTTTTGCCTGCGGTCAGGATTATGTATGCGACCGATTGAGAGCGATGGAGTGCGGGGAACGTCTTCTATCTTGTTCGATTGTTGTACTATTTTTCAGTCACTGAGTCGGTGGTCGCACGGGTGCGTATAAGTAGTTGTAAAAAGCATATTAAGCTTCCCTCTTCTCCAATAATCTCAAGAGGTACCACCATTGACATTATCGAGAGCTATTGTGTAAGCTTGTTTCAGTACTGCGAATATATTCTGGGACCTCCGCTCGTTCCAGACACGACTCAACACGTGATCGGTCATGCAAATAACGAACAAGTAGATGCAACATCAGAGAAGAGTGCGGGAGAAAGAGTCACGCTGCAACAAGAATTAGGAGCAGAGAACAGATGGGCGACGCCTCCTCGGCAGCAGCAAGGATCGACCAACAGCGAAGCCTCCAGTTTTCCGAGTACGCCTTTACACCGCAAATTGCTGCAGAGCGAGTGCTTGCAAGAGGACCTCAGGAGTACATACCTCCAGAGTAACAGCTCACTCATCGATAATTTCGAGGATGCTGGTGCAAGTGTTCTTGGGCCGCTAGGGATCGCTAGTGGTAGAACAGGACAAAATATCTTCAAGAATACAGGACACTTCTCGACTTTAGTAGGACCTCTCCAAGCGGTGAAAAAATGGATCCTAAGTAAAGGGGTGGAGAGGCAGTTTAGCTTTATCCGTTTAACACGTGAAGATTATTCTCCGCAGGAGTTTGACTGTATGGTTCTGGTATTTGGTAACCTGAATTCGATCACAAGGATTCCCTTCTTGTTTTCCTTATGATCGAAATCAGGTTACCAAATTATACCAGCACCATTCATTGACAGCTCGCCTTCTGACACCGGACGACTCGACGAGGACCCGAGCAGGAAGAGCAGTGCGCGGCAGCCTTCACTCCTATCCGAAGGCAATCTCCAGCGGTTCGATTTACGCACACAGCGAGAAAGAAAACGCGTCAATTCTTCAGCTGTGCTCCCTGTCGTATCATCTCCAACAGGAGGTACTAAAGGAGAACGACCATCAGCGAAGGAGAACGACCATGTGCCGGCTAGACCGAATCAAAAAATACACAACGGAACTGTAGGAGACATGCAGAAAGCGTCGTCCCCGACGCGAGAGCATGGGACGTCCTCTTATTCGTTGACGAAGCCACTTCTAGCTGTACCTCTACCTCCAGTCCCAAGTCGAGCACCAGGACCGTCTTTCCTGCGTTCACATAGTCCGGTTTCGTCGGTTCGCTTTTCTCTAGACCATATCGTTGAAGATGCTCCCTCTAGAACGGGCAATCGTCGTGAATTCACCATCGCAAGTAGTAACCTTCTTCGTGCGAAAGACGATGACATTGCTAGTACGACAGCATGGACAACTGCCAGTCAATTTCGGAAAAAACCTCTGAAGCACAAGATTCCCAAAGCCGCACTCCGCACCTTTCTGGTCTTTTTTCTGGCGTTTGTAGCCACTGTTGGCGAGAACTACTTGGACAACATCAATTCCCTCATATTAAGGCTCCAGATGATCCATATTTTAGACATCTCTACTTTCCTGAATCCTGATTCATCAGATTCTTCTGATATTCTTCTGATTCAGATTCCTCTGATATTATTCTTCAAGGATGCAGGAGCTGAAACAAGCTTGATTAATTACGGAAAGGCCTTCTAAGGATAGGAAGCCTTTGCGGTGCTCCGCTGGTCTTTCTCTATCCTGCATTGGCGCATATGAATTACTGGAGGAACATTGCAGCCATCACTGAAAGAGTTCACTGCCTAGACTGGATGTTGATCACATTTGGGATCATCATTCTGATTGGCTCGACCGCCGTCAATTTGTGCGTTATTTTCGGCTGAAAAACTACTAAAATTTGAACTTTATAATGAAGCAGCTAACTGGGTACTATGGAATTAGTAGACTTCTACGTGAGAGTAAGTACTTGAAACCAAAACCCAACAATGACTTTAATATCTCTCCACTGATGTTATTGCCCGTTTGTTCTTTGCAGTACATGCCACAACATTTTTCCGTGGATTGCCACCTTGATCTTAATATTTGATGCTATTCAGAGCTTTACAAGTCGTTTTTTTGCTTTTGGTTCATCTCCATCTTTCTGTGTCACAATAATTGAGTCGGAACGACGAGTCTAAAACTGAGAGGCATTTCTGTCACCAGGAGACTGAGAACTCCCTCGTGTGCGTGATTGTTTTCGCACAGAGTCATCTGTACAGTTGTGTTATGGCGGACAGGCTTCTGCGTTTTTGTTTTGCCCGTCGATCCTTGTGGGCCGTGGGTCGCTGCTGAGGTTGGGCAGCTCGTTCAGCGTATGGCGGTACGTAGGGGAGTGGCCTCCCTCGTGCTGGCCGCGGGTTTCGTTGTGCCGCCGGCCCCGCCCCGCTTTCGCGTGCTTCGCTTGTGCCGGCCGCTCATGATCTTAGTGTGTTGCGCTGGTCGTGCTTGATTCTAGCCGTACCGGCGGCGGCCCTGTTTGTCTGTGCTGGTGGCGATTTCTTTGGTTTTGGTGGTCGTAATTCTCTTGGGGCTCAGTGGCAGAAGACTTATTAGGCGTAGCTCAAGTAGGTGGCGCTCCGGTCTGCGGCAGCCAGCTTGCCACTCGCTGAGTGTTCTCAAAATAGCAACTCAAGCCACCTGAGCTGCCTCATAGAAGTTTTCATGTCGTAAATATGACATCACAAATCTTGTGACTGATGATGATGTTTCGTGGTCACTCAGCAAAAACGCCTCTCATGGTCGTCTTTGTCGCGGTAAAAATTGAGAGGGAGCAGCAACTCTGAGAAGCATGAATTCGGTCATCACGAGATTGAGAGCTCGTTTCTTTCATGGAAGCGTACAGCATCTGTCTCAGCGTACTTTCTTGTTTTGCGCGATCGGTTCAAGTTGTTCGCTTGTGATGTGTGCGCCATCTGTTCGAACAATAGCAGGGGTTCGTTTCTCGTGGCAATCATTGAGAGGAACGACCATAATAGCTACAACTACAACTACTCTGGTGGTCGGTTGATATGGGTCGTCGAGCGAGAGAAGTCTGGTTGAGACTTACTTCGATATCTGGTACCACTACCATGGCCACTACACATCTGTTCCAACTACATGCTGTACCCCTTCAACTTCATTCCTCACAAGCTCTTGAAGACTTTATCTTGAAGACTTTAGAACTGAAATCAGCTGAGCATATGAAAGTTTTGAGTATAATGAGAATAGCAAGCGAACGTCTTTGCCTCATGATTGAAGAGGAGCAAATGAGCGCTCTCAGTTAATAAGACTGCAACTACTAGTGGCACTGCATCATCACAACGACGGGGACTACAATTACATCAATGCCACGAGGTGAGTGCAACTCGTCAGATCCCTCCTCTGGCCAATACCTGTACAGCCGGTTACCAGATAAAGCGAGTTACTGACTGAAATACGAGAGTCTTGACTACATTCCTCTTCTTTCACAGTAACTCCCTTATTTTCCCTAGTTACTCGCTTATTTCAGTTTATCGAATAGATGAAATACCTGTACAGCCAGTTACTAGATGAAGATTTCAAGATAATTTGCTGTTGTCCGAAGAGCCGCGGCGGGTGAGACGAAGCCACTTGTTGCTCGCGAGCTCTTAGATCTCAGATAAGTTGCCTGAAGACGTGGAGCCGTGTGAGACGAAGCCGCTACAACTTGTTGTAGATGTAGACACAACTCTCGTGCAGCATCAGCAAGCTCTTCGAGGATCTAAGAGCAATGGCAGGCGATGACGACGGGTCGTGGAAAACCTCCAAGGCAGGTGGCGAAGACGCCGTCCACGATGAAGACACGAAGTTCTACGTATTGTACCTAGAAACCATCCGACTCTCCCAGCCGGAGGCGGAAGATCTGCGTGCCTGCGTCCATTGGTACATCGGTGAATCCGACTATTCTTAAGGGTAGGTTAAAGGTGCTTTTCTTACCGCTTTTTATGCCTCTCTCCCTTAGGATGAGAAAGGCATAACAAGCGGGGGAACCCGCGAGCACCAAAAACCTACCTCTAATATTCCAGCGTTCCCTTCGTCATTCCTGCACAATGCACAGAATATGAATTGAAGAATTGTGCTTTCGTTGTGCTTCCGGACTCGGCTTTAGCAAACGACTTGGACAGCAATTCACTGACGATATCTATCACGACCTGGGCTGGGGAACATCTTGGCGTTTTCTTCGGTCATTGCAAGGATGTGGGAACAAGTACTTTCTTGTCGTTTCTTTCTCACTACAAGAGACAGATAGGTATTCGGTTGCGTGTTATTTTGTGCACCGGATGTGGGACTAAAAAGATCACTTCATATAAAACTGTAGTAAACTCTTTTGGGCACCAACGCGATAAATTCCTAGACTTTCTTTGTTCGTAGGTACTCCGAGCACGACAACATGATTGCACCTTGAACTACAAATGAAACCAAAACTAACACACGACAGGTGAGACATTTGACCGACACGATCTTGATTTGTTGCATGAGGATGGCATTTTCGCCAAGGTTGAAATGCATGCCGCCTGTCAAACAAGATGGACTGAAGCGAAGGTATTTTGCTAAGTACGATCATTTTGATTTCTATTTGATTCAACTAAAATAATCCATATCGATATCCTTTTCCACCCCACTAATACCTCTAGTACTACATCACTAATGTAAGGTAAGTAGTCTCTAACTCTATAAGATTTATACTGCATGAAGATAGAATTAGAAGTAGAACATCAAGATACCCATAGTACAACCCGTACCCCTCACAAAGATTCTTTAGAAGATACCAGTAGTACCTCACATCAACAAATACAAATCTACTATTTCTCTACTAGTATAGATAGAATCGACAAGATATTAAATTTTCAGGTTGACCAAAAGGAAGCAGCCTTCGTTGATCCTGGTGCAGACGAGCAAGCAAAACATATATGGGATTTCATCGCCGATGGCACGGATAGTTGGCGTGGGAAAGCGACAGCTAACAAAGACGACAAGACCTCACCTGACTCGAAAGCGTCCGATACTGTGTCACCAGATGGAAAGGAGGTAAGATTGGATGAAATGGTGAAACTGTGGGCTTTGTGGTACTGTCAGCGTTGTCATGTGACGGGGGAAACGTAAGGGAGACACGGTCTATATTTTGAAGAGACGGAAGGTTTTCTTGATCTTCTTACTTTGATGTCATCACCCCAAGTGGTCACCCAAACCCTATTTTTAAGCACAATCGCCCTAAGCCGTAACCAACGAATCTTGATTACAACACAACTCTCTATGAAGCAACTGACAACCCCCTCTCAATACACTACTCTCTATCAATACGCAACTCTCGTCCACTTCTACTTTTACGCAACCCGCCTCTTCAGGCAGCTGTAGAGAAAGATGATGGAAAGGGCGTAGAGGGACTGACAAGTGAGGGAACCAGTTCTCCAGAATCGCAGAAATCATCGATGGAAGCTGGTAATTGTTAATTCATTTTGCGCTTGGTAATGCGAAACAGAATGAGTACACGTCTTTTTTACGTTTAGATGAATGCAGAAGCAAGGAGGTTTTGAGATTTCCTAGAAGGAAGCATAGCCGTGCTCATTAGGTAACTTCTCCTCAGGACTAAACTCTACAGCCCTTTCAACAAGCAGGTAAAGATGTTACACGCAAAGCTACGGAAACGACAAGGAAATCAACTGCGCGAAAGCGTAGCACCCGGGTGTCTCCGAAGAAATCGAAAGCAGGAGCAACACAGGAAGAGGCAGCAGGCCTTGATGAAAAGCAAAAGGAAGACGGAGGCAAGAACGAAAATGAGCTAAATGACCAGAACCAGGCTTCAAATGATGTAGATGCTGCAACTAGTGGAAAAAAGCTAGAAGGAGATGGAGGTGATGAAGCCGGCATACAGAAGGAGGCGGAGGACAAGAGTACAAAAAAGGCGAGTCGTGCTAGTGTCTCACCGACCACTAGAAAAAGCACCAGAACACCTTCGAGGAGTAGAAAGAGCACAGCACCTTCGAAGAGCAGGAAAAGTACCAGTGAAAAGAAGGTCACATCAGAGGCGAAGATAACGCGAGCCATTGATCGGGCATCGTTAGAAGATGGCGATATTCCCGAAGTGCCAGACCTTGAAGAAACCGAAGAGGGAGTCGAAGAACCCGAACCGCCTGCGCCACTCTCTGTAACCCGTACTCCAACAAGGAAGAGTAATGTCCTCAGGACTTCTAGTTCGCGGCCGTCTTCCTCCTCACCTGGTAAAAAGAGGAAGAGCAGTAGTACAGCTACAGACCGAAAATCAACATCTCCAGGTGGAATTGCAGACGGGCAAGAAGGATCGCGTAAATCCACCGCGACAAGAGAAATGTCGGCTCGCAAATCATCTCCCAACAAGGTAAGCGCTGTAACAAGTTCAAGTCAAGGAAGAACGTCCGCGACGACGACGAGCACTCCACCAAGAGGAAAATCATCTCTAAGTTACGGCTTGCCCTAATCCATCTTCTGAAGCGTCCTGAGGGCTGAGGAAGCTTGTCAAGGGGTGGAAAATGGGAGCAGGACGATGATTCCTAGGATGGATTAGGGTCGTGAGGAGCTCTAAGTAAGTGTAAGACCAAGTAGTCGAGGGCGAGGCCTCACCAAATTGCTTCGCGCCTCAGCAAGGAATCAAGACGATCCTCAGCAAGGGTCCGCTCGTGGCGTTGTGGGTGACTTCTTGCTCGAAAATGCAGTGGACAAATTACACCAATTCTTAAGGCTCAACCTAATTCATCTTCTGAAGCATCCTGAAGAGGCTTTTCGAGGGGAAAAAGGTAGCAGGATGCTTTTCAAGATGGATTAGGGACGTAAGCTCTAAAATTCACGGAAAAAATTTTCGGCACTGAGGGAGTCCGTAGTGCCTTGGTACATCCGCAGAGTGGCAAAAGAATGCAAGTGTTGTTGAAAATTCTAATGTACCCAACAGGAAGTAGTAGTATTACAGGAGCTTCCAGTTCCACAGCAGGTGCATCTTCCTCATCTGGAGGAGCCACTGCTGGACCTCGAGCTCCTGTGTCAACTACATCAGGCCCTTCTACGTCTTCTGAAACAACTGAAACAGAAGCCTTTCTCGAGGTGACGAAATACATAGCTGATCCGAGTGCGTTTTACTCCGACAGTCTATCAAAAGGCAAACGAATAAAGAGTGTGCGGTTAGCCGCATTACGAGGCATGTATCTCGGATCGGAATTGATGCCACCACAGGTACGGAGTGTTATCATTGGGAGCGATCAGTCATCCGAAGATTAAGGCCTATTATACTCAAATTCGATTGATGTTCGTCTTCATCTCGAAATATAACACTAACTACTAAGAAGCATCTTTGACGTTGACCGTTGTTGTTTGTTTCTCAACAAAGCAAGCAAGAAGAAGCCACGTTTCCAAAGTCACAGATGGCTTTCAAAAAGAATAAGTGTCTATGAAGAGACTCAGGTCCTCTCCAAAGAGTTAGGTTTTCTAAGAAAAGGAGCATTTTCTGCATGACCTCTGCGTCACGATGCAGATTAGCGAAGACGAGTTTTTGACCTTTGAATTCGCACAACCGGGAGATCACGTTGAAGCTGCACACGAGGCAGCTGAAGCGGAAGATGATATTACTACTGCTGAAGGCATGCTTCGCGCAGAGTGCCTGCCGGAGTTTGTCGAGCTTTTCCGAAGTTACACTACTTTCGGAAATAGCAAGGCAAGAAAGATCACCCGTGGTGCCAGGAAGAGCACCCGTGAAGGAGGGACAACGACTGCTGAAGATTTTAACCTGTTATCACGGCAATCCTTTCCCGATGTCCGACGCTTGTGTGGAGAAGTGATAGAGCAAGTACGACGCGGCAACAAATTCCAGTTAGCCGGTTTGAGGAACGCTGCCACGGGTGCGCTCAGTGTCGCGGCTGATGCAAAAGACGGCGCAGATGCGGTAATGCATGGCAACGCCGAAGACGAGGAGCAAGTACCAGTACCAGTGCCAACTAAGAGTAGTAAAGCTGCGGCTTCCACTTCTACTGTTAGTAGAGTTAGTCGGAAATCAACTTCAACGCGAAGTCCTTCTAGAAGTACAAGAAAGTCTACAAGAAGGAAGTCTGCTTCTGGTGGAAAATCTAGTGATGGCGACGTCGTATCCTCACCAGGAGCGACATCAAGTAGGGATGATAACGTTGACGTTCATCTTGAGGAAGATGTCGTATCTTCACCAGGAGAGATAGTGCGTCGCAGATATCTGGCGAAATTGAAAGAGTCTCTCTCTACCGTAAGCAATCAGCGATTGCCGGAAGCAGCGCGACAATTTTTTTCTCTGAAAATTCGAAGATTCTTTGCAGACCACCGCAGCGAGACGCAAGAGGGATTTGTGATGCCAACATTAAGGCTACGAGAAATTGAAATGCATCTTCACGGGCATCCTGAGACCGTTTTCAAGGGGAAAAAGGTTCTAGGATGCTCTTCAAGATCATGGGTTTCTCTCTTAGTTCTAACAACAGAGATGCGAGCGAGAGGAACGCTTTCAGGGCTTACTAGTGAACAAGTAACGGCCAAAGTTCTAACGACTGCAGCTGTCGACGACTGGTGTAGTGAATTTTGGTTAGCCACCGAAAAAGAGTTTGACGAGGAACAGTTGGGCCTCAGCGAGCACCTAGGACGCGAAATCGGCCTCCCTTTCTCACTCCCAGATCACGCGAAACTGTTCTTGCGGTATTATCTAGGAGTCTCTGCGTCTGCGAATGCTGAGGGAGGTGACGATAACGCCGTTTCCCCCAAAACGAGCAAAGCGAAACCAGAAGCGAAGAAGACGAAGATACTTGGGGACCGCAGTTCGCTGAGAATCATAGCGCATTCTGGGACAGCTGCTCCAGGTGCGTCCAGTCCAGAAACAACTACTTTATGGAAATAGACACAGCACAGGCAAGCAATCATTATTCTAGTACTTATACTCATATATGTATAACTAGAAGGTAAAAAAACAACAATTTCTTCTTCAAGTAGGAGAATCATGCACTACAACTTCTATCGTAGCTACTTGTACTTAGAACATTCATCCAGAATCAAAAATCAAGCCAGTCACTTGGTGTCGTTCTTCTAATGTGAGGAAATAGCAAAACAAAAGGAGAGCGATCCCCATCACCTGGAGGCCTTAGGATGTCTGCTGTGCAGGGCAAAAAAGTACGAGGACGTGCGCGCACAACCACATCTCTGCGAACTCTTCGGATGCAGGAGCGCGCAGTCTCATCTGACGACGACAGGGAGGCAGGTGTAGACGATAAACCAAGCAGCATATTAAAGGAAAGCAGGAGTCCACTACCAGAAAGGAAATCCAGCAGTAGAAGTGGGAGGAGTCGGACACCAAGTAAAGAAAAAGCTGCTCTAACATCTCCACGTTCTCAACCATATCCTGATTGGGTGCAGCTAGATGTTACTCCTAGGAAGGTGGAGAAAAACACAGCCGAGCACTGGATGGAGGAAGAGATGAGACACGTATCCTCTATCCGAAAACAAAGGCGAGCAGAACAAAATGGAGGAACTGGAACCTCTTCGCCAAGTACTATTTTGATTTTAACGAGGAGGACAAGCTTCACTCTTTCTACTAACTAATACTAAGCTACTTCCTTGATGAATATGGTATTTTTGTCCACTGCTTCCACCTGTTGATCTCGAGAATAGGATTTAATAACCATCTTCATCTTCCCCTGTAATTTACCACCACGACAAGCACAAAAATCACACCACGCACTACCTACGTACCCCTTCTCTTCAACAGCACCACGTGAAAACCAGAAGCGCGACAAGCAGCAGGGACTAGAGTCGTCACCAGGAGGAGTGGCGCTGGCGACACCGAGAGCTGAGAATAGTAGAGCAACCGACGCCGAAAAAGGAGATGAGCGCTACACCGTCTCGCCAAGTGGAGAAGAGTTACGACATAGTCCTCTCTTGATTTTTGTTATATATAGGGATCAACAATCATCTCGAAGGGGCTTCACCAGGACCAGTGTTGTAATAATATGATCGTGATTCTTGAGGAAGGGGAGAGCCTACAAGTACAACAAGGATCGTTAAGATAAAGATTGTAAATCATCATATCATGATCAAGATTGACAATTTAGCTCAAGTGCTTCTTCCTGTAGTGCCCGTCTCTAAGAAACTTGAAGTGGAAAAAAAGAGGAGCTAAGAAGGAAATCTCGCAATACCAGGTTTTGCGTAATGGCATTTCCCTGCTAGCAGAACCAGTAGTGGGAGATGATGTGATTTTCTCGGGCACCCGGCTAGGCCAAGGAGCAATCGTTGTGACCGATCTTGTCCTACCTCTTGACGGCTTGAAGTATCTGCGGTTGATCGATGGCAGTGGTTGGCTCGTCGATGACAGTGCCATCAATGCGGGAGCCCCTTCCTTGCGTCGCATGGCTGGAGGTGCGGTGATCAAGCCAATGGGCTCAGTACAACAAGAAGAGCTACCAACTTCGCTTGATGTGCAAGGAGGTGCTTCAGGTGGCTCTTCATCGTCCAGAGGCGGTCGACGTAGCAAAGGGGGCTCACTGGTGGAGACCAGGGTGAGCCAAATTGCTCAAAACCTGTCGCAGCCACCAAGAACCGCAGCGGCTGGAGGAGCTTTACTGGCATCGAGCACTCTGGTTCGAGGTGGAGGAGGAATACAACATTAAGGTTGCAATAAATGCATCTTCCCAAGCATGTTGCCCCCGTTTCTCAAGCGGAAACGGACACTAAAAAGATGCTCCTTTACTAGATGCGTTTATGGTAGTTCTAACAACCAGGCGAACCTCCGTACGCATGGCCCCCAGTCGATCCACCGTACGATCACCCTGTTGCCCTATCACCAAGCTCTACTAAGAACACGCCAAGAGTACAACCGGAACATCTACTGCGTCCTGACGTGAACGGTCGAGGTATAGCTGCTGGCTTGAACTATACCACTATGCTTGATGGGCGAGAAGGGCATGTATCTTCACCCCATACTGTAGCAGCAGGAGCGCCGAATATGGTTATGGCATGATGCGGTCAGATTGCTAGTCCATCTTGTTCGTCGTGCATTTTGAAAGTGAGCGACCTTGAAGATTCGGAGTCCTGTGTGCGTATGAGTAGTCTAAATCGTGATTGACCCTGTTCCTGTTGCTCCTGCTTGTACTTCCTTAAAATGATGCTTATGGAGTTTCGTACAGATTACTCAGGAGTCCTGCGATGGGGTTGAACTACGATACAACATGATGTTTGTCTCCGTATGCCTCCCGACAACCTTCTTCCCCTATCCCTACCTTTTTCATACTATTCGGTGCTCTGCCAGCTAGGAAAGAGTTTTCGCCACGTTCTCCAGGAGACTACAATGACGAGGATGACATTCCCAAACTGCGGACGCCCAGACTAGGCTCCGGTGGAGCACCGTATCAAAGTTTCGAACAGAAGACTAGAGGTACAACTTCTTTACGAAGACCTCAAGAGATTTTCGAGGACCTCAAAAATACATATTCACTTTCAGACTGACTGTGTGCTAAATTTGTACTTGTGCTGCACAAGTGGGAATTGATCCTCATCCTTCCATGCCAGAATATGCACAAATTTATTCACAACAATCCTTTGATGCACCCACGACCCTGAATCCTTTGATGCAACCATGACACCCTAAATCCTTCCAGGACCTGCTCAGCAACAGCCGACTCGGGAAATCGACAGTAAAGCTTCTTCTTCCTTCAGCACTCGTGCGAAGTACCTAATCAGTCCTGGTCTGAATGTTAAGAGGCTCACTAAAATAGAATAGTGGTATTCAACATATAATTTGCTTTCGTTGTGGTCTACTGCAAGAAGTAGGTTTAAAGTAGGTCGTTCTTTCTTGCGTAATTCTGCGATGGTGAAGTTTTTGTAGTATTGGGATTTGGCAGTTTCAGCTTTCAAATTTTTGAGCACAAACGCCCCCACTCTCGGGACAGAACATAACAGAGACTGACGCTCATACTTGACGTTCATACTTGTCATAGCGTAGCTTAGGCACATCTTCGAGCTCTAAAATTGGAGTGCCCATGGCAATGTCGGGAATGCTTCCAGTGCCACTCAGCGCTGCAGAGAGGGATATGCCAATATCTGCAGACGCGCTCATGCGCAGCTACGAACCTGACTTTCAGTTTCAGGGAACCTAGTTAAGTATGCGGAGAGGGAGCTGAAGCTGCATTCGAGAGCAGCTGACCATGATGTTGACACCACATGGATGCGACATTTTCAAGGGTAAAGAAAATGAATCTGTAGCAGAGACAGTAAGAACTGCATAGAGATGATGGAGACGAAAACGAATAGAAAGTTTTCCACTTCTCCTTGTAACGATTTATTAAGCATACAATCAAGATGAATCCATCGCATTGCTCGAGAATGAAATTGAATCGCATAACCTTCAGAAAATGAAATTGAATCGTAGAAATAAGCAGTTTTTATTATTTCAGAACTACAAAAATTATTACAATGAAATTGAATCGTTGAAGATATGTATCGTCCTTGCACCGATGTATAGCCGTATTATCGCATTATCCTGAGCGTCCCAATGATATGAGTGAATAGAAGATTGGAACCCACTGGGGCTGAGCTTTCCTTTTGAGATTTGATGGTCTTTTTGGTTTGAAAATGTAACTCACGACCAAGACAGTGAGTAGATGTACTACGTGTCTGACTAGTACGCAAGACATATGCCTATGCCTATGCGAATGCCCTTGACGTAAATCTGAGTCTTTTCTGACATTACCCAACATAAGAACGAACCTAGTAACGTATTTGTATCCACCGCTCGTTATGCTTATGATTTCTCCGACGCAACAGCCAGGAACTACAAGAACTCGGGCTATTATTTTGTCGCTGCGTGCAGTATGAGAAATTTGATATAACAAACTGAGCACTTAACCTTAAGGGAAAGGCAACATCATGATGTCGAATTGAGCTTACAACCTATCTAAAGTGTGTCAAATTCAACCTCAATTATAACTCAGTCAATACACTATGTCTTCACTATGTCTTCTTATCTATTCTTGTCCGTTTTCTGAACAGTCCACCGTCCGAGGGTCCCTCAAACGAACTTACCCTTGAAAAAAATTAAAATGCTTTGTTTTTGTTATCGATTCTTGATCTTGTTCCTGACGAGCCTAATTGTTAATTGATGAATGTATTCCGAAGTTCGTTGTAGCAGGTCTATTTCGTAGCCTAGAGAAGACAACGAACTATAAAGCAGGAACAACTAAACTTTGTATGTGATGATTGAACGAACAATGAACGCAGACCATGACCTCCGAAGGAAGTCATCATCACATAGAGCTACAGCTACACGGACGGACATTTTTGGCACACACGTCAGTCCAGCTGGATAATGTCCTCGGCTATACTCGGCGTGTAATAGTGCGTAGAATGAAGGTAGCCACCGGTGAGCGTAGCGAATCGGGGTAGTTGATTCTCCAACAAACCCTTCAAGGCCGTTTAGGTGTCCGCGATGTTCAAGGAAGAGAAGGGCATCGGCGTCGACTACGAAGAGGGCACACGAGGACATTATCCAGCTGGACAGATGTGTACGCCCAGTCGTCTTATTGAGCCGGGTATCGATTTTTCCATTTCAAGGCGCGCTCGCTCAGCATGATCATATCGGTTATATTCGCTTTGATCGCAATCTTCATAGTCGTGAATGCTCATCTCCTCGAGGTGAGCAAAGCCCCATCCCATCCCATTCTGCCTCGGTTGGAGCGGTGTAGTATGATTGGTAATTATACTAGGATTAGGTAAACTACTCCATCGGTACCTTCGGTAATGTAAGGTTACAACTATCGGAGACCACCATCTGTGTCGACCGTCACATTCGATGCTGTATGAATCTGTCGTCTTCATCTGTCGTATGGGTCACGTGGTCGAGAGAAGATGCGCGCTTTTCTGGTGGTCTCATCATTATAGACGGTCGTGGTCTCACAGTAGTTTCGTATGCTAAGTGAAATCTTTGTTCAGGTTGAGTAGTTCTGCAATTGCAAGCGCTTAACTTCTGCCACCACATCCCTTAGTGCTAGCTCTATTCTCGTACAACCAGCAGCATAGCTGCCACAGAGTTCTAGTACAGCGGGTCGTGTACCGCTCATAGTGTCACCGATGAGGAGTGATCAGGATCATGCTTCTTCAGTACGACTACAACGACGCCCTGCCCCTGGACGTCTCTTCACACTTGCTTCTAGTTTAGAAGTAAGTACTTGAATAAAGCGAAGCTCCCGGTCCACCACAGCTATCTCGAAATCGAAAACAAGAATGGGAGTCGCTTGTATTGTATTGATCCTCTACCAGCACATAAGCGACAATGGGGATCGCACTTCTAGGTGCCGAAAAATAGGTTAGAATAGTAACTCTCCTCAATCCCGTGTTCCGGCACGTGGCTGCGGTGGGGGCCCCTGAATCTGAATCCGAAGCGAGTCCAGCACCTGGACGAGGTTCGCCACATACTTAGGCGACAAAAATGGGAGCTGCGTTATCCCAGTTTCCTGACCTCGAGTACCTACGCGAACTCGCCAATGGTCGCAAGTACCGTCGAGGCGAATTCGGTCACATCCCGTCGCTTCGGAGTGACCAGATCGCGAAGCTCTACAGGCGATGGGATTTGCACAAGGCTCAGTTCTCCGAAGGACAGATGCTGGTCACTCTGTCAGAGTTCCGAGAGGTGTTGCTGGCGAGAGAAGAGTTCACTTTCTTCGAGTCGGAGGCGTTGGAAGAAGCAATGGACCGAGAGAGAGAACGCGCAAAGGGAACCACCAAAGATCGAGATGTTAGTATTGCAGGTATTCGAGTTGCTTCTGGAGGATATACTAGTCATCCTCTTCGTGGCGTTGCGGGAAGAGGTAGAAAACATGGATTTGAGACTACTAGTCCTGGACCTGGAGCACAGCAACACCTTTCAGCAGCTGCAACTACCAAGCAAGGTGATATTGCCAACGGTGTTTTCGGTGACACAGCACCTACAGACTTGCTGTTTCAGATGTTCGGCGTGCCACGCTTTCAGAACCAGGAAATGCACGATGCTTATGGGGCAGATCTGCACCGACAACGTTATAGAAGTGGTTTGGAGCGGTCTGGAGAGGAGCATCTGATTTCCATGGACCGAAAGACTGAGAAGTACATTTGCCACGAACGCGATCTGTGGGCTGAGCGCACTTTGAGAGCGGAGCTGGCGGGGTGTAGTAAGGATGTTATTGGGACCTTGAAAGCAGCAGCTGGAGGTGTAAGTCTCGGTGTAGGTCTAGGAGTAGAAGGAGCACATAAACAGGAGCTGCCAAAGAGTGCTACAACTGCTACAACTTCCATTTCACCTTCTGCTTCTCGCTCCCCTTCCCTTCAACGAAAAGACGACATCAACCAAAAAACTGCTGCGGCACAACGTCATCTGGTAGACCGGTCTAACGTCCGGCATGCAGTCGAGTACGTCTACGATCAGCCTGCTGCGAACCTGAAAGTTGACGTCTTGGAGCTTCTGGCTGTGCTGGTCCTCCTCAGTCGCCGTCTCCCCAGATTGGCTAAAGTGCGCTTTCTGTTCTCATTATTCGACTTCGGCAAGAGCGGGAGGCTAACTCGGTCCGAATTCACGATGATGATACGCGCGATTTTGCGTGGAGTTTTGCGAGTTGCACAAAGAACAAGGATTCGCAGAGAAGAACTGCTTTACGACTTTAACGCCGAGCGGTACTTACGCGCGAAAGGCGCTAGCGAAAACGTCAAAGACCTCTTTCGATCTCCAGTACTTGGAGCTCGTGGAGGTTGTGCGGCTAGCGGGTCCTCGTCTCCGACTAAAGGACAATCAGCCTCATCGCCATCGCTGCGTGCTGATCCGTATTCTCCGCTCATCCTCACGGATCATGTCGCGACTCCGAGTCCAACCGTACCAAAGGGGTTGTCTAGCACGGATCAGAAGTCTCCAGCCAAAGTGGTTTTAGAAGGCGGAAAGATCGTGCTCAAAGGAGCACCTGCAAGTCCTGGCGTTGCGCGCTTGAATGCAGTAGGAAATCTGGAGAACGCAAAGTTTTCGCCAACTCGCAAAGTTCATACGGATCGAAGCTACCGATTCGCGCAAAGTCAAGAAGAAGCCTATTTGTATTCGCAGCTCTTCGATCTGGAATTGGTGCTGGAGACGGAAATGCAGGTAACAGAGAACTGTAAGTAGATTGAAATATTAGACGTGCTAGAAATTTGTTGTTCAGTATCAGTCGTGTCAATATGCACGAATCTGACTTTCGTCATGACGAGCCTTTACCAATCAACATCATTTGATGACTTGAACTTGTTGTTTATGATGACCACTGATACATTGAGCAACCCTGCCACCGTTTCCGCTCCACTATCAGCCACACAACCTGCTTGCGAACCAAGACCACTCTGCTGTTGACGGTTCTGGAGGTTCTGTTGCGAAAAGCAAGACATCTGACGTGATCTCTTCGTCCGACTTCGGTGCATGGACTGTTCACAATGAAACCGTTGCTCGTCTGCTAGACATGTTCGATTTGCCTGAGGAAGTTGCACGGCTAGGTCCAGTGCCAGAACGTGTTCACGTTGAAATCGCTTTGGTCCTAGACATCTGGGAAACGCTGAAAGCAGCAAATATGGAAGGCGCAGGTGCCATGGCAGACGGTGATGACAGCGAACTTGGGTATTCACCGAGAAGTGAAGAGGAGGAAGAGGTGGAAAACGATATGGATGTAGAGGCTCCTCCTGAGAATGCTCCTCAATGGAATGAAGATGACATCAAAGGGGATGCAAGTGGAGCTCCTTTGACTCGAAAGAAGAAGAAAGAGCTTAGCACGGAGTTCGGCTCTGCGCTTTTGCGGACTACGCAGGAGGACGCTGCCATCACTGCTCGATCACGTAGTGCTAGTGCAACCAGCGCAACGAGCTCTATGTCTGTGCCTGGCTACAAGTCCACCGAACAACAATCATCTGGTACAACTTCGAAAGATCATCATGCACATGCACCACCAGCAGGAGAATCCGCGTCATCTAAGCAAGATCATCATGGTGGAACAAGAACGCAGATGGTTCGTGACCCCGAAACAGGTGACTGGGTTCTCGAACGGAAAGAGGATCCGAAACAAGAGGAAGAGGTAGTGCTCGGTGACGAATCTCTTGCTGTGCAACCCTATGAGCTCAGTCGCGTGATGGAGGAAGAGGGTGTCGGAGATCCTGAGGACTTGGAAGCTTTGGGCAGAATGCTCAGTATGAAAGCACCGATGCCAAACACATCGTCTGAAGAAGAGCTGGAAGAGGCGGTCAATGCGCGTGAGGCGGCGATGATGAATCTAGAAGTGTGGGATCCTAGTGGAGGACCAGGTGCGAAAGCACGAGCTGCTTCTAAAAGGATGGACAAAAACCACAAAAATGTTGTTCTAGGAGATCCCGTTGCTGCAGCAGAAATCGTCAAAGCAAAAAAGTACTTGAAACGGTCAGATGAACAAGATAGAAAAGCCGAACAAGAACAGAATATCGAAGCAGCTGGCCAACAACGACCACAGGAGAGCAACAATAACAAACCTAGTAGTCGTACGCCTTCTCCCGGATCCCGCATGCGTGCTCTGAAGCCAAGAGCTGGACCGTCCTATGACTGGAACTCACACCGCAATCGCCACTGGAAGAAAATTCGCAAGGACAAAGCAAGATCGCGTTACCGATTAGCCGTGGATCTAGCCCATGTCGACTGCATGAAGCTGATCGAACACCACTCGACTACGCTCGTGAAATTCTCCATTGCCGATCACTGGCGCTCTCTGATTCGTGGCCCCTCCTTCTACGCGCACCTAGAACGCCTGTTTCAGCAGGAACGAAGTGAGTGGGTATTGCCGCCGTTGGTCATGGTTTTCTTTCCGCACTTGAACGCCTTATCTCTGCAGAGATCTGTCAGAATCGCCTTGAACCTGCTTCAGGAACGCATTCGTGAAGCCCAAGAGCGCGAGAGACGCGCGCTGGAGAAGGCTTTAGGCCTGGTTCGAGAGGAGATGGCCAGATTGAAGGATCAAGGTGGTAGTGTGCAGGAAGGCAAGAAAGCCTCAAACGAAATTTTTGTGCCAGAAGATTGCTCGCATCTAGACACTGAAGCATGGCTTGGAACAGCTGCGAGCATGAAACAGCGCGTGGGGATGACGTTGCTGGAGCGGATTGAGTCGGTTCTCCAGCGCTTCTTTGGCGCAGACGAAGAGAAAGACGTCCTCCAACGTGCGGATGAGGCGAGAACCAAGAACAAGCACACCATGGTAGAGCGGTTTCACGGCATCCAAATACGCAAACGAGTGCGCGATCGAGCACGGTACGAGAGGAACATCAAAGCCAAGCACAAAATGCGTCTGCTTTATCAGACAGAGGACAAGGAGGCTCGTGCCTACCTCGACAAGCAGAAAGAGCGCGGAGTCAAAACTTGGGCTGACATT